TGTGTCAAGACCTTACGAAAAGAAGCATTTTAAGGCCAGGGACAGGTGAAAAAATGAAGAAGTTTGGTGAAATTGAATGAAATGAGTTCTGGGTGGAAAATGGTCCTTTGGACCTTCCTCTTTCAGGATCTGTCGGGACTTCGACTATCCGGGACCTGGAAGTGCTTAAAATACATCTTTTCGCACACTCCTGCATTTACGACACTTTAGTAAAATTGTCCGTTTTGCCATCAAGGGGGGAGGGGGGGGGGGTTCTAGCGAAAATCTTGCCATTTTCAAAATGAACCCCACTGTCATAATTTGTTGGGAATATGAAATCATACTTCAAAGAGACTAAGATTTGATTTTCGAAGGCATATGCCAGGTCTTGAACCCAGTCGAATTGTCTTTTTTGGACTGTTTTGGCTTTATTTAGCCGTATCTTGAACAATCCTCTTGCGCATACTATTTTGACGTAAAAGGCTTATCTTCACATTTTGCACTTCTTCGATTCATTTTAAAAAGATTTCAGCATGCCTAGTTCAAAATTTCCATTATATTAGTAATCACATGCTTTTTTCATCTAAGAAGTCACTAAAACTTGTCTATTTTGTACATTGTTGATCAATTTAAGTGAAATGCATGCTTTAGAAGCTTGCCAATGGATGCTAATGGACATTTTCAGTTGTGCATGCTGGGATCTTTTAAAAATGAATCGAAGAAGTGAAAAATATCCAGGTCAACCTTTTACGACAAAATAGTATGCGCAAGGAGATTTTTTTGGCTGAAAATCCATTAAAATCTGTCACCAAACTTTAAACGCCCTTTTCTCCGAAGACATTTTTTTAACATTTGAATGGTCCTGTGCGCATACAGTTTGAAGTGTCGTCAATGATATTTTTTCCACTGACTCAGTAGGTTATTGCGAGGAAACGCAAGTGACAGTTTTTGTATATTCCACCCAGAAGTATGGTTTAGGAAATCGGTTTTTACAAAAAAAGGGAAAATCTTTGGTTTTTGAAAAATATCAAAATTGAAAAGTTGGTATTTTGCTATCAGTGCCGGAAACTAAAATCTGTCACTTGCGTTTGTTCTTTGGACTTAGACGAACAAAAAAATATGTCGGTCAGGTCATTAACCCAAAATGGGAAACGCACAGGAATTTTTTAACAAACACTTAAAAAATTATAAAAAAGCCTGTATCTCAGGAACCGCTTGATATTATGGGATGGGATTTTGGGTGAAATAGTTTATCATCAAGAGTAAGATTTTGACAGAAAATAAGAAGTTTTGGACCAGCAGTTTCTGAGATCATTTTTTCACCTGTCCCTGGCCTTATCCCCAGAATGGCGTCGATTGGACGTCAGGGAGCGGAGCGGCTACCAATCAAATTTTCGTCAAAAATCGAACTGGTGGAAGTCCCTCAGTCCGCAAAAATGAAGATATCTCAACCCCGTTTACGCCATAATGTGGGTAATTGAAGCGGCTACCGCATGAACTAGAACCATGAACATTGAGCAACCAAAAGTACAAAATTTCATCCAAAAACATTTTTTGATGAATTTGCAAAGATGACTCAAACAGGTTTTTCCGAAAAATTTTGTGCTTTCGATTGCTCCATGTTCATGGTTTTAGTTCAAGCGATAGCCGCTTTAATTACCGTAAACCGGGGTAACTTAAGACAATATTTCACGTTTTTTGGACCGTGTGTCCACAAAACTTCTCTCACCAACCCGAATCCCAACTATGTTTTATTTCACATGATTACATTCGGTTTGGACCCCACGAATTTTTTGGGGGTCTCCTAAAATGAGAGTAATGGGCCTCTAAAGTTGTCTCAAGTTACCCCGTCATTTGGGGTAACTTGAGACACACCTAGTTTTTACTTTGCTTTTTCACGGAAGTGGGGTTTTTGCCAGTCCATACTGATTTTCTGAAACATTTAACTCATTTTCAATGAAAAGTACTACTTGTGGAATATATTAGAAGATTTTTGATCCTTATATTAAGATTTTTTCATCAAGGTTACATTTGGTAAATAGGGTACTTCGGCGTAAGTCTAGACCGGAAGTCAGCGACAGAACGGGAGAAACAAAAGAGCGTCGCCCGTCCGTGCTGGGCGGTGGTGGGGGCCGGAATCGGCCGCGTGGGGGTAGCATGCGCGCGCTGCCTTCACCCCCACTCCGCCGATTTCGACCCCCACCACCGCTCAGCACGGCGGCGCGACGCTCTTTTGTTTCTCCCGTTCTGTCGCTGACTTCCGGTCTAGGCTTTCTCCGAAGTACCCTATTGAGGGATGACGGCACTTCAGAAGCGCAATGATTCTCCCATTTCACATCCAACTCTGTCAACTAAGTACAGCGATTCTCTCATTTCACATCCGACCCTGACACCTGTTAAGACATTTTTCTTTATTTCTACGTACACAAGTCCATTCCTGCAAAGGTATATAGTCTTAGTCAATTTTTAAAATTTACTCAAAATCCTTAAACTATTTTTACAGTTGTTTTTCTTCAAAAAAATCGACGGTTCTTGGGCTTTAAGTTGTCCGATTTCAATGACATTTAGCTCGTTGGAAAGGTAATTAAATTCCCCATCTTTTGAGACTTCAAGATTTATTATATCTCGTCTGGTCATCCGTGTGTAGTTGAGAAAACACTCCAACTTGAAGCTGCATAATCCACTTGGGACCCTCTACACTGTCTAAAAAAGTGATTACCGATCAAATGCGGCTTAGTTTTGATCTTAGAACGGAGAGGTCCGTTACTTTAAACCACCCTGTAGCACAAGGAGGTGCCAGTGTCAAGTTACGCCACTCAACTTCCGTCAAACTCAATGAAATTTGATGTCTCAAGTTACCCCGCACAGTTACCATTTTCTAAAAAAGTCAGTATTACCCGATGAATGATGGGCTTCCCTCAAAACCAATGCTGCATTTAGACTGTTGAAATAATGGGGTTGAAAGGTACTACAGTCATTTGGGTCTCAGCAAGACGTGTTTCGAGTACCAAGGGAGACTTGTAACACTTCTCTGAAATTGTTAAATTTACTAAAATTGAAAAATCGTCATAGATCTGACCAGCTTGGTCCTAACCCGCCGTTCACACGCTTAATTGTCTTTCCAAACAAGTATGAAAAAAAGTGCTAGGGCAGTTTTGACCTCCTAATGTGCCGAGCCAGGTGGCAGCTCCAAAAAGGTGGAAAAGCAGAAGTGTCTCAAGTTACCCTTGCTGTCTCAAGTTACCCCGGTTTACGGTACCCACTGGTGCTCCCTATACCCGCTTTTACGGTTCTCCCCAAACGGCATATAATGTATATGCGCTTGTCTTCCGAGCAGAAACCCTCCTTATATCAGTTTTTCTGTTTGCAGGTGCTGTTATCAATAAGTGGCTTGTCTATATTGGGCATCCAAATGGTAGGAGCTCTCTCTAAAGTAAAAGACGAGGGCCTCATACCGCAGAACTATACGCAATACCTGAATAGTATTGTAGGCACGTCGTAGGGTAATCGGCCATCCTTCTCGTTCGGCCTGGACACTTGGAAGTGCAGAGTTTTGCAGTCTACACTTCAAGTGGGGAGCAGCCCACGGGACAGCCCCACTATCTCTTTGCAAGCTCTGCACTCCTCCGCACTTCAAACGTGGAGCTTTCCACGTTTGGTTTCATAGTGCTTGCTTTGGAATCCTGCAGTGTATCGGAAAGTCCAAAGTGCTTCAAAGCATTGCCACTTCCATTCTAAACGTCCATCAAAACGTCGGTTAACTAACTCACGTCAGCTACGTTCAAATTTCCAATTGGTGCCCTAGACTCCGACGAAGTCCCGGCCCATAGGCCCCGACCCGACCCGACTCGGCCGGGTCGGGGCCGGATCAAAAGGTCCAATAAAATTTTTCAGTCGGTCGACCCCTTTTTTCAAGATCCTGATGTGAACAATTCTTCGAAGCGACCTTTGTTGGGACCAGATCTGGTCCTTCCTACGGCATTGACTGTACGGAAGAACGGTAACTACTGTAAAAAGACTACGGAATATTGTGTAAAACAAGTACGGTAAATACTGTAGGCTGTACGGTGGATACTGGTTTTTGAAGTACGGTAAAGTTTTGCCGCGTTGTGTTGGATAGACTGAATGCCTTTGCTATGCGTACATGTTACCGTGATTAATTCTTTTTGTTTCGTTTTTTTTGTACTGTTCACTAGAGGTTCTTCACCCTACGTTGACAAACGCAGGCCTCTTTCAAGACGGACTTTGACAAATTGCAAATTTAATGGACACTGTTAAAAAAAGTCTGAAAATTCAGAACTCGAGAGTCTTACATTTAAGAGTTTGGTGGTCTGAAAATTCAGTCCTGTACGAAGATTGTGAAATTTAAGGTTCGTGACATGTTCAATATGACATAGAAAGAATCTCAGCTGTGAGTGAACCTCCAGAGAGGACAACATTGAGTAAAAATTGTGATGAGGGAGAAGGTCCTTTGTCCTTCTCCCTGACTCTCGAGGCCGGCCTGTGGCACCCAAGGAAATGGCGACACGGAGCCACCCGCGAGAGGTGAATTAGAATGTGGATTGTTCAACTTCCACCCATATTACGGAGATAAATCTTGCAGCAGAGAATGGTTCTCATATGGCCGATTAAGTCCTGTCAATTTGGAACTTTTCAACTACTATATTTTCACATTAGAAGCCTTTTAAACAGAAGTAGGTATGTTCCACAACATGCGCGCCATCTAGCGGACAAACGAAATCTTGGGTTGGTCTGAATTTTCAGACTTAACCATCTAAATTTTCAGACTGCGCTGGTCTGAATTCAGGTTCTGAGACGATAAGGTCGCAATTTTCATACCGGAAGGCAAAATTTTCAGACAAGCAGTCTGAAACAAGTCTGAAAAATAGATTCAGACCACCAAGTCTGACAAAAGTGGTCTGAATTTTCAGATTTTTTTTAACAGTGGAGAACAAAACTGGTTGTCTCGATGCAAACTGCAACTGGATGAGGATTGCTTGAAGGCTGAATACAACTCTGAATTGTTCAACAGTGTTCTTTCAAACTTTAATTCGCACAAGTAACTTCAAAGACGTTCAAGCATAAGTGTTGGAGGTGAGGGTGTGCTGGTAGACGCGCGCGAGCCGCTCGTGGTGGCACCGGATCTCGCCGCCCTCGTTGCCGTCGCTGCAGACGCGGCCGCACGTGTCGCACGGCGAGTTGGGCAGGTGGTACAGGCGGATCATCGCCGCGTCGGCCGGGTTGAGGCGAATGGCCTGCAAGCACGGCAGAACGTCAAACATGTTGAATTCACTAAAATTCCTTGAAATTGTCTGACTGTAAGTCAGGCGCGAAAACACTGTGAAACCAAGAGGCAGGCGAGGAGCCGTGGAAATTTGAGTCTCCGCACCTGGAAGTGCCTGAGTTACCAGCAGGGGGAAATCACTGTGAAGTTCACAGTGTACCAATTCGATGAATTTCAGGCTAAAACTACTGAATTTTGAGAAGAATTTCGATGAATTTAAATAAATTTTGATGAATTTCAGGGAATTATAGTGAATTTCCCATGTTTGATGAACAACTTTGACTGCAGTTATTTCCCCTTGGTTTCTAATTCTCATTGAGGCCGTGGATCCACGGCCTCCACTCGAGTTCTCCACACGGTAAAACCGGCTCCTGCTTTTCCCAGGAAGCCTATAGTAGACAGGGATCCTTAACTTAACTTTTAACTAACACTGCTTTCATAACGTAACATAAGACAATGTTCTAACGTTAAGGGTACACTTTAAAGGGAAACCACACTTAAATGAAAAAAAACCTTTTGCAAAATTTTAAAATTCAGGAAACAAATTCGAGACCTTGAGGAAAATAACGTACCCTATTGAAAAGGGAATTGTTTACAAGTTCGGGTAAAACCAGGAACCTTATGGTCCACGTTAGATGCCAAAAAGGGGTAGAGTTAAGGACCCTGGTTTTAGTAGAATAGGGGTAAATGTTTACAGGGAGTAAAGTTGGGAAAAACCAGGAACCGTTGATACGGTAGGAGTTGGCGCCTAACAAAAGCTGAAGTGTCGGAATTCCCCAGCCTGCACTGGTCTTTAAAGCTTAAAGTATGCGTCATTGGGTCAAATGCATTCACAGAAGTAATGTAATCCCCACTTTACCTTTGGGGAAGATTACCTAAGGGCAATTTTCATGCACGTAGGGCAATTTTAGCGCCTAACACCAAGGCTCTCAAGTGTCGGGAAATTTCTCAGTTGGGGTAATTCCGGACGACCTATGGGGCAATTCCGGACGACCTTTAAATTTGACACTACTCGAGCTTACTTTCGCTTGTTTTGACGTGAGGCTTCCTTTTAGAAGGCGTACAAGGACATTTGCTGCGAACTGAAGTGTTTGATTATTACTCAAAGCATATTATAAGGAATAGTTTCTATCAAAACCCCTAAATGGACAACACTGTCTTGAGTAAAGCTCTTAAACATAGCTGCAATGCTATTTTTCGTTCTTTCTTTATCCTTCTGAACGGTGGGGATGCATGTCCACAATTTTGAGCCCCCTACCTTAACATTATGCGGGAAATTGAAGAAAATAACACTTCTTGTCCGGATTTACCCCACATGTAGTGAAAACCTTTGATGTTCAATTGTAAGAAAACGGCGAGCCATACGAGCACTCCCGAAACGCCAAAGTAAAGTCCAATGACCATATAATATGATAAAATTTTAGTCTTGGGACTGAACTTGACGGTAAGGTACGATAAGTACATGGAAATATGAGGGAAAGATGCAGCTTTTGCCTATTTTTGATGGTACTCAAATTTCGTGAAGCGACCACAGCCAGACGGTTTGACCTCCTACCTTGGCGATTTGGAATTATCATTTTTAACTGATTATCTTCCTCTGTTAGGCGGGCTTTTGAGTTATCTTCACTCAAACCCAGTGAAAATCGAAGTGTCCGGAATTACCCCGTGTCCGGAATTACCCCACTCTCCCTTAGATAGGAACTCTAGAGCGACACAGAATCCAAACGCTATGAATATAGCGTCAATTGGTGCAATGCAAAAGCATTGCACATGAAGTGCAATGCCTTCCCATGCCCATGCATTAGCATACACTGATAAAAATTTTGTAGTAACTTAGCCACACATTTGTCGCTAATTTTTTTAACAACAAGATTTGTTGTGGAAGGAATAGCTTGTTAAACCATAGTCGTACAGGAACTAAAGGATAATTTCACAACGTCTAACTTGTAATAACACATCAACAGTCCACTTTCAAAAACAAGTCGTTGACCAACAACAAATGTTGTAAGTCAACGACAAGTATTGTTAGTCGAAGATTTTGTTATGTCTGCGACAAGTACTCATGGAGAACTTTTGTCGCTAAATTTATTTTGCATGGTTCTTTTTTATAAATAGTAATTTAACTATGACTTGGCGAACAAAATAGATAAATTTTCATAATTCGCTTTCATTGAGCAGATAATTGCAAAAGATGTTGTTTCCACACAAATTGTATCGTTAAGGGTGATAACAAGAATATTGTTCTTCAACGACAAATTGTCGCTGACTTGAGTCAACAACATTTGTTTCGCTTTGGTTCATGATGAAATTCTATGTTTTGGAACGACTAAATTTTCACTCATCTGATTGTTTCTGTACAACCATTTTTTAACAGTGTAGGGCATTTTCGGGACGCATTGCACGTATGGTGCGAGATCTCAGCTGCATTGCACCATACGTGCTATACTCATAGCGTTTGGAATCTCAGTGTGGGGGAACAGACGTGCACCAGATAACGTGGAACAAATCCGTGTCCCGTGTTACCTTATGCATGCCTGTCACACATTTGGATTCGCAGTGCACTGAACTGGTAATCAACGAATGTGACGTCATATTCGTTCGAATGTGAATTTTGTCACGTTCGTTTGAATATGATGCTACATTCGTTTGAATGTCAATCCACAACGTTCAAACGAATGCGACACCTTTAACGGCCGAGTCACGTTCAAACGAATGTGACATCATATTCAAACGAACGTAGCAAAATTAACACTCCAACGAATATAACGTCACATTCGTTGGCTACCAGTGTGCGCTTTAAATCTGGGAATGAGACGGCGCGTTCGTGAGAATGGAGTTAACAGCATCATCCCTACCTCCTCGTAGTGTCGCGTCGCCTCCTCGCTGCGTCCACCCTGCCGTCGGCACAAGCCAGCCAGCCTGAGGTGCAGGTAACTCTTGTCTCCAGTGATGGCCTTGCAGCGGCCGAGAAGTCGCTCTGCCTCGGCCACGGTAGTCTTCGTCAGGCCGCGAATCTGGCAGGCACGGCAAAACCGCATTTTATAGAGCTGAATCGCCGAGGGGGGAACAACTGGAATTTTAGAGTTCGTTTCCCTTGAAATATCGAGAAGTTACGTCGAGATAACGGAGAAATAACGTTGAAATGCCCTTAAAATACACGGTGAAAACGGTTCCTGGTTTTCCCAGGAATTCCCTGGAAATCGCCTATGCCTCTACAGTATGTACCATAGGCTTCCTGGGAAAACCAGGTACCGTCTTTACCGTGTAACATTGAAATGATGTCGGAATGACTTGAACTTGAAATAATGGTGTACACTGGCAAAACTTAAGCGTAACTCTATGCTTGAGTCAAGCAAGAGTTACGCTTGAAGACGTTACGCTTAAAAAAAAGTATTCTCTGGAAATTCCCCCATGCATTTAGAGAGAGGGAATCTTGGCGGATGAGGCTGTTACGCTCGACTTCAAGCGTAAACTGATAACGCTTGAAAACAGAGGGTAGTAGTACAACGCTTTAGTTTTACCAGTGTACAAAATTTTGTAAGTTATTCCCCCCTTAGACTGAAAATCGATGGACACGTTTCGAGTTGTTTATTTGCCTCCAGAGTGCGCCGCACACACTTGGAGTGAAGCTTACCTTAGCATGCGGCATTGAAACAAGGGTAAATCACTGCGCGTTCTGGTCCACACATGAGTGAGTACACCGCACAGTACACTGTTAAAAATTGTTGTTTTAAAACAACAACACAATTAAGAACCTCGACAACGCTGTTGTTTATGAACAAGTTTGCTTGTTTTAAAACGACGAATTCGTTGCTAATTATTTTTATGACTTATGCTGTTTCAAAACAATATTTTGCTGCGTACAAACAACCCGGACAATCTAAGAAGTGGTTACTGCGGGGTAACCGGGACTCTACTAGGTCTGTGACCTAATCGGCAATAAAAATTGATGCAAATAAGGCTGTCTACCGGTTTACAAACATCTTGTGGACGAACGACGCAACTCGTTAGTAAACAACGAAAGTCATTTGAAAACAACTTTGATCATTAAGAAAATTAGCAACATATTTACTGCTAAATTACAACATAATTTTTAACAGTGTAAAAACTTTACGAAGAGTCGCTTCGTAATACAAAGAAAATGAAGGCATTGTAAAATCTACGAAGAAATGCTTCGTATTATGAAGCAAAATCCTTCGTAATACGAAGCATTTCTTCACAATACGAAGCAATTCTACAATGCCTTCATTTCCTTTGTAGTTACGAAGCTAAGCTATGAAGCAAATGCTTCATAGGCTTTTAAGATTGCGTTGTCTTCCCAGAGGGTCTCCGCAAGACGGTACTCCGGTACTCACCTGGATGAGGACGTCGCCGGCGTTGGTGAGCACGTGCGGGTGGTCGGGGTAGCGTCGCAAGGCCTCCTCCAGGAGCTGCCGCGCCTCGGCCCTGCCCTTGGGCTTCATGGCCAGCTCCGTGGCCAGGGCGAGCCCGGTGTGCGGCCCCGGCCGCAGCCGGTGGGCCGTCCTCAAGTGCTGCACCTTGACCGCCCAGGTCGCGGCGAGCCTGCCGCCCATGGAGTGCCACTCCCCCTCCCGGTCGTTGAGCTCGAGGCTCCGCGCCACGCAGGCGAGAGAGATTTCTGCGGGACATAGCGGGTACACTCACTGCACTAAAAAAAAAGCCTACAAAGCATTTGCTTCACGTAGAAAATGACGGCGTTGTAGAATCGCTTCGTATTATGAAGCAACGCTCCGGATTATGCATCATAATTGTTCATAATACGCAGCATTTCTTCGTAAATTTTTAAAGAAGCGATTCTGCTCAAGGCTGTAAATTTTTTGACCATCCTCCGTACCCAAAATCCAACATTTTCCGTAACCTCTTATCAATATTCTCCATGCCACTTACAGTACCCTCCGTGAGACTTCACTCTCATTCCAGGAACGTGACATCACGTTGAAACGAACGTGACAAAGTGTCACGTTCGTTTGAGCATTGTGTCACATTGGTTTAGTGAATCCGCCAAAAATCAGCTTGTTCACATTCAAACGAATGTGACACAATGCTCAAACGAACGTGACATTTTGTCACATTCGTTTCAACGTGACGTCACGTTCCTGGCATGAGAGAGTTACAGTGCTCTTTCTCCGTATGTGCGTTGCAGACCAAAGAGGTGCAAGCACTGCACTGTAAATTTCTTACGGTGAAAGGCTGCACCAACATAATATGGTGGAGATTTTCTCCATAATACCAACGAAATTCGTCAAAATCTCTATAAGGTATAGTGAATTCTCAATGGTATGTTACGAAGTCAGCTGCACCACCATAATATGGAACATTTTCACCACAATATGGAAAATCTTCACTGTAGAACATTTAGAGTGTGCAAGGAGAAACCTATAACCCCCGGCCAAAATTCTTGACGCGTTTTGAGCTAAGTCGCTACATGGGACTCGAACCGACTCGAACCGAGCGTGTGACCCCACCAACGGATTGCTCTCCGAACGAGGAATCCATTGGTGGGGTCACACGCTCAGTTCGACTCCGGAGTTGAAACGCGTTTTAAGAGTTTTGGCATCCTGCCCCGGCTGTAGGGTCGCTCGATCGTTGTGCATGCTTACCGCGCTGCAGCCGGCTGACTGCGCCGCGGACGGCGTGGATCGCGGCCTGCAGGGCGGGGCTCAGCTCGTTGAAGGGCGTAATCGTTTTCACGAAGTCTCTCAAAAGGGCAGTAGTCGACGGGGCTCGGTGCCACTCAACCATTGCCCAGAACGAATCTAGGATGTGCCGTAAAGCCATGCTGCAGGAACAATAAGATGGGGCACGTGAATGCTTTGCGACCTTACGTGAATTCAAATCACCGCTTGGGAATTCATTCGTTTAGACACCGGTTCACTTATAGGTAATAACATTGCCGCATACCCCTGCATTAAAATTTTCATGTTAAAAAACGTATATTCAGGTAATTAAGTTGCATCAAGCGTGCAAAATCGTCTTTTAGAATGGATAACACTGTAACAGTAAATTGGAAAGTGCCGCCAGTGCGATCGGAAGCTTCTTCGGGAATTTCCGGGGGATTCGTGTTTTAAAAAGATTTTTCGGGTGTTATGCCTTCTGGAAATTAATTCAATAGAGAATTAGGAGATTTTGAAATTCTAGAAAAGTCGGGGCTACGTTTTTCCAACGAGGCATCTTAATTTACCCGTAACATATCGTCCAAGAAACATATTTGTCGGCTTATAAAAGTACGAGACTGGGCGATGGCCAACGTGCAACTGCATAACATGGGCCATCATCATTGCAAATATTATTTGGATTTAATTTCTTAGACTGTGTCTACACTGAAGACTCCTTACGGACATCATGTATCCGCAATACGGACATTTTTGTGCAATTGCAATTACGGATGGATTTTGTTTGTAATACGGATGATTTCATCCGTAATACAAAGGTTTTCGTGTCCGTAACATACAGACGAAAATATCCGTAAGGTACAGACGAAAAACTCTTTGTAATACGGATTACGGATTTCATCCGTATTACAAGCAAAATCTATCCGTAATTGCAATTGCACAAAAATGTCCGTAATACAGATAGATGAATCCGTAAGAAGTTTAGTGTGTATGTTAGCTGTTAGCTTGTGAGATAAAGGTCGACTACTAAACTCCAAGCTGTCTCGAAACTTACCGGTATTCCCCGATGATAGCACAGTCATGCTGACAGAAGGGCTGAGGCAACAGCATCATATAACAGTTCCTGAGGAGTGCGACGCCGTCAGTTTCCCTTCCCTCGGTCAGGTACGAGTAGGCCAGGGTAATCTGGAACCAACTCGTCAACATCAAGATACACTGAAAAAAATTCCGTACTTTTGTACGGAAATGGTACAGAAAAGTATAGTACGGAGGTACGGAGAAAAGTACGGAACGTTCCGTACTTGCTCCATATGAACCCATGTAAATGGGTACGGAAAAAGAGTACGGAACGTTCCGTAGTTGGCAAGTACGGACGGTCCAGGCAAATTATTGACCAGACATGTTCCGTACTTTTTCCGTACTTTTTTCTCACAGTGTACTCAGCCTCTGCCGAGTGAGGCACTGTTTCGTAGAACCTGAGAACAACTTTTGTCGCTTCTTGACTGACGATCAAAACATTATAATCAGTGAAGATCAGGAAAAAATAATAATGTTTCAGGACCCAAAAATACAAACATAAGTTATGAAATAATTTTCCAGACAATCTTTTCACTTAGAATGTGGAATTCAAAAATTTGAAATCTGACATTAAAGGTAATTTTCTCATGGTGTGACTCTTTTCAAAATTGCAAGATAGTTAAGGATACGAATGAAAATTCCGGCGTCAGTGGAAAATAATACAACCAGTGAACAAGTCCACTGTGCTGTGCACACTCTAAGACGGCACCGTTGCACCGTTGCTAAAATTCTAAATGCAAAAACAGTTAAGCGTGGGCACCGAAGGGGTAGTCCACGGGTTGTATTTCCCGTACACGCCGGAATGTTCACGCGTCTTCACCATCTTGCAATTTTGAAAGGAGTCATAATGTGATACAACCGCGCGCGCGCGCGCGCACACACACGCACACACACTCACGAGTAAAAGTTCATCATACCATGTCCACTAGGCGGTGCCAGGGCGTTGGCAGTGAGTCCAGTTCGTCGGCCACTCCACCGGCAGTGCTGAGGGGCAGCGACATGCAGGTCATCTCAGGGGTATCCCACGTGAGCGGACACGACAAAGCTTTCGTCCAAGCTCCATCCTCGGCCATAGTCATCCCTGGAGAAAATGCGAGACACTATTACACTGCAAATTACAGTCGACTCCCGTTAGCTGGCAGGGCAACCGGGAGGCGCGTTGGACAACTAACGAGAGGCCCGGGCAGGTAGGCCAGGCCCAGCCCGGCCGAGGGTCTGGCCGGTCGGCGAGGGATTACCGGCGGCTTAATCCCCTCGCTTGTCGTGTACTATTCCAGTAGAAATATTAAACCTTTTTTTCTGTTCATTTTTCTAACGATCTTTTAAAATCAATGCATAGATGAGTTAAAAAGACACAGGTTTAAAAAAAACCGCACCCCAAAATTCGAATTTTTACCATAACGGTCGGCATGTTGCGCCGGTGGTCAGCTAACGGAGGCCACTGGTCCGGGCGTATGCATCACGGAATGACAGATTTGCGTTGCATTTTGTTCTTGACTGTGATAAAATAATTGAAGACTCCGCAACTCGTCAAAAAGTCAAAAACAAAATCCAACGAAAATCTGTCATTCCCGTGATGCATACGCCTGGACCAGTGGCCTCCGTTAGCTGACCGGCGGGACATGCCGATCGTTATGGTAAAAATTCGAATTTTGGGGTGCGGTTTTTTTTAAACCTGTGTCTTTTTAAGGGGAGGTTCTGGTGAAAATGCTATTTTCTCCTAAATAGGTCCCACTGTGAAAATTTGTTAAAAATTTGATGTCTTATCAAGTATTTATTAAAATTTTTCATTGGGGAAGCACATTCTATGCCCTGAAACCAGTCGCAGAGCCTTTTTGTCCCATTTAGGCTATAACTTTAAAAATCTTCTTGCGCATACTATTTTGTCGTAAAAGGTTGGCTTAGACATTTTTCACTTCTTCGATTCATTTTTTTAAAATGCCGGCATGCCCATCTCAAAATGTGAATTGCATTTTTATTCGCAAGCTTTCTAACCAAGCATTTCACTAAAATTGATCAAAAATGTACAAAATAGACAAATTTTGGGGACTTTTCAGCTTAAAAAGCTAATAATTAATAATATAATGGAAGTTTCGAGCTATGCATGCCGGAATCTTTTGAAAATGAGTCGAAGAAGTGAAAAATTTCAAGGTCAACCTTTTACGACAAAATAGTATGCGCAAGGAGATTTTTTAAGATACAGCCTCTACAGGCTCAAAAAGACTCTTCGACTGGGTTTACAGCCTGGCATGTGCCTTCAAAAGTCAAATTTTAGTCTCCCCAATGAAAAATTTTATATTCCGAACAAATTATGACTGTAGGATCCATTTGGAAAATGGCAAGATTTTCACCAGAACCTCCCCTTAACTCACCAATGCATTTATTTTAAAAGATTGTTAGAAAAATGAACAGAAAAAGTTACAATATTTCTACTGGAATAGTACACGACAAGCGAGGGGATTAAGCCGCCGGTAATCCCTCGCCGACCGGCCAGACCCTCGGCCGGGCTGGGCCTGGCCGCGCTGCCCGGGCCGAGGTGGTGGGGATGACTCCGTGCCAACTATCGAATGGTCAAGGGTGGTCAGCTAACGGGAGTTGACTGTAAATGGAAAGACTTTGCGAGACGAAGAGGTCACGCCAAAATTTGCACGAACTGGCGACTTTTTGTGCGCACCACCACGGTTGGTTGAGGGCGCATGGACCGAATGACCTCAAAAGTCGACAGTGGTCACGTTCATTTTTGCCTGACCAAATTTGTTGGGACGTTATGGTCTCACTGTGAGAAAAAGTTACGGTAGTCAAACCGTTGATTTATTAACAAGGATTTATTTACCGTACTTCCAAGTACAGCGTCTATCGTACCTGGACGTACAGCGTTCACCGTACCTCGTACAGTGCACTGGTTGAGAGACACCCATTACAGCAAAGTCAATCTGTACGATTTCGAAAACTAACTCAATCTCCTTGGAATAAAATCCATGGTCACATCTTTACAATGCAGTGTCCAAACTACGGTAAACGCCGTAGTTCCAAGCACGGTAAATCCTGTGAAAAAATTAACGGAGAAAAACGTAACTTTTTCTCACAGCGTGGCCAAACCGTGGCGAGACTTTGCCTCTCGATTCTTCTGACCTTCGAATGTATTGTGAAGTTACGCAGGAGTGAGATAGGAAAATAGTGAACTGTTGATCTGCGCGGAAAGAGCGCTGTTTGGTGGCAAGTTGCACTGGCATGCGACTCGATCTATATTCCAGAACGATGAACGATGAAGAAGGAACAAGGTTTGACATTTCTCTTCCCAGATTAATTTTGATTCGGCATTGACTGCACGTTGAACTGAAACATTTGGTTTGGCTTCTGTTTCGAACGACAGATGTGAGTTATTTCATCCGCTGCTTCGGAAAGGAGCGTTTTGAGTACACCCTAGGAGGATTGTACTTGGCACCAATTGAAAGTCTCGTTCATCCAAATTTGAAAGCAGGCATCCGCAACCCAGCTGAACTCAAGAATTTTCAACAGATTAACTAAACAACTGATGGCAAATTAGCGTATCGGCATATGAATCAAGTAAGTGGTGCTGCACAGTGAAACCAAACGTGGACAGCTCCACCCCTTAAAACCTTACGAAGTATTTAGAGCATACATACGTACAAACTAATTTTCTTTGCCACACTGCTACTGCTAATCTAAGAGTGGACCAGGTCCATGCTAGGAAGCGTGGGCCACGAATGGTACACGCTAGGAATCGTGGACCACGAATGGTCCACGCTAGGAAACGTAGACCAAGCTGCGAGGTCCACGCTTCAAAGCGTCGAACTCCTCATAGGCCAATCACACTTCCAAGTGAGAAGCTCCAGGCAAAAAAAACCACTTGGTCGGCGACATCCTAGGAGCGGGCGCTTGTGGTGTTTTATCAGTTCCTTGTATGTATACGAACTGCCGAAAAGACACTTGGACGAAATCCGACACCCCCTGAGGCTTTGGTGCGGGTCTAAACACCCCAAAAACAGCTGTTTTCGAGGGTTTGGGACTAGATGGGTTCTCGCAAACCGAGATCCAAAAAAGTACCCAAATGGGTCTCAGATACTCAAAAAAATGCGCTCTTTCGAATGCCGTGTCGAACGAGGCTCTACGACGTCGGGTTTGGATGCTACGGGCTCTCTAAGTTGCTCAATTTCACCATTTTTACTGAAGATTTGAGCATATCAGAGCCGTTTGAAGTAGACCATCGGCGATTTCACTCTTCTTTGTCTTAAATGGTGCCTACCCATAGGTAAACACCCCCACAAAATTTCAGCCATGTCAGGCAATTATTAGAGGAACTGTGAACAATTTAAGTTTTGGGTCATTTTACCACTGGGCTTAGGTGGTTTTGGGTCCAGAAAAAATACTTTTTTTTAGCTATCTACTTTTGATCAGCACCTCTTGGAACGCCTTTTTAACATGGTGCCTCAAAACTTTTTTCGAGGACAACCTTGTCTTTTTTCTAGCTGTAATTGGAACATAACCTAGAGAAAAAGACAAGTTTGTCCTCGAAAAAAGTTTTGGCCAAAAAATCTCAGCTTAGCAGAACCGACTATATAAACATAAAAACCAACCAAAAACGCCATTCGTCGTTGCATAAATTCTAGGACCCCTTGAAATTGAGTCAGGACCCCCTTAGACAATTTATGCAAGTACAAGAAGGACGCTGCAGGGCTACCAACATTCACTTTTGCGAAAATCGCCTTTGGTCGTCTTGCAGCTGTCATGGCCACACTCTGTGACTTGCATAAATTGTGGAACCACTTGATAGTGAGTTATGACCGCCTCGGGCAATTTATGCAAGCGCCAGAACAGCGCTGCAGGGCTGCCAACATTCACTTATGCGGAAAATGCCATTTTGGTCGCCTTGGATCTGTCCTGGCCACACTCTGTAACTTGCATAAATTGTGGAACCACTTAAAAGTAACTCAGGACCACCTCGGGCAATTTATGCAAGCGCCAGAAGGACGCTGCAGGGCTGCCAACTTTCACTTATGCGGAAAAAGGCCATTTTCGTCGCCTTGGATCTGTCCTGGCCACACTCTGTGACTTGCATAAATTGTGGAACCACTTGAAAGTGAGTTATGACCGCCTCGGGCAATTTATGCAAGCGCCAGAACAGCGCTGCAGGGCTGCCAACATTCACTTTTGCGAAAATCGCCTTTTGGTCGTCTTGGAGCTGTCTTGGTCACACTCTGTGACTTGCATAAATTGGAAACCCCTAGAAAGTAACTCAGGGCCACCTCGGGCAATTTATGCAAGCGCCAGAACAGCGCTACAGGGCTGCCAACATTCAATCTTGCAATTCGCCTTTTGGTCGTCTGGGAGCTGTCTTGGTCACACTCTGTGACTTGCATAAATTGTGGAACCATTTGATAGTGAGTTGTGACCGCCTCGGGCAGTTTATGCAAACGCCAGAACAGCGCTGCAGGGCTGCCAACATTCACCTTTGCGAAAATCGCCTTTTGGTAGTCTTGCAGCTGTCTTGGTCACTCTCTGTGACTTGCATAAATTGTGGAACCACTTCATAGTGAGTTATGACCGCCTCGGACAATTTATGCAAGCGCCAGAACAGCGCTCCAGGGCTGCCAACATTCACAATTGCGGAAAATGCCATTTTCGTCGCCTTGGATCTGTCCTGGCCACACTCTGTGACTTGCTTAAATTAAGGAACCTCTCGATAGTGAGTTATGACCGCCTCGGGCAATTTATGCAAGCGCCAGAACAGCGCTGCAGGGCTGCCAACATTCACTTATGCGGAAAATGCCATTTTCGTCGCCTTGGATCTGTCCTGGCCACACTCTGTGACTTGCATAAATTAAGGAACCACTTGACTGTGAGTTATGACCGCCCCGAGCAATTTATGCAAGCGCCAAAACAGCGCTGCCAACATTCACTTATGGGGAAAACCGCCTTTTGGTCGTCTTGCAGCTGTCTCTGCCACACTGTGTGACTTGCATAAATTGTTGAGCCAATTGAAAGTGAGCTATGAGTGAGTTTTGGGTTTTTTTTTGTGAATGCATCCTTAGCATTGGCAAGGACAGACTTACCAATGCACATGCGCAGCATTGACTTGTACGTTGCCAAGCATGCAGTAGTCAGTGTTTACTTGCCAAGCATGCATTTATGGGAACTATGCAAGTCACAGAGTGTGACCAAGACGACCAAAAGGCGATTTTCGCAAAAGTCAGTGCTGGCAGCCCTGCAGCGCTGTTCTGGCGTTTGAATAAATTGCCCGAGGCGGTCATAACTCACTATCAAGTGGTTCCACAATTTATGCAAGTCACAGAGTGTGGCCAAGACAGCTGCAAGACGACCAAGGGCGATTTTCGCAAAAGTGAACGTTGGTCGCCCTGCAGTCCTTCGGTAGAGATAGGAAAATTATGCATTTAAAAACCTCTTATTATGCGACCAAATTTTGCACCTTTATGCATTTGAAACAGGGTGATTATGCGGCCATTATGCGCCCAAAATCCGAAATTATGCGGCTTTTATGCGCCCAAAATGGGCGTTTTATGCACTTTCGTCATTTTAACGTAATTTCTTTAAAACTCAAAAATCAGCAGACCCCTTCCGTCAGGGGTATTTTTAAAAAAGGGTCCTAGACTCATTTTCATTCTGGCCTAAGGGAAATATAGGGAGAGAGGGTGGGGGAAAGGAAAATCTTCAAGAAAATTGTTTTAATCGATTAGCCCCCCTTTCCCCGCCCCTCTCGCCCCCTTCCCGCCCAGTTCCGTCCCCGCAAGTTTGTGCAAGGCGGGGACTCGGAAGCGTGGGAAAATTTGAAATTCGGCTCACGGAATCGGTTTAGAGTAGGAAACGTGCTTGAACAGGGTAAATTGTTTCGGAATTGTGCTATTTTGGCCCATTTTGCGCGCATTATGCGTTTAAGCCAATATGCGCTAAACAATGGCCGATTATGCGTTATTATGCGCTACAGTTTCGGACTTTAGGGGGCACCAGGTTGATAAATATACCACTGCGAAAGCGATCTGACGATTTTAGAAAATTGTGCGATTATGCGCACCGCATAATCTTCCTATCCCTACCACTGTGCTAGGTCGGACCGACCTAAGGGCACTGGTCCACTTGCAGGCCTCTCGGGTTTTCTGCTTTCCTCAGCCTGTATGCTCGGAAAAGTGTCGCGGCTGGTTTTCTAAGGTAAAGACCAAACTAAGACCTGCCTGGAAAATATTTTTTTAGCTCGTCACATGCGTCGTTGGGGGCGAAAGGAAAAAATCCGGACCAATGTGCCCCACTCTCCCTTACCGCAAAATTCAAATCGACTTGATCACTAACGGACCTCCAGCGACCCGTCGAAAAAAATGGCCCACAATGGATTCATGACCCACAATTGATTTTTACCTCATTCGTTTGAATGTTGATTCATGCTCAAACGAAAGTGACATCCTGGTTAAACGGCCGTTTTTCGTTCAAAACGAATATGCCATCTTATTCAAACGAACGTGAAAAAATTTACTTTTTAACGAATATGACGACACGTTCGTTGAATAACAGTGATTGTGAAGGAACAGTTAGGTGCGACACCAATTAGAGTAGAGCAATATGTTTTATAGTGTGTAATTAGATTCAAACGAAAGTAACATCCGTAGAAAGGAACAAAAAAGGCACTGACAAACACAAATCTATCCACCGCACCGTTTCCTGCCGCGGTAAGTCCGATGGGCGTTGAGGAAACGACAAACAACGGTACGACTCAACAATAATAATCATGTCAAAAACAAAAAAGAACTGAAGCTGTCCACGGATGTACCTTGCTGGTGCCACACGAGCACATCCAATCCAAGAGCACTGGTTATTACGGGGGAAGGATTCTCCAGTAACCACCATCGTTGCCACAGTCACAGTCAGAATCGCTACAGTCGCAGTCTTCTTCTTTTGCCCTCTCATGACAGAGGTCGCAGTAGAAGTAGTCCTCAAACTGCTCCAGATCGTCGGAGGCGACGCTCCTGTCATCGTCGTCAGTTGCTGCCGGGTCGACATCTTGATCCAGGTCATGAGTCACTTCGAGACCAGCAACGCCCAGCAGCTCAACCTTCTCGAACTCGATCGAGACGTAGTTGTAGTGCTTGCAGTAGGCGCAAAATCGAATCGAGCGTTTGTTGGGCGTGTGTTCGTAGGCAAGGCTCTTGAGACCGTCCTCCTGGAGAAACCCCAACAGCTTGGCACCTTTGCCCTCGTCAAACCGGCACCTGCGAGGGGCAAAATATCATTCTGTCATATTTCTAAAAAGAAAAGAATTATCAGTTTTTTTTCAATGAAAATCAAAAACTGGGAATCGGGAATGCGACGTCACGTTCGTTTGCACGTGAACCGTGTCACATTCGTTTGAACGTGAATCGGCTGGTCCCGGGCCTGGACGAGGCCGGATTCACGTTCAAACCGATGTTACATAGTATTCAAACGAACGTGACACGATTCACGTGTAAACGAGCGTGACGTCACATTCCCGGATTCCAAGTGAAGTTGAGACATGACCTTTTCAGGGGTGAGACATTAATGTCCTGACCGATAAAGGGTAATTCCAAAATGAAAGGCAAAAAAGGGTGATAACTATTTTGTTATTTTCTCATGGAAAACAAGGGACAGTCTTGGCGAAGTCAGATCTTTTTCCGGTCATACATGGAAGTATCACCGTACTCGGTGATATATTCGTATATGACCTTTTTTCGATGATACTTTTTGTATCGCCGAAAATAGGTCAGATGTCTCACCCTTTGAATTTCAGTGATTTTATATTAGCTGACAGTCACTGAAATAGGACGAAATGTCCAAGAAAAATGTCAAAATGAAAGGGAGGCCGGGGATTCATGACAACTAGTCAACCGGCATAAAAAAACGGTATAAAAAGTGGTCATGGATCCCCAGCCCCGAAACTCCAAATTTAAAGGTTATACTTCTAGAACTTTTTTTGTTTGGCGATACAATTGAGAATCGCCAACAAACGGCCACGCCAAAAATTTTTCCTTCAAAACGGCCAACATTTGGCTATACTACTATCCTTTTGAATATTGCCAAAATTTGGCAATTAACTATGAACTAGTCCCCTTGACTTGTTCAAAGTTTATTGCCAAAGTTTGTGTATTGCCGTTTCGAAGGCAAGAGTTTCGGCAAGGCCGTTTGTTGGGGATGCTTAATTGTATCGCCTAAAAAAGGGACACGAAAAATATCACCTTTAAATTTGGAGTGATCGTCTAGAAACAAAACGGATAAATTTTCGTCTTCCCCCACACCAAAAAACATCAGAACGTATGTAAAACTCGACATCCAAATATTGAAAACAATAAATAAGTTTTGAAAATTTATATTTTTGCCCGATAGGTCAAAACATTTACAAGTAGACCACTTGCCCTTTTTTTTGGCATTATGGGCACTTTTCAATGGTAAATAATACAGGTCTATCATAAGTTGTGAACCTCCTCGCCTCGCTCATTAAAAAAGTCCACTTGGGGCAGTGGTTCCCATCCCCGGGGTCGCGAAAAAATTTTGAGGGGTCGCGGCAAGGTGGTGGGGTCGCCTGGGGGGGCCCGGGGGTTTCCCCCGGGTAGCCCACACGCCGAGCACTGGCGGGAACAAATTTGCGGCATTACTGCTCCCAAACTAAGGCAGATAATCGCACTCCGTAACCAAAGCATGCTAAAGGAAGGCCCAAAGACCAATTGTCTATTAAAGGGGGGACGAAATACCCCCTCAAATCAGACGCAGTGACTTCTTAAATGCCGCAAAGTTGATCAAAACGGTCACAAATGTCTGTGAAAAATCGTGTTTTTGGGGCCCACTTTAAGCACCTACTGTGGCTGATCCGAGGCGGTATTTCGTCCTCCCTCAACGGACAAATTTGGGCTTTGTACCTTTCTTTTGCATGCCTTTTTACGGAGTGCGATTTTCTGCCTTAGTTGGGGGGGCGTATTGCCGCAAAATTAATCAAAACGGTCACGAATGTCTGAAAAATCCGAGGGGGGGAAAAGCTTCCCACATTCATTGTACAAAATTTGACCACATTCCACATTCAGGTGGCAAAAACGCCTGTAAGTAGGCAACAAGTGTGGCAATAGCGCCAGAAATCTTACACATTTTTGCACATTCACACAATCATTGTACACAAAATTTTTCGGTGGTCACCCCCCGGAAAAATCGTGTTTTTATCAACTTTGCGCCAATACTGCTCCCAAACTAAGGCAGATAATCGCACTCCGTAACAAGGCATGCAAAAAAAGGTACAAAGACCAATTGCCCGTTGAGGGGGGACGAAATACCGCCTCGGATCAGACGCAGTAGATGCTTAAAGTCAGCCCAAAAAAAAGATTTTTCACAGAGATTTGTGACCGTTTTGATCAACTTTGCGGCAGTACTGCTCCCAAACTAAGGCAGATAATCGCTTTCCCTAACGGAGGCACGGAGACATTTTGCTGCACGCCAAAAAGTGTGACTGCCTAAAAGTAAATGCAGATCACTGCACATAGCTCCTTCATTTAAGTGGGGCCTAGACTCACTTTCGTGTGTAGATCTCCAGGCGGTGACGGCCCCGGGGAGACGAGCCGGTCCCCCGAAGCCCATCGTTGCCGTAGCCCGGGGGAAATCCTTAAGGTTCGGGAAGAGTGCGAGGACCTCGTCGGGGATGCGCAGCCCCTCCGCGTAGAAGCAGCTGAAGGGACAAGGGGCAGAGTCCCCCAAGCTCCGAGACGTCCTGCATCGCCTCGCGCAGCGCCGCGCCGAGCTCCCGGGGTGAGCGCCGCGCAGTCCCGGCCCGGGACACCCACAGGGGGCCCGGTTCCCAGCCCTCCCCGTCGTCGTTCCCCCCGCCGGGGTGCAGCACAGCCAGCGTGGGGGAGCCGGACGCCACGCCACCCTGCCAAGCGGAGCAACAGAGTCAACACCCCATCCCAGGAACGTGACGTCAGTTCTTTTGAGTACTAATGTCACTTTTAATCTCAAAACCTTACAAACTATTTTGGGCTTTTAATAGGGAAAATACTTGTTATAACAAGTATTTTGAGCATACACAAGCTCACAAAGAAAATACTGTCACAATTTACGAACCATTTCTTCGTATAACAAACTATATAGTTTGTACCTTACATATGCTCAAAATACTTCGTGAGGTTTTATCCGTGTTCGTTTCAGTGTAAATCGGGGCCTCATTGGACCCGATTCGGCCCAAGTGTGGACGATTCACATTGAAAAGAAAGTGACAACAGTATTCAAACGAACGTGACTCAGTTCTCGTTCAAATGAACGTGACGTCAGGTTCCTGGAATGAGAATGAAGTTTCAATGAAAATAGAAAGTTGCGATATAGGTGGACTAATATTCGCGCAACACGGTATGAATATGCCTCGCATTGTGTCGCGCGAATATTGGTCCCTCTGTATTCCTGTGTGTGTCTTGAACGATAAAAGGTGGTATATATTATTTTTCAAATGTCTTTTATTACCTCTGTTATTTACACTGTTATTCAACGAATGTGACGTCATATTCGTAAGAATGTGAATTTTGCTCGGAATTTTGTCACGTTCTTATGTATACACGTAGTCACATATGTCGAAGGTGACTCGGCCGTTTAGTTATCATGTAACACACGTTTGAACGTGAGTCAACATTCAAACGAATGTCACATACTTTTCAAACGAACCTGACACAAATCTCATTCTAACAAATATGACGTCACATTCGTTGAATAACAGTGAAGGAGGTGATGATCACCCACCTGGGTCTTGGTTCGCTGAAGAGACTTTCGAAGGGCGTCCACCATGAGCTGGGCCTTGAGCAGCTTGGACTCGGCAGCGTTGAGTTGCTTCTGGATCGAGTTCGGCCCAGCGTGGCCCACCATGTCCGGAACGTGAATTGGGCACGCAGCCTTCCTGATGCAATTGCGACAGTCCCACCACCTGTTGATCAAGACACACACACCGTTGAGTAAGCCCAGTGACTTCGTTTAAGAAAATTTACGATGCTCATCTGCGAGCCCTGTCGTCTTATTTGCAGTTAACACGACCATTGAACCGCAAGATGCACAATCCCACTGCACAAGCGTCATAGTGACATGAGCGACATACTACTTCTACAGATGTCTAAATAAGACGTTAAATGTCTATCACTTGCCCAGAGCGCAAGGAGACTCACATTAGAAAGACTACTCTTAATTTGGTTAAAATTATAGTACACCTTGAAGTAACTTGAAGACATCTTAATTTTCTGATAGAATAAGATTTAACACTGGTAAAACTCCCGTAATGGCTGATGATTAATACTTCTTCCGGTCTAGGTTCTTCTTGTTCTTCTCTTCAGGCCCTGCTAGGAGTGTGTTACGCTAAGTTTAAAAAGCCGGTCTTGGGCGTCAAACTTACTTATCTCCATTCACGTCTCCTCCCGCAGCGGCAGCCATGATGCACTCGTATTCAACTGTGCAAAAGAAGATAAAGTTCTATTACCATACGAGAACGCAGGGGGTGGCAACGGCCTAGGGAGAACGTGAAGCTATGCTCGCGCCGTCAGTGCAGAGGTTGCGCACTTGTTCGAGATTATGAAAACTAGACTGTTTTTCAAAACACTTTGCACCGATAGAAAGGGCTTGAAATTTAGGGTGCATTAGGCTAATTGCCCTTCTCGAAACTCCTCCCTTACCTAATATTAAGGTGCAGTAAAAACACCGAAAAACACAAAAATCATAAAATTTGGGGAAAAACTCGAATGCGCCATGTTGATGTAAATGATTTCGCCCTTGTGTTCGGTTGAATTGGAAGTATCGGGCAGTCTACTAGGCCTAACGCACCCCAAATTTTGTGCTCTTTCGATCTGTGCAAAGCGTTTTGCAATCAACGGTCTAAATCTTACGATCGAAGCAAAATAAGTAACCCCTGCACTTTACTCGCGCATGGCTTCACGCGCCTCCTAGGCCGTTGCCGACCCCTGCCCGAATACAGATAAAGATCACAAACATGTTCACAACATCCGTCCCCGTAGGTCCCCTTGCCTTCAGAGAGGGGAGAGATGCCGACCCCTTGAACCCCCTCCGAAGATGACACGGATGATATAAACAGATTTAGTGGAATACACTATGGCTGTCCGATCCACGTAACAGAAATAGCAAGCACCGTAAACAGTACCGCCGAAATTGATAGGCCTATAGGAACGTCAGAGCTGAAAAATGAAGCCACTTTCAAATGTTCAGGAGATTAATTCGATAACTAGATGAGTTTTCGGCGAGGGGTTACCCACTCGGTACTTGGGCGTACACACGATTCCGGATTCCCGCGATTCCTGAACAAATCACATAAAAGGAGAGGTTTTTGAAGATTTTTCTTAGCTTTTGAGTGTTTTGTGTCTATTACATATCCCTCTCCATTGAAACTTTTAAGATTTTCGATAAAATTTTGAGCAAATTACGAACGATTCCCGGACTGAGTGTACACACGATTCCCGGAGTGGGTAACCCCTCGGTTTTCGGTATCGGGCGATTGTAATTCTGCTTTTCTTTTCATTCCAACCTCTGTCAAAGTCGTCTTTTCACCTTCGAATCCAACCCCGCAGCCCACAATCAACGAATTAGAACGGATTGTGTAAGAGTGTGTCGGGGTCTACACAGAAAAGACTACGAATTATCGCTTCGTAATAGGGTACCCCATAGGAGCTCTGGCCCTGAAGGATGAAAACAGAAATCAGAAATGACAGTATTTACGAGAAACGTACTACTCCTCGGATTAGGTCTGGAGCTCTTCCGCAGCGTATATTTCCCATAGAAACTGTCATTTCTGACTTCCGTTTTTGTTCTACTTCTTCCAAGCCAGAGCTCTTTCCGAGTACCCTATACGAATACGAAGGCATTGCAAAATCTACGAAGAAATGCCTCATATAGACCCTTTCGCTCGTCCCCTAGTAAAGAACAAAAGTAATCAAAACGCCAGGAAACAGTAGGAACGTTCGTAGTGGTTTCTGGCTTTATGATTACTTTAGTTCTTCACTTGGCGACGAGCGAAAGAGTCTTTTATGAAGCAAAATCCTTCGTAATACGAAGCATTTTTCATTTTTTTGTAATAAGAAGCAATTATACAATGCCTTCATTTTCTTCGTAGTTACGCTGAAGGCCAGTCCTTAAACGAACGCAAACACACCAGGGCATTCGTCACAAACCGTACCAGATCCCAGTAAAGAATACTCCCGGCCCTGTATCCGTTGTGACCAATCGCGGTGGTTGAGCACTTCTCTTGCGTAACCATGAGCCGTAGCTACGCGCTCGGTAATCGGAGCTCGACCTCCGCCTGGGGTAGTTCCGGAGGAACCTGTATTTTTGTCAAACCTTGGTTGAGTCTGATATGATGAGGGAGCAAATGCTAAGTTAGTCCGTCGACAGAGACTTTCTTCAAACTTCACACTAGAATGCCACTCAAAGCCACTATATCGAAGTGAGCTGATTATTGCCTGTGTGTCTAACTCACATGTAATATACTGTAAAAAATAGCAAATGGGCCAAATCGTCCATTTGGGTCTAAAGAACACGTGTGCAAAGTGACTTGCTTCAAAGCCACTTTGAAACGTTCTAGGGGATTTTCCGTTTCGTTAACCCCACTTTAAGGGCGTTGTTCATATGGCTTTGTTTTACCAGTGCCGTTGTACGTGTGAGCAGCGTTGCTTCTAGGTGCAAGTGCGAAACCGGAAGTCAAACATCACACTGCTGTCCTTTAGGAAGTATACTCTACGGGCTCTCTTCATACTCAATAGTGAACATGTGTAGTACTGTTCGTACCGGGAGGGAGCATGTAAGTTTAATTGATGTGGCGCATGCTTGTCAAACACACTAGAGGGGTCATTACTTGCCTGCTCTGAACGTGTGAGATAGGGAGCGTCAGCAACGGTGTCCCTGCAGATGAGCGGTGTGCGCTACCTGGATTGTAGTTAGGAAAACATGCCATAGGCATGATAAAGGTCGTGTGTTTATGGACACACCATTTATCACGTTACGCAGTTATCGACACGTTTTGATCCCCCCCGGCCGAAACCCTCCTCCAGCGTAACGTCAAACAAAATTTCTCATGAAAACACAATATTTACCCTCTTAAATCTAACGAATTTAGCGTAACGTTACGCTGGCTCGGAGCCCCCTCCCCCCATGTACCGCAGCGTTACGCAGACCAGGTACTAGGTACTCCCCCTCCCCCTTAGTTCTTAACGTAATTAATAGGCGTCCCCTTATGCATGCACCTTACCATGTACTGTACACCGCCGTCTAGTTTGATAAGTAACTCTAGATGAGTTTCGATCGCAGTCTTTAAATGTGCCACCCACTAACTTTCGTTGCAGAACATCTTCCGCACCTAGGAAGTGTTTCTTGTGGGAAACAACGTAGATGCCATCATCCTCCTCTTCGACAGGTTCTACTAGCCGCGTGCACCGTCTGACTTTCCCTTGAGCGCTTGTTGAGTGGCAGCGACCAACCTCACCTCCAACTGCCGACGACGCCAACTCTCCGGCGGCCCGCCTACGTCCTTCAAGCCTCAGTCAACCTCAAGAAAGTGAGCCAGTGGTGTCATTCTAAGGTAAGTACGCCGTGTGTATTTACTGAGTGGTCAAGCGATGTAAACGCAAGAAAATTAAACGCGATCCATAGGAAAGACGACATAAGGCACGGAAATTCTTGCTGGCCTGATTCCGGTTGAGGTCGTGAATTGAGAAAACACCCGGTTATTCGAGATGAAGTTGGTGCATGCCTGACCGCACTGTCTACAGGTTTCGCGGGGCTTCGCCTTCGCCGGCGCCGTCAGGCTGTTACCAAACAACCGGAAACTTCAAGAAATCAGCTCATTGAGGGCTTCTGGCTTTTTTCAATAGTGGGTCGGTCTCAAATAGACAACTTTCGGGGATCCTAAACTGGAAGTCTTGCATAATGTTCCAAAGTAACAATTTGCACTGTTTGCTTGCACGGTGGAATGCCGAGAGGTTAGGCTCCGGTCAATACGGCTTAAAGTGACTTCCGGTCCACGATCGTCGACCATAGCGTTTCTTGACTTTCGGTCCACGATTCTACAAACTATGCAATCACGTAACGCTTCTTGGGGAGCCACAATTATTTAACTAATGTGACGTCATATTCATTAGGATGTGAATTTTGTCTCGTTCGTTTTGATAAACCTTACGTTCGTTTGATCGTGACCCGGCCGTTTGATCCATCGTTTGAACGTGGATCACAATTCAAACGAATGTGATATCGCATCTTAACGAACGTGACAATATTCACATTCTAATCAAATACAACTTTTATTAATGTGGCATTGCAGGTGTGTTCAGGATTTTGAGCAATTGAGCAATTTATTACAGGACAGTATTACAGTAGCTCACTGTAGTTCATTACACGATAATTTAAAGTCGGAGGACGATGATCTGGTAACCCCTAGAGTGTATCTCTTTGTGGACTCCCTGACGCACTCTTAAAACCTTACGAAGTATTGTGAGCATACATATAACAAACTAAAATACTTTGTTATACGAAGAAATAGTTCGTAAATTACGAAGTATTTTCTTTGTAAGCTTACGTATGCTCAAAATACTTTGTTATACAAACTACTTTTCTTTGTAAGGCCCAAAACAGTTTGTAAGGTTTTCTCAGTGCGGGGCACAATGTTGGGCCTGACCGGTTGGTTGCGGCTGGGCCTGGGTCATCCTCGAGGTAGACGGGAAAGAACACCTGATTGAGCCGAGGAAATCAGACGCGCCCATCAAATATTACGTCCGCAATAATCAGCTGTATGACATCCTCCTTGAGGCACACGTAACGACGGGAAATGGGCGCCGAAACATAAGGGTCATTCCATATAAAATTTACACGGATCTGTGTGACCTTCGATGAAATTTAGCACAAAGGTAGTCCTAGTGGTCAGGAACATGCCAATAAATTTATAGGTCGATCTCAAGTGGTTTCGTCAGAAGCGGCATTTTAAACTTTTACTCAATAAATTGCAATTTCTTCAAAATCGCTCAAAATGGCCATTTTTTGTCGGATTTTCATGCGCTACAGCTTATTCTGACGGAAAATGCCACGAGGAATCCGAATCTGCTCTCGGATTTGGTCTAGCTTGATTGCCAGTGCGGTAAATTGCGAAAAACATGAAAATGAAGGTATATGTCACGAGCATGTCTACCCTAGTACAAAATCCAAATCTGCACTTCCGAAGCTGGGCATCGAAGGTTACTGATGTGTCATTCTCCGTGTTGCTCTTAATTGGACTACGCTGATCGAGGAATGAAGTAGCTTCTTCAAGTAACCAGGAGAATAGACTATTCTAGTCGTCTCCAACTGAAGAACAAGAAGAATAACGAAACCGGAAGTGGCGCAGGCAACTTAACCTCACTCACCCGTCCGAGTACACCATTTCAGAAGTTCTTCGATTCAACACTCGTTCAAAATCAATTAAGCTTGTGTCAAATACCTTTTGGCAAAGGAAAGAAATATATTTGTCAGCATTCCCATAAACCAGGCTCACTACCTACTCTCGATCTACTCTATTTCCGGTTTTGTGATTCTTTTTGTTCTTCAGTCGACGACGACTAGAATAGTCTATTATTCTAAAGTTAATTAGGTGAAGGTTTCCTCACTGAAATTGGTGATTTTTTTCCTGTGCCGGGAAACAATCTAAAAGAAAACTGCCATTATTTTTGCACGGACACTAACCCAATTTTGATAAGGGCGCCTTAAGATACCTATTTCTCTACCAACCTAAATCTATCGTCTACTTACCTCTACTGACAATCTACAATCGTCTTCAGCGATCGGGATGTGTCGGGGCAATGTGACCCCGTGTAGACCCCAGCCAAACCGAACCGGACAACACCAACAAAGACTGAAACAGAAGCTGAAACAACAGGACGCGCGGGGTGGCGACACGACAGCGTTGCTAAGACAACAGCGTAGGGATGTGCGAATCAAGGATTTTCATTTCAAATCAAATCTAAAAAAAAAAAGTTTCAAATCGAATTTGAATTGAATTGAACTTTTAAAAATTTAGAGTCGAATCAAACTTAAACTAAAACTAAAAAAATAGTGCGTTTCAAAACAAATTTTCTGTCATAAAGGAAGGGCATAGAGCAGGAATACAAACAGAAGAAAATTAAAATATCTGATCTTGCTTTGGTACAAAAACAACGCTATGCGCGCGACATTCAACCGTTCCTGAGCAACCGATTCGAAGACGAACCACTGTTGATTCGAAAATTTCGAATTCGAATATTCGGGGTCGAAGCAATGACAGCCGTCCCCGAATCGTATCATCACCCCTGTTTCGATACGATACCGAACTATTCGCACATCCCCACAACAACGAGGTGCGGAGTGGCCGCGGCTTTGACAACACTGCGGGCGCAGGGCCAGCGGCTCGCGCTTCAGCGAGCGCGAAACAACCACCGCGCAGCGCAACCGACGCGCGGAGACAGTAGGGGAGGGGCAAGCATTGTTGCATCGGGTCGGCGGTGATCGGCGGCCGCGCACCGCGCACGAGGGAGGCAAGCGGCAGCACGCTCTGCTCGCGACCTGTTGCGAGCACCCGACCACGGCAGTTCCCAGTTTGTTTGCAAGTGTTGAGTATTTTGCGGAAGCGCGACTGCGCGTCGTCACCGTCTCCTCCTGTAAAGTGCATTTTGGAGCTTCGGCGCTTGCCCACTGCGGTGAATTTCAGGTAAGTTTAAGCTACCAAACAAACCGATGCGTGTTGGCTAGGGCAAACAACTGCTCACACCACGAGAAGGATTCTCGCTCTTACTTTCAGATTTCTCTTTCACCCTGAAAAGTCAATGGACTATTGCTTCGTAAAACATGGCTGATAGGAATAGCTGGTGTTTAAAAGTAAGAATGGATTTATTCTTAAGGGGTCAACGTCTCAATATGTACAACAACGGGTACCACCAGTTTCAAAAGTATCTGATGACACCTCTGCTGGGGGTTTGGAGTTTTCAGTTTCGGCGACTGAACTTTTCCATTTCAAGAGGTAAGCGAGCCGATCGCAGGTCTCTGTTGAAGGCACAATCGGCTTGCTTACAATTCCGCTCATGATTGAACGGCTTACAAGCTGCGACCGAAAAACCTAGCCGGAGTGTCAGATACTTTTGCAAGAGGTACTTCGTTGCTTTAAAAATTGAAGTTTGAGATCTAACATGAATAAGAGCCGCATTGAACCAACCTTGCGAGGGATTTAGTTCAATATTGTCTTCTTATTAGAAATTGCAATAGACTGACTCCCTTTATTTTTAAATTGAGTAACTTTCGCAATGGCAAAGAAAGTGCTTTAGCAAGTTTGACAAAGCTACCGTATTCTTCCCAGATTTAAGCTGTACGTTGCCTGAGAGAATACACTGCAATGCCAGTGGTAAGTTTACTTGCCACGAATTTGGCAAGCCGTTTTGAATGCCAAAAATTGGCAAGCTTGGCCCGGAAATACTCTCCAGCTTTTGGCAAGCTTACGAAGAGTGCCGACCAAACCTTGCCAAATTTGGCATTCAAAACGGCTTGCCAAATTTGTGGCAAGCAAACTTACTACAGGCTTTGCAGTGTAAGTGTGTTTAACGCCCTTAATACCTTACGAAGTATTTTGAACTTACATGCGTACAACCTAATTTACTTTGTTATACCAAGAAAAAGTTCACTCTCATTCCAGGAACGTGACATCACGTTGAAACGAACGTGACAAAGTGTCATGTTCGTTTGAGCAATGTGTCACGTTCGTTTGAATGTGAACAAGCTGATTTTTGCCCAATTCACACCCAAACGAATGTGACACAATGCTCAAACGAACGTGACATTTTGTCACGTTCGTTTTAACGTGATGTCACGTTCCTGGAATGAGAGTGTTCGTAAATTACGAAGTATTTTATTTGTAAGCTTAGTGTATGCTCAATATACTTTGTTCTAACAAACTGCTTTCCTTTTTAAGGCCTGAAATAGTTTGTAAGGTTTTCTCAGTGAACAATTCATGCTTTTTTTTAGGGCCGCGACAATGGCCGAGGAGTGGCAGGGCAAAGTGTTTTGTCCTTTGACGTGGACGGCGAATGGAGCCCCTCTCGTGCCGATGACCATGGCGATGGCAAGGTCCATCGAGGCGGAGGGACTGGACTTCTCACCTACACCCTGGCATCGTCTGCTTGAGCTCGTAAGTATTGGCGAATTTGCTCCGAAGATTGAACGAAAACTAATTTTGCTTTGCGGAGCGAAGCTCCCTGTTCGGGATTTTGAACGTTCGCAGTGTCACTCTCAGTGTCATTCCTCACACGAGTTCTATGCGAGGTTTCCCTCGAATGAAAACTGTCCCAAAATACTCAAATAGATATTTTTTAAACAAGGTCTCAAACTATCAGGACGATCGTAGGGGTCCATGGAGAGGTGTGACTTCCCCTCATTTTGATTGGTACAGTGAGCCCTCCATAGGTAACAGCCACCCCGACCGGGATGATCAATGTGTTCCACCTTTTTGTTACAGATAGGACTGGCGTACGCCTACCACCAACTTAGTCGAGCAGACGCCTGTGAGAAAGTGATCAATTGTTATGCAATCATCTTGCCTGGAGTTCATGATTCTGATTGCCCACTGATCAAGGAATATCGGTGAGTGTATACACTGATTCAGGGTGCTTGCACGCCAATGCAACGCACTTTATGTCGATATCTCGTATATTGAAATGAGTTGAATACACATGGAATCTGTTTCTAGAGCGATCAACATCGACTTTTTTTTTGGGGGGGGGGGAGGGGAGGGTTTCTATCGAATACTTTTCACTTCGGGTATCGAAAACCAATTACGTGCCCTCATCTAAGAAATGGTAACTTTTCAATCTAAAACGCCTTTGACAAGCAACTAGACGTTTCAAATACAAATAAGTTCTCTTCGTAGATTTGTTAAGGGTTAAGCGTGGACGAATGGTCCACGCTAGGAAACGACCAAGCTGTGGTCCACGCTTCACAGCGTTTGACTCCTCATAGGCCAGCTCTCTCTCAAGTGCTATCTCAAGTGTGGACCACAGCTTGGTCCACGTTTCCTAGCGTTGCCCATTCGTGGTCCACCTTTTCTAGCGTGGACCACCGTGGTCCACGCTACCTAGCGTGGACTTGGTCCACACTTAAATTAGCAGCGTTGATAGTGCAAACCTCCTCGGTTTCGGCTTTAAAAAATTGATGGTGTTTTCAATCACATGTCGCTTTATTATTAATTGCGTCCTGTATTTGTCTGTTCGCCTCCAGGCCGGCAATTAGGCACCTGCTCGACGGCTTCTGGGCCATGTTGGAGTGGGAGAGGAGGCGAAAAACGTCTCCACTGCTGGCGGCCTTCATCGAGGAGATCACTCCCTTCGAGGAGCTGTCGCCGCGCCTCCAAGCTGCCGTCCACGCGGTGCACGCGACCATCAGCAAGGTGCAGAGAGGTGCGAGCAGACGGCAACAGAACGCGGCACGGTGTGCATCGTTCAGTTGACGATGTACACCGTGGAACGAGGTGACCCCGATACTTTTGCCGTCCATCCTAACGGTGTATCCGACTTGTCCCGCAGACGTGGCGCTGACCCACGCGCAACTGGCGGTGCAGAAAAGCCCCGGCGAGGGCGAGTGGCACCACCTTCTTGGCTTGTGCACGGGCCTCCCCGGTTCCGGCGCCACGCCGGCAGAACACGAGGCGCACCTGCGGGAGGCGCACCGCCTCCGTCCGGGCCCGCACACCGCCGTGACGCTGGCGAGGGTCTTGGCCTCCAAGGAGAAGGGCCGCGCCAGGGAGCTGCTGGACGAAGCGCTGCGGGAGCACCCAGATTCGCCCTATGTGCTGAGCCTCGCCGGGGAAGTTCTGGTTGCCGTAAGTCTACACACCCTAAAACCGTACGAAGTATTTTGGGCATACATAAGTGTGGAGGCAGAAGCTGTAGCTCGGGCACCAGGACTCGGGGTCTTGCTTGGGGCTGCGGCTGTAGGGACAGGGGCAGCGGTGCTGATGACAGGACAGGACGCGGCTGGTGCAGGAGTGGCCGTGGGAGTGGGCGCGGCGTGAGGGGCTGGAACTGGGGCTGGGGCGGCAGTGGTGGACAGCAAACGGAACAGTTGTCGGAAGGCCTGGGACGACTGCGCTCGAACCGGCAGCGGCTGCATGCGGAACGGTATTGTGGAAACCACCGAATTGAGGCCCAATTTGCAGCGCTTTGCTCGGCTTTGCGTATCTAGGTAGTACCTTGGCGGCAGGCCTCTTAGGTGGTGGAGGGGTTGGCGGAGTAGTTTCCTTCCGCTTGTCCGCCATGTTTGCCTTCCGGAAATCCCGTCCGCCGTCCGTCCCCTGCCTCGCCGCTGTTTACCGGGACGCCCGGGAATTTCCCGCCTCGGCTTGCGTCGCCCGTTGCCCCAGCTGGCCTGGCACCCTGGGAAACTCCGACAATGGCACTTTTCGGCTGGTCCGCCGGGCAAATATCGCCATTGTCGCGAGGTGATACGCGTATACCTGCGTATGACCTCCAAAAAATTATAGGTTATACGGTACCCTTGATTTCATTTATAGGTCGTACAGCGTATGACCGCGCATACCTTAGCCGGCACCTCTGGAAACAGGGCGGGAATCGGGTGTATCAGGATCAGGTGAATTGGCCTTTGGCCAGAATTCTCAAGCAGAGCCCGGAACTCCTCCTCCGTTGTTAGGCACTTGACATCTCGCGGGAAGCTGCTGAGCATGCCCACCCGCATGTCCATGCCGAACATCGCCTTGTAGGGAGACATCTTTATGCCGGAGTGCAGGGCATTGTTTTTGGTGTATACTGGACAAATTTTAATTCAGCAGCCCAAGCTATCCGTCCGCAGGTACGTAGGTGCGTGTTCAGCATTTTTTCAATGTCTTGGTTCGCCCTTTCGACAGAGCCCTGCGACTGGCTGTGACGCGGTGAACCATGGACAAGTTTCAGTCCAGGCCACCGCGCACAGAGAGCACGCAACGCACCAGCTGATTGGCGAACTCACGCCCGTTGTCCGACTGCAGAATAAAGGGAGCACCAAAGAGACAAAATATTACAGCACCTGGTCCGCTACTTCCGCCGCTTCCTTTTTCTTCAGTGGCCTCAGGATGCAAAATTTGGTCAGGTGGTCCTCCTGGTACACCATTATGTGATTGAACTCGCCGTCGGGCTTGGACTGCATGTCAATTAAGTCGACTTGGCACCGGCTGTTCATTTCAGAATGCAAAATGGTGGCTTCAGCACAATCCCCTTCTTTTGCTTTTTTTGTTTCATGGCGCAGCCTTCACATAGAGTTAAGAACAATTTGACAACCTCTTGGGTAATGTTGCTGTACCTGAAAATGCCATATATCATGATTAGATTCGAGGACTGCAATAATTCAATACAGCACTGCACTACAGCACTTACATTTTGGTCACCTCGCTGTACAGCCTGTGTTTGCCCCAAGGCCAGAGGCTTCATGAGCCTCGTAGAGTACATCAAACATCTCCTCAATTGCGACATGATACTTGATTGCAGCACCGGGCTCGGCTGAGGCCTCGGCGAGCTTCTCTACGCTAGGGTGCCGCGAAAAACACTTTTTTCTGAAATTGATATCGGCTCGGGTGGCAAAGTGTTCTCTCAGGGGTCAATATGAACGGTTTTAAATATCACCCCGATCGGATAATATCTTCAGCCCCCACAACGGCCTTGAAAATCGGAAAAATGGTTAAAAACGCCTTGTGGGTAGGCAATTTGTTTGCACGCTTCCGGCCACTCCCAGGCATGTCCTTAGGCTTAAAAAGTCGAAAGGGGACCCCCTAAGCCTAAAATAAATTTGTGGACAACCTCACTCTATGATTAATACCAGTTTCTGCAAAGTTAACGCATGATATTTAACAATTCTGTCATGATTTGCCTCCAAATCCCCACGTATGTCACTTTCGCCCATTTCGACCGTCTTTTTCTCCGATCTGACTTACTTCCTGATATCAGAAGGGTCGATTTAGGGCGGGTGCATTTTGGGTCAAAAATCGCTAGGACGCTCTGTTTGGCGGGAAAATTGGGTCTAATTAATCAATTTTTCTGCAATTTCGGTTATTTTGACCCAATTTTCCCGGAAGCGTCCTATCGATTTTTGACCCAAAATGAACCCCCCCTAAATCGACCCTTCTGATATCAGGAAGTAAGTCAGATCGGAGAAAAAGACGGTCGAAATGGGCGAAAGTGACATACGTGGGGATTTAGAGGCAAATCATGACAGAATTGTTAAATATCATGCGTTAACTTTGCAGAAACTGGTATTAATCATAGAGTGAGGTTGTCCACAAATTTATTTTAGGCTTAGGGGGTCCCCTTTCGACTTTTTAAGCCTAAGGACATGCCTGGGAGTGGCCGGAAGCGTGCAAACAAATTGCCTACCCACAAGGCGTTTTTAACCATTTTTCCGATTTTCAAGGCCGTTGTGGGGGCTGAAGATACTATCCGATCGGGGTGATATTTAAAACCGTTCATATTGACCCCTGAGAGAACACTTTGCCACCCGAGCCGATATCAATTTCAGAAAAAAGTGTTTTTCGCGGCACCCTACTCTACGCCCTTCCACTTCCTTATTTCATACCGCTTCAGGCGCCTCCGGTCAGTCGTACTGAGAAACTTTTTCTTGTGCTGGGCTGCTTTGACCTCGGACATTAGTTGGGCGTACCGCGGCAAGTCCAGTAGTGAGGCGTTGTCCTTTCTCTTCGAGCTCATTACAGCACCTATTTTCTCGTCGAACTTTTCTTTCATTTTGGCCTTTTCTCTTCCTTTATTGGCCCTTCTCTCAAGCTCGACATCGTCGATATCTTCCATTTGGTCTTGTCAAAAGATTCTCAGCAGCCCGCCGTCAAAGCAAACAATCGAACAATACCCCCCCCCCCAAAAAAAAAAAAAAAAAAAAGAAATGAAGGTCGGACTTTACCCAGTCAGCCTTTGGTAATGTCCGAAGGCGCTGGGTTATGTCCGGCGAAACATGGTCGGACTGACATTACCCAGAGGCCACTGGGTAATGTCGAATCCGCCGGACATTACCCGGGTAATGTCGACACTTCCCGCCCGCCGGACGCCGGACATTACCCGTAACACATACAAATTTGTTATGAAAGCACGAAAGAGCAAAATTGCACACTGAAAACCTGACGAAGTGTTTTAATATATGTAAGGCACAAACCATTTACTTCGTAAATTACCAACTATTTTCTATGTAAGCTTAAGTATTTAAGTTCTTATGTGGGGCTACTTTACTTCGTAACGCCTCAATGGTTAGTAAGGTTTTCATAGTGAGAGAATATCAGATACCGGCTGATATACCTCCTTAGATAGGCTGCAACGGCATCTGTAAGAAACACCACATTCTTTGTTGAAATTGTTGGATTCTTAATCGTACGAGGTGACCTATCAAAATGTCTGACGCCAACTTTTGGAACTAGAGGCATCGTTGTCAGACAGGTCTGTTCGATCGAACGAAATCTGAGCTTGGCATGGAACAATCGGCTTTTGTTGATGCTGATCCTTCGCTCTTCAATGTCTTCCTCAATATACGAAAAAAAAAACATTTTTTTTTGTAAAGACTGCAAAGTTTCAAAACCAATGAAATGGACAGTGTTCACTGCGAATGTCAGAGTGAGAAACAAGACTTCCAGAAAGCCGACGAAGGGGATAACTCCATTTTGACCATTTTTCAGGAGAAACAAAAGACTGTTAGCAGGGAAAATTAAAACTAATCAATAGAATGTTACAGATGATAACAAGTTCAAGGAGCGTTAGTTAAAATATGAGATGAACATCAGGAGTGTCAGGTCACTGCGTATAGGAGTTCTGTGACTTATCACTTTCCGTTAAAATGGGAAACAGAGTCATCGCAACTTATATTTTCTAAACGAATTGGGATTTGGAGACAAGTCAAGTGGAACTGTAGTCGGGAGAGAGTATTGGGGTGATTCCGTGCGTAGAGGGTCATTTTGGATGTACCAAATGTTCTTTTTTAAAGTTCAACTTTAGGGGCTCAATTTGGTGTAGATGGCATACATAGTACACCACAGTACCCCTCTGAGCGTGGCAGCGCTACAACTTGACTTTTAATTTCACCCCCTATGAAATACGGCGGAATTTACAGAAATAATGACGGAATTTACAGATTACGGAATTTACAAAGCGAAGTGTTTAGTCTCCTGACCCGCTGGGTTACAAGATAGGTAAAAACTGTTCACGGTGTCATTTTGAGCATCCAAAATAGCGTTTTTCAGCGAAGGTTGTGGGAACTTTCTCCCTCAGATGGAGGAGCTACGGCCCGAAACGGAATTTACAACTATTTTTACACCCTTACCGTTTTGAACAATTCTGACGGCCTGGAAGCGTCATTTGACCGCCCCAGGTCCCGCGGGCACGGGCTTCTGGAAGCGTTTTTTATGTTCTTTCGATCCCAAGTGGTCGTGAGGTTCTAAAACGAAAAGGAACCCCAGTAGACCGTCATTTTTGAAAACAGCATAGGTCACATGGAATGACATTTTCCCGGTGTTTCGTGGCGACCAATGATGATCGGGCCCCCTTTCCAAATTTTTAAGAAAAAGCAGGGGGGGAATACCAGTTTTCTTTTATGTGGGTGAACCATGTCACCAGCTGGAAGCTGGCCATCAGAACGTGTGTTGATTGTGACAACCAAGAATAAGGTATCCTAGAACCGTTTGTCCATCATGCAGGGAAGGTCTTGATTTTAGTGCTCTTGAAGACGACCAGAAAGTTGGTTGAGAGAACCACTCATCTGAAAAACTTCAGCCGGATACCTTTGTTCGTGGGGAATTTCTATGAACGCTCAGCAAACTCTGTTTCACGTCTATGGTCCTCTTAAATGTAGTGTTATTTACACTGTTCCAAACTGCATCACATAAAAATGAATGAGACGGCACGGCGAAGAGCCGCACCGCATGCTCTCTCCCGGTTTAGCAGAAGACAAGTGGTTGGGGATCTGCCTGAACCTAACCCATTGACCGAACGTAGACGCCAGCGAGAGGCAAAATGAAAATCGTTCTTCTCCGAAATTCAGTCTAATATTTTGTTCCAGAAAATTTTAGCTTTTACGGCTAGAAACATATTTACCAGGCAACAAAACAGTGATTTGCGAAAATTATTTACTTGAGTAACATAAATCGGAAATACCCCAATAGGCGAAAAGGGCACCCGTCACCAAGGGCAGGTCCGTGAAACCTCGACTCTCAGGGAAACAACTTCCTTGAGCAGATGTCGGAGTGACGATTGGCTTTTGGGCCACCAAGTGACTTGTGAGGATTTTAAATACCTAGTGGTTGTGTGAATAGCCGTTCGATGCCCACAATTTTTACTGTAACGACAATGAGTACATCCGATCGTGACACGGAACAGCTTTTTTCAGTGACATGGTCCCCACGGTACCATTTTCGCAAAGCTGTATCGGGTTCAACAAGTGAGTACAAGGTCACCTTTCCGTAATTGGTGAAGAATAAGTCAATGGGGCGAGAGTGAAATCGCCAGTTTTCTTTTGATGTGGCTGAGTCATATACTACAGCATGGCAATTTGACTTATTGTTGGTGACCATTTACGGAACTTACAAAACGACACTTTAGCAGTTGAATGATAAAAAAAGTTGATCGACTTATCACAATGAGGACATAAATCTTCGTTTAGTAAAGCAAATTGAATTGCCCAAGCCTACCAAATCAACCTCAGTTCAGGCGCAAGGTCCGGTGACCTGAAATTTACCCCTACGCACGGAATCACCATTTGGTTCCTCTGGTGCAATTTTTTTTGGACTTAGCTCTTTTTTCCGTTATGGTTCTTAAAATGTAAGTGGTTAAGCCTGACCATTCTTTTTCAATCAGCCCTAAAAACACAAGTTGAGTTATCTCATGTAAACAATAAGTTCAACGGAGTCATGTTGGCTTGGAATGAGTGATCTTTTTCAAAGTGGATTTCCTCCTTACCTGCTAGGAACTGGATGAAATAATTTGGTGCAATGAATTTTCAACCCATTCTCGGCACATTATAACTAAAACTCAATTTGGAGATAAGTCGAATTATTCCCTTCTTCCGCTTCCTGGATCATTTGGTGTGCGGTATTCTTCATTACCCAATTTCGGGTGACAATCTCTTCATCGCCCACACTCTCATTCCAGGAACGTGACGTCACGGTTGAAACGAAGTGACAAATGTCCGTTCGTTTGAGTACTTGTCACATTCGTTTAGGTGTGAATCGGGCAAAAAACGGCTTGTTCAAACATTGAAACGAATGTGACACAATTTCTAACGAACGTGACATTTGTCACGGTTCGTTTCAACGTGACGTCACGTTCCCCTGGAATGAGAGTTTTCAACATTGTGGAAGGTTTTCAAATCAAATTTGGGCGAGGGAAACACGGTCATCATCCGAATTTTGCTTATAAAATGAATTTCACCCATATTCGGTTGATAACACATAGCGAGTCCAAAATTGGCTATTGATCAAGACTCTTTCATTCGCAGTGTTGTTTACCTTTTGTTTGACCGGATTCCTTGCGTCTGTTTGCCAGATTGACGGCCTGAACGTTGAGACCGCGACGCAGGCCAAGCGGCTGCTGGAGCGTTGCTCTTCCCTCATCGGGGACAGGGGCAGCACGGAGCTCAAGCTGGCCAACCTGTGCAGGCGACAGGGTGGGCGAGAAGCGGAGGCCAAAGCCCATTACCAGAAGGTGAGTTCTTGCCTACACTTGCAGGAAAAGTGGGAGGAGTGCGCGGAGGAGTGCAACAGCAGTTGATTGAAATTCATTGAAGTTCATTGAAAATGTGCACAACGAGGATTGTTAACAGCCTGCACTTGTCATGCCGGCCCCTTCCCGATTGAACTTCGAAAGTACAATTCCACTGAAAAGCCATTGGTAAGTTTGCTAGCCACATATTTGGCAAGCCGTTTTAAATGGCAAAGTTTGGCAAGTTTCGGTCGGATATCTTCATAAGCTTGCCAATTTTTGGCAAGCTGATGAGTATATTGCCCGGCCAAGCTTGCCTATTTTTGGCATTCAAAAAGCTTGCCAATTTTGTGGCAAGCAAACTTACCACTGGCTTTGCAGTGTCAACCATGATAAAAATATTGCCAGGATTTGTTGCAGTTTTGTTGAATTAGTCTTTTCTGGCAGTGCAATTTATCGGATTCACCGTGAGTGAGTTCCGTGGCATTTAACCACAGCGAGGCAGCAGCTGAGGCACAAACCATGCAAGCGTAAGACACACGTGGTTCACACTTGAATAAGCGTGACACATTCTGGTTCACGCTAAAGCGTGACTATCTCGTCACACACTTGGATTTTCAGTGAGCAGGGTTTTCAGGAATGAGGGGTAGAACAACCTTTGACAGCTCTCTGCGATTGGTGTGTGCTTCCAGGCCTACAGCTTAGGGATGGTGTCTGCCTACATGCCGGGACCCCTGGTGGGCAGCGCGGCGCCTCACCCGCACTTTTACTCACACGCAGCAGCAGCATGCATGTGCTGCAGCCGCAGCCCTCAGCCAGCAAACAAGGCACCGACCAAAGTCGAACGGATTTCGCGAAGAAAATGATTGACAATAGGTTTAGATAAGTTGTACGAAAATCTACCTTCTCTCTTGTCTTGAATATATTGAGAGGTTAACTTTTATTCACCCGGACATTCCGATACGGAACTGTTTATATTCTGTCTAAAGTCGCTTCGTAACGCGGTTTCCCGTCGCCGAGAGCCGCTAGTTTGGGAAAAGAACTTACCTTACATATGTATGTTGATTCCCCCCTGTTAACTTACTTACTATCTCATTCTAGGAAAGTGACGAAACTTACCGCTAAAACGAATGTGACAAAATGTCACGCTCCTTTGAGCATTGTCTCACATTCGCTTGAATGCGAATGAGTCATAAATTAGCTTATTCTCATTCAAACGAATGAGACACAATGCTCAAAAGCTCGTCACAAGGTTTGTCACATTCGTTTTTACGTGATGTCACGTTTCCCCTAGAATGAGAGTGTAACAAAACTGTAACTGAAACGTAAAACTTCCTCTCCCGAATTTGTTTAATTGTTGGTTTTAGAGATCTAAGATTTGATTTCAGAGTTTTATCCCCATGAAAATGTTACAGTAGCATCTAGAAAACTGTTTTTACACCCTTAGCCTCATTTTTCTGGTTTGAAAAGGGTTCCCCGCTATTTGGAAGGTTAACCTTTTCTCCTCGGTGCGGCAGGCCTCGGACAGCCGTACTGATTGATCTTGGTTCTCAAAACGTGTTTCATGCTTCAATTTTTTTGGTGTTCATTGTAAGAACTCATGAATTGCACGGCTTATCATTTTAATACATTATTAAGCTTATTTACTGTACCCACTTCTATGGTAACATATCCTTCTAATATAATAATGAACTTCTTTATTATACCCCCTTTGATGATTATGTATCCTTCTATTGTGTTATTGAGCTTCATTATCCTTATAAGGTAATATTAAGTTTCTTTATTATATCCCCTTTGATAACCTATCCTTTTAATATATTATTAAGCTTCTTTGTTGTATCTCCTTCGATGGTTACCGCATTGTACAAGCACGTCTTGGCATCCAAGGGGATCTTGTTCCAAGGAAAATCTCCAATCCCTGTAGTGTTTTGAATTTCTTTTACTTAAGTGATATCATACGTTCGTACGCACGTAAGTTGGAAAACGAAGCAGTGATTTTTTAGTGTTTGATGCAAATCTTTATAAAGAGCGCGGAAATTTTGTTTGAATCATAAATTGTGTCTGGATTGAATTTTGTTTCTTGACGCTTGGAGTACTTTTTGAAGCTTGTGAACGCATTTTCAGTTTGCCTTCAGCTTGTGTTTAGGCCCGGACTGGCCCGGGCCGCAAGGGCGCGATCGCGCCCGGGGCCTCGCGCGAAGCGCGGGGCCTTTCGGCCGCGGGCCACGGGGCCTTTTCACCGCGGGGCCTTTTTGGCCGCGGCAAAGTCGCGGTCTTTAACTATTTACGTACTTAAATCGAAGGGGCCCCATTTGAAAATTTTTCATACACAGGATAATTTAATGGTAGGGACTCTGTAGAGGTTTCTCAAGATTTCGCAGGATTTCGCGTCAAAATTATGCCGGATTCCGCGAGATTTTGATGGTATTTTACGAAATTTCTACCGATTTTACGCAAGATTTCGGCAAATTAAGCGCTTTTTGACCAACTTTGGTCCTAAAATCGTTGCGGTCAAAGGCAAAATCGTTGTGGTCAACGTCTTCCCGATACAGGCCATGAAAGAGTGGGGTCTTAAGAATACTAGAACGTCGAGGGAGGCCTTTTACGGCTACTAGATTGGATGCAGTGGCCGCCCAAAATCAGCAAATTTCCGAGATTCGACCACTTTTTGACCAACTTTGGTCCCAAAATCGTTGCGGTCAAAGCCAAAATCGTTGTGGTCAACGTCTTCCCGATACAGGGCATGAAATAGTGGGGTCATAAGAATACTAGGGCGTCGAGGGAGGCCTTTTAAGGCAACTACATTGGACACAGTGGCTGCCCAATGTCAGTGAAAACGGCTACTTTCGGAGATTCAATCACTTTTTGACCAACTTTGTGACGTTAATGGTCCTAAACCCGAAGGCCCCGGCATCTGCCTGTCTGCCCTGGCCAGTCCGAGCCTGCTGGCTACTACCGCTCAAAGAAAAGCGGCCCATTTTCAAAATAAACACTTCCTAATTTACTACTGATGGAAATGCATTTCCATCTCCAGCAGAATCCAGCTCAGCAGCGAGACCGAAGGCCTTCACGGTAAAAACGGTTCCTGGTTTTCCCAGGAACTCCCTGGAAATCACCTATGTCTATACCATAGGCTTCCTGGGAAAACCAGGTACCGTTTTTACCGTGTTCTCCTGGCTAGTAAATTTAAAACAATGGACGCATATCGGAAAAGGGGGCCCTTGACGTCACACTGCGACCGGGGCCCTGACTTAGCCAGTCCGGCCCTGCTTGTGTTAAAACACGCGAGATTGCAAACAGAACTGAGCTCTTGCTCTCCGCGATGATCCAGTTGAACACCACCCTCTCATTCCAGGAACGTGACATCACGTTGAAACGAACGTGACAAAGTGTCACGTTCGTTTGAGCATATTCGTTTGGGTGTGAATTGGCCAAAAAGCAGCTTGTTCACATTAAAACGAATGTGACACAATGCTCAAACGAACGAGACATTTTGTCACGTTCGTTTCAACGTGATGTCACGTTCCTGGAATGAGAGTGTACACTATAAAGAGATCACAATTTTAAGGACGGTTTGGGGCATTCTGAGTCTAATACTCCGTTGCCTACGCGAATTTAAATAAAGAGTCTCACTCTCCCAAAGGCGGGGCACCAGCTGACAATTGAAGTCACCATTCTAGTCGTGGCTGAGTGAAGAACAAGAATCACAAAAGACTCCATTGCGGGCATTTAAAGTGTATATATTCGCTCATAGTATGTTGTATTTACTAAAAAAATAATTTCATTAACTTATACCAAGCAAGGGGTCTTAAATATTTGATGTAAAAGTGCAAAAAATGTACACTTTTGTGATTCTTCTTGTTCTTTAGTCGGCCACGACTAGAATGGTCCATTGCAAGCCTTTTTATGACAGCTCATCTACAGTATATGTTGACTTTCGACCAAATATCCGCCCAGGCCTTTGTAAAGTTGAAGGTTCAAAGAACCTTTTAGACTGAAACGGGTTCCCGCAACTTTATCTCCATGGCTTCTGAGAGGCGCTGAAAAAAGGCGGTAGTATGTGCCCCACCCTCTGTTACCTCGACGAAGTGCGTAGCAGGGGCCGCTAGACGGTATGGTGTTGGTTCCTATTGCTTTACTGTTGAGGGATTACATTTGTGCTTTACTTTGATGATGGCTGCAGGGGCCTGGCGTTTACACCTACGATTACACCTGTGGCCATGGCCTGTGGCACTGACCTGCCGTCGGCAGGCTTCGCTGCCGGCCGCCGTATCAAATGCTATCAAGTCTAGTTCCTTTTCGCTCTTTTGTTTCCGGACCTCCTTTTGGACCTCCGTTTTAAACATTAGGTGGCAGAGAGTTCGCAAAGTTTAACTGCGCGTCAGTGTCGGCTTCTTTACCCTTGGAAACGAAGACGCCGTGAAAGGTGAGGAATCTATTACGAGGTTTGGGATCGGAAGTAGAATGGGTTGTCAGAGAGAGAGAGAGAGAGAGAGAGAGAGAGAGAGAGAGAGAGAGAGAGAGAGAGAGAGAGAGAGAGAGAGAGAGAGAGATAAATTTACTGGACAAAAGCCAAGCTGGAAAATGTGGTTCAAGTAAGAACTGAACTGAGATTATCGTAACATTTACTACTACTCGTTAATTTCTTAGAACAGGATCAACGTTAGGTCGATTTCCGTCATCAGCTTATTCTGAACCGCATTTCTGTGGACTCCTACCTGGGATGTCCTGGCAGGTCATGTCGCACTTAATGCCTATCTTCAGTATGATTGTACTGCGCATTGCCTAAATTCGAGGGAATTGTGTTGTGGGTTGTCTACACACTAAATGTTTTAGTACTAATTCTGTACGAGACATCACAGCTTTTGGTGCACACGAACTTTCCGTACAAATTCGTCCGAGATTTTGCACAAAATGAAGAATTTTGTGCAATTTTTCGTACAAAAATTGTACGAAAAGTTCGTGTGCACTAAAAACTGTGATGTGTCGTACAAAATCGTATATGACATTTAATGCGTATGTTCAGGTAATAGTTTTGAGGGTTGCGTAATATAAGGCTCCACAGGGGGGGGGGGGGGGCGTTGAGTTTCCTTATATGAGCAACCGGCCATGCAGTACCGAGGAGATAATCAATGTGCGCTGTTAGTACACATGAACTCACGAGTACAGATGAGTACAGCTCAAGTTCCGCGTAATTTCCCGGTAAGGTAGGTGTACGCCAGACTGTAGCTGTTACGACAAGCCACAGTCTGGCGTACACCGGCCTACCTTGTCAGAAAATAGGGTACTTTCGTAGATCGTGAACCGGAAGCACACAGACGCCATGTTGGCGGAAGTAGATCAAAACTTGACATGGGAAAGTAGACTATAGTCAAACGTACCGGCCACACTTGAACATTAACGGTCGTTACATACCGTAGAACGGGGTAATATGAGACAAATTTCGAGTTTTTTTTGTGAATTTCCCCCTTTCAATTTCAATTTGAGGTACTGAGGTGTTCATCACTTGTTCATTGACCCTTTGGCTACACTCCCACTAAATTTCAGATTTTTAGGTGCAGTAGGGACCTTTCAATAACCCTCGGAATGCCGTCCCATATTTCCCTGCAATGTGGGGTGAGACAAAAGAAAGAAATGTTAAAGAAGTATGGATAATTAAATCATTTAGGCGGGTTTGGAGCTTTTTAAGTTCTTTTCATTCATTTTAAAGATAATTGGAAACTATAATGGAGACGATATAAAATCTGGAGGGGAGAAAAATAGGTGTCACTTAAGAAAGCTGCAAAATGTATAAGAAGTCATGAGTTGTGCCTGTCACATAAAAATACTAAACGAAGAGCATAGATGCCGGTCAGATAGTAAAGCATTTTCGTGTTAAAATCATTCTTACTTGAAATTATTAACAGTGGAGTATGTCTAGCCTCATGTTTCAAACGAAAAGAGGTGTCTCTATTTTCCCTGCAAGGTAACAAAATTGTATTCCATCTGGAACGGGCAGCCCGAGAGTAGACATAACGGAACCAAATTTTGTCCTGATTATGTTGACATAATTGCCTACAGATTTAAACCTCGTTCGGACGAGAACCCAAGTTCTAACCGAGGTTTCTGGGGAGGTTTTTACTAACTTTATAAAACTTGTTAAAATTAAGAGGCTTTTCCTTTGGTTCTAAATAATCCCGGTGAGTCTCTGATAGCCTTCGTGCGTTTCCTGTAAGCTGCCACGGCCTCCTAGATCACAAAAAAAATTCACGGTGGTCTTCTGCACAACCGCTAGAGAGCAACGTGACAAAAACCGAAAAAAGTGCGCTTTGTCTCGATTTTCCTTCATGTCTCATGTTACCCCGTTCTACGGTACTTATTTGCAGTTCATATGTGTTTCGCGAGCAATATTTGTACAGTTCGGCTATAGTTTTAGATGCGAAGAGAGGTGAGTTTCCGGCCAATATGGCGTCTGCTTGCTTCCGGTTCAGGATCTACGAAAGTACCCTATTACGCGTCTCGAGCTGTGCTCATCTGCCCTCCGTTCCGACACCTCGGCGAATAGGGTACTTTTGTAGATCCCTGAACCGGAAGCACACAGACGCCATGTTGGCGGAAGTAGATCCTAAAAGTACATGGTAATTTAGTGCGAACAAGGGTCCAATCGTTTAGAAAATCCACGACTGCAGGTTTTCGACTTCTGGTTTTGTTCCTCCTCGTGTGTAACTGGCGACGGTGGTTACAATGCTTATTGTGAAAATGATTGGTGGCATCTCAGTTTCTTTTTTTCCCTCGTCTACCCTTTGTAATGTTGAGTTACTAACTTTGCAGGTCCTTGTGCTGCTTCATGAGTCGCACTTTGAAGATGGCGACGGCATCAAGGCGTACTGAGTTGGCGGAGGAGAGAGCCTGTTCTGGGATTGATCCGATGACCGTTCTGCCTAAGGAGCTTCTAATCCTCATATCATCTTTCCTTTCGCCTCGTGACTTATTCACGCTTGGAGAGGTGAACTGCGCATGGAGGGAATTCGCCCGGTGAGTACTATCCTAGAATCTGAACGGTGTGCACACTGAATTACTTGACAGTTTTTGTGCACAAGCTGCACTGCCAATCCAAGTGTGAGACAGTCTCATGCGAACCACGATGTCTCACGCTTGCAAGTGTGAGCCCCGTGTGTCCTACGCATGCAAGTGTGAGACACGGCATGTCTCACACTTGGACCAGATCTGGTTCCTCCTACGGCATGGACTGTACGTAAGAACGGTAACTAGTGTTAAAAGACTACGGAATATTTTGTAAAACAGGTACGGTAAATACTGGTTTTTGAAGTACGGTAAAGTTTGGCAAAAAATTATCCAGGATTTACCGTCGGTTTTTCTCAGAGTGCAGGAAAAGCACCGTCCAGTTTTACGAATGCATTGCGCGCATGACACAGCACGGGTTTAGACCCCGAGCCGCTTCTTGAGATGGTGCACCCCGCCTGCTTCAGGGACCGCGCCGTGTGGCTGCAGCTTCGCGTATGCCTCTCCTTCCCGATACCGTACATCTACAGAGAGAGCAACAGTGTCGACGACGAATCGTCCAGCAGCGACGACTGCTCCACAGAGACAAGTGTGTAACTAAGCATGCTTCAGCCTGCATGTACACTGCACCTGGAGCCAACCAGGCATGCCAACCTGAAGCATGCTTGGTACACACTTGTGTTTGTAGAGTGGCCGGCCAGCAGTGACGACGACTCCACTTCCGTCGAGTCGACCTTCGACAAGCAGTCGGAGAGGAACCACCGACTTCGTTTGATGGCGACCGCCGGCCACCTGGACACACTCGTCGTAGACGCCGACACTCTAACTAGCAGCCAGCTCGAGTCCATCATCCATTCACGCGCCTCGGTGAGTATGCAGATACGCTTGTGACAGGTAAGCACTGGTTTTCTTTAAAATTATTTGAATGTCGAATTAAGTTCATGGATTTTGAAGAGAAGGTTAGGTAAAATTCAAGATTTTTCATGAACTTTGGTGCACATCTGGAGTTCTGCTCCCTCGCTAACACAACAATCCTAACTGTTTACTAAGTACACACTTACAAATGCATGCTTGCAAGTACACACTTACAAACGCATACTTGGCCAAGTACACACTTACAAATGCATGCTTGCAAGTACACACTTACAAGCATGGAGTTGTACGTCGTCAAGCATGCGTTTGTAAGTGTGTACTTGCAAGTATGCATTTGTAAGAGCGTACTTGGCCATGCGTCTGTAAGTGTGTACTTGCAAGCATGCTTTTGTGTACTTAGTAGACAGTTAGGTTTGCAGTGAAGTCGTGTGTACTCTATAGATCAGATCGAAAAGCGTGCACTGTTTGCTCTAACTGGAGCATGCCTGCCAGAAACGCACGTACTAGTACAGCCATGCCGTGGCCACGCTAGCTGAAGCATACATCTCGTGCACAAGAGATAGGGAGTTGTCTGTCTTCTACATCAGTAAGCGAAAGCGTGTCCGTCCATGGTATGTAGCACTAGTTAGTGCATGCTTGGCAGGCATGCGCTAAAAAGAGCGTGCTTTCAGGCAAGCTCAGGCATGTACAGTTCTCTTCAGCTTTAACTTCGAGGGGTCCTGTAGATAAGATACTTTACTGTTTCCGAAGTAGGTCTTATTTGGTTGTTTCCGCTTAAAGAATCCTACATAAAGCTTTAAAAAAATCTTAGTGAGGAAGCTTTCCCCAATCGTTAGGTTGATTTAATTGAGTTCTTAAAACAAAATTTAATCCAAAATATTGAACGGTGTCTCAAAAAAGTACTGAAAAGTACCTTTTATATGTTTTTTAGAGCATCACAGGAGAAATCTTCCTGCATCTTTCATGGGGACGGAAAGTCTAGAAATTTTTTTGGGATTATCCTTTAGATGTATACTAGAGATTTTAATGAGGAAGTCTTCACATTCAATTCTTGTTCCAAGCTAGAAATTTCTACATTTTAATAATTTCATAAAGTGAATATTTTGCCTTTTGTCAAACTTATTTGTGTCTTTAGACAAAAGAAGGGCTCCTATTGAGAAATCGGCATTAAAACTTGTGGACAAGTCACCAAAGAATACATTCCATGCAAGGTGACTCATGTAGTGTCAACCAGGAATGCATGACTTGTTTCTACGACAGAATATTTTGTCGACTGAGTAAAGCAGTGGAGTTGAGGATGTAAGTCAGCGAAAATTGATCTTAATGTTATTTCTTTCCGTATGATAAAGAAATAACCCACGTAGATTAAAGGTTGAATCCCATGAATCTGAAACCTTCTATGCACATATTTAGCAAAGAACTCTGGAAATAAGGGAGGGTGGGGAACCATGACCACTTTTTTTTGTGTCTCCCGGGTGATTCCGTGCGTAGGGGGTCATTTTGGATGTACCAAATGTTCTTTTTTAAAGTTCAACTTTAGGGGCTAAATTTGGTGTAGATGGCATACATAGTACCCCACAGTACCCCTCTGAGTGTGGCAGCGCTACAAGTTGACTTTTATTTTCACTCCCTATGAAATACGGCGGAATTTACAGAAATAATGACGGAATTTACAGATTACGGAATTTACAAAGCGAAGTTTTTAGTCTCCTGAACCGCTGGGTTACAAGATGGGTAAAAACTGTTGACGGTGTCATTTTCAGCATCCAAAATAGCATTTTTCAGCGAAGGTTGTGGGAACTTTCTCCCTCAGATGGAGGAGCTACGGCCCGAAACGGAATTTACATCCATTTTTACACCCTTACCGTTTTGAACTCTTCTGACGGCCTGGAAGCGTCGTTTGACCGCCCCAGGTCCCGTGGGCACGGGCTTCTGGAAGTGTTTTTTATGTTCTTTCGATCCCAAGTGGTCGCGAGTTTCTAAAATGAAAAGGAACCCCAGTAGACCGTCATTTGTAAAAACAGCATAGGTCACATGGTCACACGGTGGACATTTTCCCAAAGGCTGTTTCGGGTTCAACAAGTGATGATACAAAGGTCACCCTCCGTAATTTTGTGAAGACTAAGTCAGGGGAGAGAGTGAAATAGCCAGTTTTCTTTAGATGTGGCTGAGTCATATACTACAGCATGGCAATGTTGTCTTATAGGTGTTGGTGACCATGGCGGAACTTACAAAACGACACTTTAGCAGCTTACGAAACCCAGATAAACAAAAGTTAGATCGACTTATCCACATGAGGACATGGTCTTCGTTTAGTAAAACAAATTTGAATTGCCCAAGCTACCAAATCAACCTCAGTTCAGGCGCAAGGCCCCGGTGACCTGAAATGACCCCCTACGCACGGAATCACCCTCCCCCTACTCCACCGTGTGGTTCGAAAAGAGAAGTTTCCAGCATGAGGGGATTCTTTGGACCTCCAAGGACCTCTTCCACTCATTGGAACTTGTCTGCAATGCACGGCAGGCTCACAGAACACTTTGGAAAATAAAACGCAAAGTGGTCATGGCGCCCCACCTATGGGGCACCATGACCACAGTATTTTTTTGGCCCAAGAAGTGTACTTTCTACCTGTATTCTCTCTAAAATTGTTTTTATCGCTGTCCTTGCCATCAGGCCAGTCAACTTAACAAACAAACACTCTAAAAACCATCGAAGTTTCAAACGTTCTAAGATGCCTTAAATGGACGGTTTAAAACAATTAACGCCCTAAGGCTTTCAAATTTCACATCCAAAGAAGACGAATCCAAATTCGTATGCAGATTTCAATTTGGTAAATTTTAAGAAAATTATCGCGGTTACTACACTGCAAACAAGTGAAATAAATGCTGTTTCTCATAATGCCAGAACCGTCTCGGTGCAAAGTAGCCACGGATCGCTTTCGCGGCCAACTTTTGCGGTTTGGAGCTCATTTAGTGCTATAGAAACTACCATTTCAAGTCTCAGTTTCAGAACCATTCTTAATCATCCTGGTGATTCACGATTTGTGATGAAACTATCTATTCTGCAGCAATTATTCAACCTTTATACATTTTCTGAAGCTCTCCGAGCAAGACAAAAGCTACTTAGAATTAAATGTGATGTTGGATATTTTGCCGGAGAGCCGACACTTTGAGAAAAACGTAAGACATCGAACCTATCTCCTCAAATGTGACAGTGAGAAAAAATATCCCAGATTTGAAATACGCCCAATTTAGCCAAAACGCTGTAACAAAAATTTTGGCGAGGTGCTATGGTCGTACCCTTGAAGCTAGAAGGTAGGGCTCTGGCTGAAAATAGTTAGAATGCTATTCTCTCGAAAGTCCGGTCGACCGGTTGCCGTCGGCAAAGAAGTTCCCGAGAGCGACGGGGGTGGTCATGGTACCCCAGTGGTCATGGTGCCCCACCCTCCCTTACTGATTTTGGCCATTTTGGCCCATTTTTTCACCAGGGATCGTCCTTAAGCCCAAGTGTATTTCGCTTAGTTTGTTCATTTGGTGCGGATAATAGAGTGAGCGGAGTGTATTTCTGCAAACACCACACCTCTGGTTTCTTCGATCTTTCATCTTCAGCTTGTGGATTCCATAGCAGTGCCTTTTTACTGTTAGTTGTCCCAAACGATCGAACTTGATAGGAAATTCGCCGAGCTGTTCCTGAAGCTCTGCCCTTTGCCCCCGCCTTTTTTCATCACTGAGTAGCCGTCTGCAAGGTAGTCAAAACCAGCACCCCTGCAAGTGCCCCCCACTGCAATAAAAAGTGAACATTACAACAAAAGTTCAACAGAAACTGTACAATAAGAGTGCAACAGGGGTTGTAGAGAGTACAACGAGAATGGTTCAAACCACAAAGGGGCCTGGACTGCACAGCACTCATCATGCCGATTCCATTGTACATTGTACATCAATTCTTGTACTCGGAAAGTACAATAAATTCCTGATAAAAAAATTTGCCAGTACTTGGAAAGTACAATAAATTCCTGATAAAAAAATTTGCCAGGAATTTGTGTACTTGGAAAGTGTACAATAAATCCCTGATAAAAAATTTGCCAGGAATTTGTGTACTTTTGTTGTGGTTATTCTCTTTTTTTTGTCACTGGGCTGTTTCCTCTGCAGGTGCGCCGCCTCCTGCTGCGGACCAGCCACTGCGAGCCGCACATGGACCCGCCGTGGGCACTGCGGCTGCTGCGTCGCGTGGCGCCCTACCTGGAGGAGCTGAGCCTGGTGCCCGCCACGCGCAGCATGCTGGCCGAGCTGCACGCCATGCCGAGGTACCGTAAACCGGGGTAACTTCTGCTTTTCTTTCTTTTTGGACCTACCCTCTGGCTGAGCACATTCGGAAGCTAAAGGGTAATTCTTTCCCAAGTCACCCGAGGTCCCGAAATAGATGTCTCGAATTCCGACGAAACTTTGTGGGTGTGTTCCCTATGTAGCAAAGAGCTCCAGAAAAACTTTTCAACTTTTTTGGTCGGCCCAAAATTTTTTAATCATGTATTTTGTAAAAAAAAAAAACAAAAAAAAACAGGAACCTTCACTAAAAATTTGTTTGTTGCCCGAGGGTGACCTGCCCGGTGGATTTCCCTTCTTTTCATGGTACTGAAAAAAAAAGTCTCCGAGAGCCACCTCAGAAGTCACTTGTTCCAGGAGATATGGACCAAAAAATTCGTTTTTCGCGAATACCCAAAAAATGCATCCGAATTTTTTGATGATAATTTTTTTAAGGAAGGTCCTATGGTGGTCTATCACCCTTATTGGTTTTGGGTTTGGCTAATGGAAAGCAGAATAATAATCGCGTTTTTCCGCTTTTTTTTCGCAGTTTTTGGCCAACAGTATCGCCATTTTAAGTCTGACTTAATGTGCGCCATTAGACTTTTTTTTCGCGTTTCCAAGACGAATCGATTGATATAAGTTGTAGTCAAATCGGAGTATTTTGAAAAAATCGCCCTTTTTACGCATCTAGATTAGTTGGATTCCAAGACGAATCGATTGATATAAGTTGAAGTCAAATCGGGGTATTTTGAAAAATCGCCCATTTTACGCATCTAGGTTAGGGTAAACTATACAGTTATCGGCAGGGGTACAGTTATCGTCATCTCGGCGAATAATTGGGTCCTGCTCTGCAAGTACGCGTCCGTTAGTGATGCGGCCAATGCAGGTCGCTAGAGACACCTTTTGGGCATGCAGGACCGAGACAGCATCGCGTTTGACTGAGCATGTCAGCCAACAGAGCCATGTTTCTAGTCAAGTGCAGAATGAGGCCGCTTCGGCCGCCCGTTCTTATTTTCTATGCTAGGAACAGGGGTTCAATCTTTCGTTAAATTCGTGAAAGTGGGCCTGAAAAAACTATTCTCCTTGCCAGGTTTCTTCTCCCCATCTATTGAAGAAGGCATACTGTGCTTGGTGCACAGAAATTCCTCTTGCTTGCCCTCTTTCGGGGGGTGCCGATAACTGCACCAGAGAAATCACCCCAAACACAGTTATCGTCAGGGTGGCCTCAAACTTCACTGGTGTTTCGGGCGTCGTCCGGGAGTTAATATTCTGATGCATTATGACCGTAGGAAGACCCCTGCCAAATTTGAATGAAATCGGACCACTATTTCCCAGTGATCTACGTGATTTACGAAATGTCCTCCTCGGCGCTTTGAGAGGTTGTTTTTTCGCAGCTCATGGTGCTAGTTGTCCGTGAGTCTAAAATGAAGGGCGCAAGAGGCATAACAGAAGAGAGAGGGGGTTCGTGACATGTCAAGGGGTGATATAGAGTGTCTGTGACGACTGTTTGAAATTTGCGTCACTTTCGGTCATGTTTTGCCTTTTTAACAAGGGGTGCCGATAACTGTCATAAAGGGTGCCGATTACTGTGTTTTTGGTAACCTTTTTCTCAGGTTAAATAAGAGCGTCACTAAAAGTTTTTAGTGAAATCTTTGTCAGCCACTTCGTTGTCTAGATCCCTCTGAGGTGTCTGGAACAAGTCGCACGGGTCTAAGTGTCAAAACCTACCCTAGAGGCCCTTGAAAAGAAAGCGATGCTCTTAAACTGACGGTAACTGTGTAGTTTGCCCTAGTTGGATTCCAATCGTAAAAATGGCGATTTTTCAAAACACTCCGATTTGACTTCAACTTATATCAAAAAGTCTAATGGTCAGACTTAAAATGGCGATACTGTGGGCCAAAAACTGCGAAAAAAACGGGAAAAACGCGATTTTTATTCTGTTTTCAATTGGCCAAACCCAAAACCAATAAGGGTTATAGATCACCATAGGACCTTCCTTAAAAAAATTTTCATCAAAAAATTCGGATGCATTTTTTGGGTATTCGCGAAAAACGAATTTTTTGGTCCATACCTCCTGGAACAAGTGACTTCTGAGGTGGCTCTCGGAGACTTTTTTTTTCAGTACCATGAAAAGAAGGGAAATCCACCGGGCAGGTCGCCCTCAGGCAACAAACAAATTTTTAGTGAAGGTTCCAGTGTTTTTTACAAAATACGTGATAAAAAATTTTTGGGCCGACCAAAAAAGTTGAAAAATGTTTCTGGAGCTCTTTGCTACATAGGGAACACACCCACAAAGTTTCGTCGGAATCCGAGACATCTATTTCGGGACCTCGGGTGACTTGGGAAAGAATGACCACAAAACTGTTCAAGCACTTTGTTTCATACTTGTTTGGAAAGGTGATGAAGCGTTTGGACGGTGGGTTTGGACCAAGCAAGTCAGTTCTATGAAGATTTTTCAATTTTACTAAGTTTAACAATTTTAGAGAAGTGTTACAAGTCTCCCTTGGTACTCACACAATCTTAAACGATCAAAATTGTGCATAGCTAAAGAGAAAACAGTACAATTGACGTGTGTTCATAAAACTTAATGAGCAAGAGGTTAAAAAGTCCACAAAGAGACTGAGAGTGTAGGGGCATATGCCTTTGTTTTACCAGCGTGTCACTTATCCTTGTGCCGCAGGCTGCGTCGCCTGGAAGCAGAGTTCTTCGCCATGGCGAAGGATGAAGAGCCAGTCATGGAGATCGCTGCCCCCAGCGAGCCTGGGACGGGCATCGCGTGGCTGCGGGCGTTCGACCTGCCGCAGAACGTGACTGAGCTGCTGCTGCGCGCCTACGGCCATTCGCTCAAGGAGGTCATGCTCTCTGCTGGAGCGTCCAAGGTACGGTCCGCGACAGCCAACACATCTACACCCTCATTCTTCAATCGACATTTTATCAATATTCATTGACGTTTGTGCGCATTAATAGAGTTTTGCTAAGAATTTGTTAAGACTAAATTGATAGTAATGTTTGTAGGACAAACAAAAATGTTAGTATGCTTATTAAGGATACTGTGAAGTGAAACTAGCATGTCCTAGAAATATTTATCACAGGAAGATCATTTTGTGGTTTAAATTCAACCATTGTAAGATGAATTCAATCCCAAAGTAGGAGGCCTCTTCTCCCACTAGTTTCTGAGCTATGGAGGTTTACATTAACTTCCACTCGTTTCTACCAAATTCTCCTCACGACAAAGGATTAGCTACCCAGTCTGCAGATTCTGGCAATTTAATCTAGTTTGCATAGGAAAAAAGATAGCGTTGGCAGATTTGAAAATATCAGTCAAGAAGAGGCTGTAACAGCTATTTTACCAGGCCTTTTTTATTTTTCTTCAAATTTGAGAGATTTTGCCCCATTTTGGCCTTGTTTTTGGTTTTTCAGAAAAACTAAGGCAGATGTTTTTTAAAAAAAAGGGCAACACTATCTTTTTCCTATGCAAAAATAGAAAAAACTGCCAGAATCTGAAGACTGGACTGTTAATCCTTTGTCGTGAGGAGAATTTGGGAGAAACGACTGAAAGTTTATATAAACCTCCATAACTCAGAAACTAATAGGAGATGAGGCCTTGGTCTTAGGGTATGAGGTTATGTAGTAGAAACAAACTTTTCCCCTTACATTGGGACATCTGACATAAGTATTCAAAAATGTCAAATAGCCACTTTTTCACTTTACAATTACCCTAATGCGTACAAACGTCAATACGTTATCAATCAAACACTCAGTCCGAGTCCTGTGAGTTGATGGTTTACCCCCTTTCGACCCTCTCTGGTTCCGCCACTGCCCCCAGGACGCGGACGGCGAGGAGTGGCCCGTGACGGTTGCCACGGAGACGCTGGTGCCGATGATGGCGCGGTGCGGGCTGCGCGTGCTGCGTCGCTGGGTCCGGCCCGCACACCGCTGCGCTTACCCGGACCACTGTAGGGCGCAGCGCAAGGCGCTCCAGGCCGTCCTGCCCGCGTCGTGCCTCGTCCTGTGTGGCGGGCTGGACTGCGACCGCCGCGGGGCGCACTCCGGGGAAGACTTCGACTTCAACTTTTAGCTGTGGCCGGAAGCAGTTCCCACGCCTATCCATGTACACCTACACCTTCGACAAAAGGTTGCGTCTCTAGAGACACTTATATAGGCGCAAAGTGTGAATTCCCTGATGCGTGATTCCCCAAAATGCAAATTTTTAACTTGTCAAGGTAGATGTGATTAAGTAACGAAGTAAGGAGACCTCCTGTACTGTATTCTGACTTAACAGATCAATGTTTTAATCCGTATTAATGGTATGTGACAGTAGGAATTGCGTCCTTTGCTTTTGAGATATTTTTACTGATTTATGTGGTAAGTTTACTTGGAGGTGCCCACTTGACTGTGTTTCTTCCTTGTTTTGTACCAATAGAGCCTATTTTTCACCCATGACGTTCATCAAAATCCTTTATTTTGGGTGAATTTTAATTGTAGTATCCAGAAATTAAACGTTTTTGGGGTAATTTTAAAACAGAATTTTTTGAGTGCGTCAAGGTCAGGGCTTACTTATAAATAAAAGTCATTCAAATCAAAGATGAGCGGTTTCTTTTCAGCTTTATTACAATATGTTCAATTAATAATAGTTGGTTTGTATAAACTGGATCACAGTGCCCGCCATACGATTCCTAATTGGGCCTTAGCCTAAACGTCCCTCTTAAAATTAACCTATAGTGATGTTCGATAGATCTCACAGGTGGAGTGCGTGTGCTGTGCCTCCCACCCAGTGCCTTGAGACATCCCGAAATTGTAGTTCCTAAGTCGGTCACACCCTATCCTTAACAGTGAAAGTGAGTGGATCGACGAAACTGAACAGGATGCGGAATTGTGTCTTGGCGGGAGGGCGATTCCATTCCAGGGAGAAGTTCCGGAACACCTGCAAGGAAACCCAAGGAAATTACACTGCTGATGCTCAAGTTGCGTTTGTGGCGAGGGGTCGTCACACTGCAAGAAAAAGTGTGAATAGTACAACAAATGTACAACTAAAACTGTGCAATAAAAGTACAACAGGGATTGTAGAAAGTGCAACGAGAATTGTACAAACCACAACGAGGCCTGGACTGCACAGCACTCCACTGTGGCAAAAAGGTACGGAAAATTCTTTTAATTTTTTTGCCAGGATTCTCCGTAGCCCTTTTATCAATATTCTCCGTAGGCTCTTACAGCATTCTCCGTAGGGCCGTACAGTATTCTCTGTAGGACCGCACAGTCTTCTCTGTGGCATGGAAGACTGTGTAGTCCTACGGAGATCACTGTAAGGTCCTACAGAGAATACTGTGCGGTCCTACGGAAAATACTGTAAGAGCCTACGGAGAATACTGACAAGGGGGCTACGGAGAATTACCACAAGCTGTTTACAGAATTTTCCGTAGCTTTTAGCCACAGTGTCGTCATGCCAGTTCCATTGTACTTTGTACAACAATTGCTGTACTTTGAAAGTACAAGGTAGGTTTACGCCAGACCGCGTCTTGTCGTAACAGGCTTCGCGATGTCTCACTGCCTGTTCCTCCAATCCACGCCTGGCGTCGACCTTGGCCTGCGGCGCAGTGCCTGGAGACATCCCGAAATTGTATTTCCTAAGTCGGTCACACCCTATCCTTAACAGTGAAAGTGAGTGGATCGACGAAACGACAGGATGCGGAATTGTGTCTTGGGGGGGCGATTCCATTCCAGAGAAGTTCCGGAACACCTGCAAGAAACCGATTTTTGCTCAGTTGGGTTTTGTGGCGGGGTATAAACTGGAACCAGTTGACAATAGTCAAATTTGACATTTGAACGACAATAAAATACCAAATGGCGATGAGAAATAGCAGACTCCGGCAGGAAGTTGTACAAACAACGATCATGACTGAACAACTTTCACCATTGAGTAACGCTTCCATATTAAGCACAATAAAAATCTGATAAAAAATTTGCCAGAAGTTTGTGTTTTGCTGTGGTTTTTTCTTGCAGTGCAACTCACATCACGCATGTACGAAGAAATGCAGAAATAAATGATAGCATACGTCCAATTTTACGGTTTTTTGGCTGATTTTTCATGCTAACTTTGCTTCAAGTACACTCTAAATGTTGTACAGTGAAGATTCTCCATATTGTGGTGAAAATGTTCCATATTATGGTGTTGCTGCTGACTTCATAACATCCCATTGAGAATTCACTGTACCTTACAGATGTTTTGACGAATTTCGTTGGTATTGTGGAGAAAATCTCCACCATAATATGTTGGTGCAGCCTTCCACCGTAAGACATTTACAGAGCAGATTATTTGGTAATATGGATTTTAAACGATAAGTTTTAATCAAGTAATAAGCTGCCTGTGTTCGAAGTGTGTAGTATGCGAGTTGACGATCCCTCGGTTTGTGGTGTGGTCTCCAGGCACTCAGCATCGGATTGACTCTTTTCTCTTGCTTATCAAGGTTTCAGAGCAGACGTGAAATGCATTATTTTCTCTTTGGCTGTACACAATTTGACAGTTTTATAAATTGTATTGTTGGTATTTACTAAAAAGTACATTTTATTCTGACAAGTCAAGTTGAATGGATTAAATGCTGTGCATAAAGAACAGTATCGTGCGAAGCTGAAGAGAAGCAAGTACACGTCTGCACGAAAGACTTGATAAGCGAGAGGGAAAGAGTCAATTTACTCAGAAAATGTCGGTACGAGCTTGACAGTGTTGACACAGACGCAAAGTAATTGTAGTAACCCGATACGACGATGTTCTTCTGAGATACACGATTTCAGTGATAACTCTGTTTACTCCCATTTGACCTATTCCCACTGCTTTCCCCTATGTCTGACAATGTCTAACATGCAAATGTTTTTTTATGACAAATAAACAATCCGAATCTGAATGTGTTTCCATGCTCGACCTACCTTCGCGACAGCCGTTTCGATCTCCAGGTCGGCGAAGCGACGGCCGACGCACATGCGCGGCCCGAAGCCGAAGGGCAGGAAGGCGAAGGGGTGCTTGCCCTTGATGTCGTCCGCGCCGGGAAGCCAGCGCTCCGGAATGAACTCACTCGCCCTCGGGAAGTAGAGCTCGTTGGTCGATATGGCCTGCGAGTTCATGCTGATCATACTCTGCAAACAAATTACTCCAACTGATCAATCGATGTCCGACTCGATATTGAGAACATGACCTCATTTGACCCTGAAGGAAGTAATTTTCTCGTCGTGAGGACATCAAAAAGGAAAAATATGGGATTTTAACGTGCCTGTCTAAAAGGCACCTCAACCTTTCTGACTGTACTCGTTCACGGGAGTTAGACACGGAAAATGGACGGAAAAGCACTCACTAACCTGTTGAAGTGAACATTTTTGTCCCTTAATAACTTTGCTAACGTCAACGTGAAAAAAAGTACATCACCAGTTAGTGTGTACATACTATGACAAGGGGCTTTTCTATGCGACGAATGTTGGAATTTTAAGCACGTTCGTCAATGTTACAATTTTGTGTCCACCAGGTGATACAAAGTGTCTTGATATTTCGTTGGACAAGCTCAATCTGTGTCCCGTATGGACATGAAATTTTAACACCGATGGATGTGCTTGTGCTTAAAATTGAATAAATCGTGGAACAAAATCCCATTTCATTTAGTGTGTGCGCTTAGTCACCTAAACTTTCCAAAGCGAATGCAAATTGAACTGTAACTCACTCCACTTGGCACCTGGTATCCTCCAATGACCATGTCTTTGATTGTGCTTCGCAAATTGCCTATCACAATCGGCGTGAGGCGCATGGTCTCCTTGATGCAAGCGCGCAGATATCTGAACAAAACAAATGTGTAAGACATGAGCTCATTTCTCAGTTTTGAATGATTGGGGAACTGAAAACAAGGAAACAAGGCATCAGAGGAAGTAATGGCAGGAGTTTCCCGTGTGCAAAGCACTATAGACGAAATGGGCGTACAATTGACGTTCAAAACTTTTCTCCGTGCCTACGTTTTTTAAAAATTATTTTGTACATTTTCCGCACCATTTACAGTGAAAATAGATCTAGACAGAAGGTAAATGTGAAAAACCGTTCATCCACCACCGTTACATACCTCATCTCTTCGAGCTGCTTCGTAGTCAGAGACTTCGTCGGGTCTTGAATCACTCTGTCTAATTCTTCTTGCAACTTGGCCTGCTTCTCGGGATGAATGGCCAATTGATAAAGGACTGTCGCTACCGAGGTCCCTGTCTGAGAAAGATAAAATATATTTTAGCGAGCGAATTCAGTAATTCTTGGCATGATTATTTTCTACTCCACAGAACAGAACATGCGCATAGACCGTTAGTGTTTTATTTAACACCCATGACAAGTTATTCACTTCACAAACATGAACAAATTGCTTTGAACAATGGGTGAACAGAAAAAAGTAGTTGGTGAAAACATTGAAAGAAAACATGCAAGGGGTACACCGTGAGAAATAAGTGGCGAATGTGCCTCTGACAAAATTGTTGCCTTAGGTTCACTCACGAAGATTGTACGTATGTTGGGAACGTGAATTTGCGGAGATTTCATGTGATAGTGTAAGCAGGGTTGGCAACGAAGAACGAAATTCATCTTAACATTTTCTCCGATTTCTCCGGAATTCGGTGTCCAGTCGGGGTCTTGTTTGCAGTTTGAGGCAGATCAGTTCTTGTCCGATTCTTGAGGCTCTCCTTCACATTTTAACTCCCTTTGCTATTTCATTGAAAAATCAAAATCTTAATAATGTTATTGCAACTGTGATCAAAAGAAAAAACAAAAATTTATAAAGAAGTTCACACACCCAAAGAAGTCATTTAACAACAAATTTAGTAAAAGGACTGTTCCATCTTGTGCGAAACAGGACCTGATCGAACCACGCGATGTGGAGATGCAGAGAAAACTTGAGAATGACTTTCGTTTGCGGTTGCCAACCCTGAGTGTATCTTACTGTGTCAATGCCTGCAAGAAGCATGTCGAGGGCCATGGTCACGGCCCTCTGCGGGTCTTGGGTTCGAATGAGGAGATTTTCCAGCACACTCAAAGTCCGCTCCTCGTTGGTCGGAGCCTTCTTGAGTCGCTCCATAGCCAAATTGACGTACTTCGCAGACACCCTGCAAAAGCGATTGGGAATTAAAACAATTATGAAGAGTAAATGAATTTGAACTTTCTACAGAAATTCATCGTTTCAAAAGGGTTTTAGACAGGGTACTTTGAACTCCATCACAACAAAATACCTTGTAAAACTTTTAAAGTCGCACTTGCTTTGAAAAGAAGTGAAGTCTTTTCATTCTTATGAACTTGTGCAAGTAAGCTCAACGGGCTTCTGCCCTCGGATTTCTTTAAGTGTCTGTAATCCCAGAATTAGAGCCATAAAACAGCCAGGAACAGAAAATGTGGAATGTTCAATCATGACTTTATACAGTAGCAGTTGAACCGAACCCAACTTTGAAAGGTTTCTTGTCCTTATGACAACTTGCAAAAGTGGGCAGTGGAGAAATACCTCATTTGCTTGTGCAACATTTTGACCCGTCCTAAGACAAGTATTTGTTCCGCGCGAGAAAGATCCTCCTAAGTGTGCTGCGCGAGAGAGATCGTAACTACCTTTCTGAGGAGATTAGGGTTAACATTTCGTTTTTCGGCCTATCCCGTGTTATGTTTTTTGTAAAGAAAATACCGGAGGGACGGGCATATAGTATGACGCATGCTGTGCGTCCGTCCGTTCGTCCGTCCGCGTACTTCCCGTGGTCCAATTTTGACCAAATTATTTGATATGCAGCCTCCTTGGGTGACCCTAAGAACCGCCTGGTGGCAGCAAATCCGATCCGAGCCCCGGGGGCGCTGCTGCAGGTGCATCATGATCTACGGGGTCGAGGAGGATTTCGGCAACGGATACAGCTAGAAGGGCATGTAGGGGTATTTTAGGAATCGGGGCACCGACGCAAAGCCAACGGTGCTAGGTTCGATCAAATCAAAGAAGTTTGGACCCGGGTTCAAATCCAATTTTATTATTAACGTTTTTGTACTGTTCCCCATGTTCCCTAAGGGTGCTGATGACGAAAATTATATCTATTTTAACCCCAGAGAGGTTCAAATTCAGTTAGGGTTACACATAGGTGAAATTCGCACATTTCTAAATGTACTGGACGGGCCAAAGTTGCCGATGTGTATTGCTACTTGTCCTGTTATTATCTGCAACATGCCATAGATCACGTTCACTACTCGCTTTGCTCTGACAACGTTGACCCATTTTTGGTGAATCTTTAGTGAGGACAAATCTCCTTCAAAAACTACCGATGCCGTAAGTCGCGACGCGGATCAAACCATACGAAGTATTTTGAGCATAAGCTACTGAATATGTAGTTTGTTAAAGGCAGATATTTTCTTTGTGAGCTTATGCTCAAAATACTTAGTAATGACAAGCTACTTTCTTCGTAGGGCCGAAAATGGTTTATGAGGGTTCGAAAGTGGAGGTGAAGAAAGCAATAAGGATCTTTCTCGCGCCGCACACAATTAAGATCTTTCTGGGGCGGAACAAATAAGCGATACTTCTCTTAGGAAGGGTCGATTTCTAACAGCACTGAGAATCCAAACGCTATGAGTATAGCGTCAATGCAATGCCTCCCTATTCCCATGCATTAGCATAGGGCATTTTCGGGATGCATTGCACTTAAGGTGCAATATGGCTGAGGCATTGCACGTATGGTGCGATATGTCGACGCATTGCACCATACGTGCAATACTCATAGCGTTTGGAATTTCAGTGAGGTGTCACTCTTGAGCGCCTGGTACTTACTGAGTAACATAGTCCATTGAAGCGACGAATCGTCGGTAGGCTGGCGTTGAGATGAATTTGTAAGGGGACGGCTTGAAGTCAAGTTCGTACATGCCGTCGAAGACAGCATGGACTGCCTCTATCATCTTACTCGCTTCGGAGTCGGGAGCAAGGTTCTTGAACAGATTTAGTCGGGTGTCCAGGGCAACGAACGTGATGGCTGCGTGAAAGAAACAATCCTTAAGCCACTGGATTCATCGACACATTCACAGCGAACGGACTTGGTGCTGATTCTTACACTCCAAGGCCCACTTGGCTATCTCGTGGGAGAAATCCGGGGGCATTTCCTGAGAGTCGTTACGAACTTCTCTCATCCTATAAACAGAGACGCCCAGCTAAGACGAAGCATACGAAATGGACCTGTAAGTTAGTGGTCATACTAAATTCCTATGTTCATTTTTTTAACGTGATCTCACACAAATTTGCGCACACGCAATTTGCCTTTCGCTCAAATTTGTACGCGAATTCGAACGAATTTGAGAAGTACTGCGTATACAAACTTGCACGAAAACGATCGCATGTGTGCGAAATTCTATAAACACATTAAGAATGCCTCTTTCTACTGCACAAACCCGCCCCCAATGTATCACAAGGCTCCCTCCATAGTGCAGCGGTTTGAACCCTGTCGAATCAATGTGAAAAAATATACTTCTTTAAGGGGCAACAAGAGTTAAATTTGAAATAGAAAACCAATGCTTGGTAGTCCCCTTACGCCCTAGTGGGTTTATTGTCTTTGTGACTGAAGTGCGGTGATGCAAGCACACCCACCTATCGATGAACTCCTGGGTGACCATGTCGATCGGCTCGACGTACTGCTTCGTGTTCCTCGGCTGCATCATGACTTGGTTCACGGCTGAGCGGAATTCCTGCCACTCCTGGCCCTGGCTGAAAGCGTGAGAACATCAGTGAATAGATCTAGTCTTATTCTGCTTCGCTGTCTTGTCTTAGCCCCAAGGAGAAAGTTCCCGTTGAGAAGATTGTGGTACAATCTATCTTATATGACAGTCAGTTTCTTCGTGTCAAAATAGCCTTTTTATTGCTACCTGAGATGCGATAATTTAAACGAATCGAATTAGACTTTTTAAATGGCAATTATTACAATTAAATATAGGTTGTACTTTGTACTACGGCAGGCCATTTTCACAAACAGTTTTAAAGAGAGAGGGGGAGAGTTTCAGCTTCATTCTCGTAGTTTTTAATGGCACCAAAGTGACGTTTCTTTTGACTTACGCGACAGTTAGACTGGGAGGGAAGTCCTTCCTCAAGTTGCGAAAGTAGTAGTCCAAGCAGTACGCGCCCATCCGAACGGGCCATGGCCCTTCGCTGCGGAACACCTACGTAGATTATACAGACGGTTTTGGCATTCCTTGGTATAGTCCTTGGCTGTCATCGCTGCAACCCCGTGAAATTCAAAGCGTCTGAAAGTACTTCAATGGTCAAAAGAATTTTACCCCCGTTAGGCCTAGGCCTACTGGGGGTTGGTTTCTTTTGACCATGGTAGTACTGCGTGTGTGCAGGACAACCCAACACTCCCGAGTCTTCGAGTTCTTAACGAGACTCGCACAGAAAAAAATTGTTGGGGTGATAAATTCTATTCGATATGCTGAATTCGACTTCAATCAAAAATCCGATAGTATCAATCGAAAATACGATACCCGCATACAAAAGCAGGCAGTTATGACCACGAACCACAGCTCATTTATCCAATCGCCAATGTTTGATAGTGGCTACAAGCGTTTGGCTGTGGGTACCGGATTTTCATTGCAGCTAAAGAACTAGCCTATCAAACTAACTTGATCACCACAATTTGATTTTTTTTTCCGTGCAGCATAAGAGCGATGAAAACTCACCTTTGCTACCTCATCGGCGTCGTACACAAGGACAAAGTCAGGTTTGCCGAACATTCCTGGTAACTTGGAGACAGGTCCATAGGTTTCATTGATAGTTTTGAATAGGTCGGAGGTGTCTTTCTTGTAGAATTCACCTGGAAAGTCGGAACAGATCATTAAAAAAGGCATCCTGCGACGCACCCAAACCAAAGGCCTCTTGGGTTACAAAAAAAAATACTAATAAAGGTTTGTTGTTTTTTTTTCATGAAAACTTCTCTTGATCGAAACTTCTTTTTTTTTCTTGTTTGAAGTAAACATTTTTGGGTCAAGTTTTTTTTTCTTAAAAGAAAAACAAGAAAATTAAAAGTAAAGATACCATTTTTCTGGGTGTATTCAGGGAATGCACCCTAGCTCTGTGGGTTCAAATTTCAATCTGAAGTGTTTCTGTCTCATGGTTCGAGCGCTTTTGGTTCAAGTTGAATAAAATGGCATGAGATTTACAACAGCAGAAGTCGTAACCTCGACCCCACATTCCTGGATTGTCCGGGTATTCCGCGAACGTACGCAGGATTCTGTAAGTATTGATGCGTTTTCCTCAGATATCTTTAAACTTTTTCATTATGATAACTCCTTTATTGTGAAGAAACTAGGGTTTCTTACCGCCCGGCAAAAACCGATGAAGATTGCCGACGACTGGGAGTGGTTTTGGCCCGGGGATATCACTGTAGGGCAGAGCATCGTCCCAACCCAACTCGGGGCTGACATCAGCATTTTTTGTCTCAATCCCGACACTTAAGGTAGACTTCAAGCGACCAGGAACCTGCAGACAGACATTCGGACACTGAGAACACAAGAAATAAAACATGTGACAGTGGCTAAAAGGATACAAAGAGTTTTTGGCACTGTGTTCTTAAAAAAAAAACTTCGAGGGGGAGCAACCACGCGAGTAAGACTGTATCCCCTGGAGCCCTTGAAATCTCTGGAAATCCGAAATCGTCCCCCCAAACGGCAAAACAACAGGCAGATTTTAAGGTGAGGTGTGGGTGAAAATGGAAACTTTAGGGCGTTAAAGTACAAGGTAGGAAACTATTATACACCACATTTCATCCCAATTTACCCACTCATTAAGCCAGAGAATGATGTTTTCGTTCTTAATCTAAATCTTCCTCTGACCAAACGAGCACGCATGGTAAATTTGCCGTTGGCCCCTAAATATCGAAGCAGCTCACCTTAGGTCCCACGAAGATTGAACGGGATGCATTTGTCACCCGCAACATGATTTCAACGAAACAGCTGTAAACAGAAAGCAAATCCACGTATGACGCACTGTTTCAAGTTGACGAAGCTGCCTTAACAGCTTTTGAAATGCTCTGCTGTCTTTCCGAAACCGCTGAAACAAGCGCAGTATTTGTCGCATTTGGAATCGGCCAAAGCTCAATGCGCGGGTTCATGTTGTAGATTTGCCTTTTGATTGACTCAAGGCCTAAAGGCCATGGGACATATACGTCCTGAAATACAAACTTCAGCCCCCCGGGGCCCCTGACCGGTACATTTTGTCCATCACCAATTAACTCCTTAACAGCGCCCAATGCACCAAGGCGCATTGAAATGCATATGAAAGGTAACACATTTTACGCGCATTTAATGCGATTGTGCACATCAAATGCGCATTAATGCGCGTAAATGCACATTAAAGACGCACTCTAAATGTTGTTCAGTACAGATTCTCTATATTATGGTGAAAATGTTCCATATTTGGTGGTGCAGCTGACTTCGTAACATACCATTCAGAATTCACTGTACCTTATAGATATTTTGACGAATTTCGTTGGTATTATGGAGAAATTCTCCACCATTATTTATGTTGGTGCAGCCTTTCACCGTAAGACATTTACAGTGCGCCCAAAATGTGTTACCTTTTATGTGCATTTCAATGCGCTTCCCAGCTTTAAATGCGCTTTGATGCACATTGGCGCTGGGGGGTGAGAATGGAAATACCGCAATGTCATGTTCATTTTGTGATACGGCGAAATACTTGCGAAATACTTCCGAACGTCAGAAACCTGTCAGAAAACCAGATCAAAATTCGCGCACCTCTGACAGCTGAAAACTTTCAGTGGTGCGCGCATTTTGATCAGGATTTCAGACTTGTTTATGACATTCTGACAAAATTTACACGAGTAAAGGGAGTAATCGGGTGCAGGAGACGACAAGGCGTCAGGCAAGAGAGATAAGATAAGCTAGCCGCACTGAATATTAAATGGAAAGACTCCGCCAAAACACGGTGAGACAAAAAGTTTAGCCAAGTTGTGGTCAGACCTAAATAGGCTCGTTAGAACTCGGTCTGCCGAAAGTATCCCACCATGAAATGATCTGACTTTTTTGCCTAACCACGGTACAGGTTGCATCGCACAGACTATATTGATATTCTGACCCCTTAGTGGTCAGACAAAAATATGTCACCCTGATGCAGGGGGACATTTTCTTGTGACAACAATTTGGCACGACCTTCAGGCCTGACCAAAACTTTGGGATACTTTTCGTCTTGCCTCTGGCAAGGAAGAAGTCTGCCCTTTGAATTTGTCGTGTAGGTGCACATACGGTCTCGGCGCTCACACTGAATGTTGGTGTGCTTTCAGCATCTACACCTATTGCCATATTTGTGTGTGGTATGTACAATTTAATAAATAAATTGGGGACAGTATTTCCATAGTGTGCTCATGCTTTTGAAAAATTCATGCTCAAATTTGTACATACAACGTGCTGGTTTGCGGCTTGGTATTGGAAGGTCGGATTTCTCTCGAACTGCGTCTTTTTTCTACCTAAAGATAAAATAATCATAGGAAGATACCCAAAACCTAAGGGGATTGAAGAAGAGGGCTCCTCGAGCTATCGAAGACAACAGCCTGCTCCCGCCCAGCAAATAAACAAGCTGGCAGTCAGCTGGCGAGACGCGCGGCCAGGCACTCCACGTTGTGACCTTGAATGTCTCCGCCGCCCGCCCGTCCGCTCGTCATGGCATTATCAGGCTGGAGAGGTCCCCGCCGGCAAAAACAAACCGCGCGGGACCAACGCCAGTTCAGCTTTGTTTTTGCTTTGGTTTTTCTTGAACACAATCGAAAACCCTTCACATGTTTTCAGCGAGTTCCCTCGGAGGCATTGCTCAATCTTTCGCAGAGAAAATCCTTTGCAAAACGAAAAGAGTGCCGATTGTAAAGACAAGAGGGGAGTTTCTGATGACTCGCTAGCTGATTGCAAACGAGGCAGGCGCATGTTCAAAGCCATGAATCAGCTTGTTTCACATTCAAACAAGCGTGACACAATGCTCAAAGGAGCGTGACAGTTTGTCACGCTCGTTTCTACGTGACGTCACGCTCCTGGAATGAAAACTCTGCGTGACTGACATGTGGCTGTCACCCAGTTCCTCACTTCACTTACTTTCAGCGACCGCTTCACCGACTTGCAACTTCGGCACCGCCGCGTGTATGCGCTCGGAACCGATGGAGCGCTTCAGTGTTTGACGACGAACAGCTGCGTCCCGCGCGGCGAACTGACTGCCTGGCTGCGGCGCGACTGCCGGTCGGACGGAGGTGTACAGTACAGCCACGGGCCTGGCGACGGAGGCGGCCACTTTGCGCAGCGGTGGGGGCACGGACGGAGAACAGCGCACAGTGGGCCAGAACGTTCCCGCCCATTTTTCCCAAAAATAAATTCCCAAATATTGTCTTTCCAAAATACATTTTCCCAAAACTATCCTTTCCCCAAAATTTAAAATCCCAACCTACATTTTCCAATCCAATGTTACCAATTTTTTTCCCAAAGTTACTCCCAAAAATTTTCCCAAAAAAAATTTTCCTTTGAGCTCACGAACTCCATAAGGAAAAAGGCGGAGGTCATATTCACCGAAAAGGGAGGAGCCTCCGGAAGAACAGATAGTCCTGATGAGTACTAAATTCTAGGCGAGGTATACTCAATCAATCACCCTAATCTGGGTAAAGATTATTTTATCATCTAACTTCGGTTACTGGAGGTTTCCTAATCGATATTTAGGGGGGAAAAAGGGTATATGCTTCCTTTTAGCTAGATGTTTTGGCGATGAGACCTGTACGCTAACTTAAGCGATACAAAAATCCTCGCCAACATGAGGTGACGATTATCCTTATTGAAAGTTGTAGTCCTGGACTTGCTTTCGCTTGTTTTTGACAAGCCTGATGTGCATGTGGCTGAGTACCTGCGCACTCCAGACGCCACTCAACACACTAAGCTGCACCGATTATGCTGATAAAAAAACTATTTTGGAAAAAGACATTTTTGGGAAAATAAATGATTTGGGAAAAATTTCTTTGGGAAATCTATATTGGGAATAAAAGTTTTAGAAATATTCTCCATTGGGAAAATGGGTTTGGGAAAAATGACCGGTAACCGGGCCAGAAGACCGGCACAGGCGGCCAAAACTCTCGACGCGTTTTGGGCTCCAGAGTCGCTAAACGGGACTCGAACCGAACGTGTGACCCCACCGATAGATTCATCGATCGGAGAGCAAGCAAAGCATTCTATTGGTGCGGTCATTCACGTCCGGTTTGAGTCACATTTAACGCCTCTAGAGCTCAAAAACCTTGAGGGATTTCGACCATCGCCACCGGTCTTTGGGGCCCACTGTGCAGCAAGGCTTGGAAAGCAACGCTGGAACTATTACGCACAAGGAGACAGGGCAGGCCGGGAAACAGAAAAGTTCCTGCAGCACTGATATATCAGTGCTGGCATATTTTATAGACCAGTAGGACTGAAATTCACTGAGAAAGTCGCCGGGTTCAGTGACGATGTCGATTAAGAGCATGATTACTTATCCTGGCCTAGTTTGAAAACATAAGTGGCGACGTGGGGGAAGGGCTTGGCATCATTAGCATACACTAACAAAAATCTACTAACTTTATTTCTCAACTATTCTATTTGGTAACTCTAAAGACGCTTACAAGTCAGCGCCATCGACACCCTGGACCTTCAAAAGGACCTGCAGGAAGCTAAACCACTTCTCCATGACGGCGAGGTAGAAGGGCCTGTTGAGGTGGCCCATCCCCTTGACGGGCATACTCAGTCCAGACGCACTGCCCTGAATGAAGTTCAAGCGCGTGTAGCGCTGTGACGGCGTTTCCTCCAGCCAGGGGCCTTCGAACAGACTTTGCGTCAGCAGCAGACTGTTCTTCTCCAGCTCGTCACCTGTAACATCAATTTCACGTCGAATCAAATTCTCGCAAGAGTATAAGTCCTTGTGGCAAGCTCGCCTTGCCTCAAAATGGGCAAGGCGTTTTCAATGCCAAAAATTGGCAAGCTTGACCCAGATCTTTCATTAGCCTACGAATATTTGGCGATTTGGCGAGTAGGTCGGGGCCAGGTTTGCCAATTTAAACTTGCCACCATATTTGCAAAGTCGTTGTGAAATCACTGTAAAAAAATTAAACGACGACATTCAAATCTACAGCCAAAGTGCAAAGTCATTATTCCCCTCCTGACATAAACTGCCAGATCGAAAAAGGGTGATACTACACCCAGAGGAACAATGACCAGTCTCGCTGATGTCTGACTTTCATTCGGTCATCCTATTTTCGGCTGCGCTTCATCGCACAAAAAGTGTCGAGATGTCTCACCCTTTGAATAGTGAACACACTATACAAAGTAGATGTACGCCAGACCGTTTCTTGTCGTAACAGGCTTCGCGATGCACTCTAAATGTTGTACAGTGAAGATTCTCCTGTTAAAATGTTCAATATTATGGTGGTCACATACCATTGAGAATTCACTGTACCTTATAGATATTTTGACGAATTTTGTTGGTATTACGGAGAAAATCTCCACCATATATTTTGGTGCAGCCTTTCACCGTTTGACATTTACAGTGTGCTGCGCCAGTTTCGGAAATCCACGCCTGGCCCGCCTACCTTGGCCTGCGGCGCAAGCCCTTACGGGGGCTTCTTTGAATAACGTTAAACACTATACACGAATAACGTATCTGTACAGATTTCTTAATGTTTACGCCTTGGCCTAGCCCTTATGGCAAAATGATACGTTAAAAATAAAAAAACCGCATTCGACGAGTAAACTTTACCCTACCCGTGTGTTTTCAACCCCAACCGAGTAACGGGCTTTACTATCGCTGAGGCAAAATTCGAAGAAAACACACGGTACCTGCAAAGCACAGAAGGACGAGGGCGTTGGCGACGAGGCGGAACAGCAGCGCGATGACTTTGCTCCAGAGCCGCGTCTCGTGCTGGTACGTGAGGATGAGGTGCACGGTGGCGGCCAGCGGCAGCGCGGCGCACGCCAGCACCACCACGATCATGGTGTGCTCCAGACCCGTCCGCGTCCACCGCCAGCCCTGGAGCATCAGGGCGTGCAGCGCGGCCAGCTCGCACACACGCGGCCCTGCGACCGTCAGGTTTACGACACTGCGTCATTCCATGCGAACCCCTCAGGGCTCGAGACGAGTATAGTGTGGTGGTGGCGGCACGGTCTAGGGAGCGCTCAGAGGGCCAGAGGACCGGCGCAGGCGGCTGAAACACTTGACGCGATTTGAACTCCTGAGTCGCTTAACAGGACTCAAACCGAACGTGTGACCCCACCAATGGATTCCTCGTTCTGAGAGCATTTCATTGCAGAGGTCACACGTTCGGTTTGAGTCCTGTAAGGCCAATCTGATCAGCTCAGAGTTTAAGCCGCCTGCGCTGGTCTTCTCGCCTACTGTGGAGCGCTTTCAAAGTTTAGAACGCTTGCCGAATCAGAGCCAAGGCTCCCAAAATTTTTTACTCGTCTGAGTCCTGCCACCACGTCTCTTATACACGTGTATATCAATTCTTAGTTCAATTCATAGCCTACAGGTGATTCAATTAAATTCTGGTAGCATTTGGTCGCACGGGACGCTTGCTAGGACTTATTCTCCCACTTGCATTTTTTAAACCACACTGCAAGAAAAACCCACAGCAAAAGTACACAAATTTCTGGCAAATTTTTTTTCAGGTTTTTATTGTACTTTCAAAGTACAACAATTGTAGTACAAAGTACAATGGAACCGGCATGACGAGTGCTGTCCAGTCCAGGCCTCGTTGTGGTTTGTACAATTCTCGTTGTACTTTCTACAATCCCTGTTGTACTTTAATTGTACAGTTTTTGTTGTACATTTCTTGTACTATTCACACTTTTTCTTGCAGTGCACTGTGGGGAGGGGGCCGTGTCCGGAGCCGAGCCGAGCCGCCGCCCCGGCCAGCGGTGGCCAGCCGAGACAGGTGGGGCAGGGTAGGGCGGGCCGAGTCGGCGCAAGGGTGCTGCTTTCGGAAAATCACCGCTCGTCGACCGGCGAGCCGAAGTTTACCTGGACTCGGCGAGGGGTCGCGTAAGCCTCGGGCGCGGTGGAGGGGATTCGGGACTCGGGATTTCTGAGAAGCACTCCTGCGTCTGCTGCGTCGCTGCGCTTTCAGTGTGTCGTGTGTTCTCAGTGCTGTGCACATCGCATCCGAGTCCAAGCGCTCGTTCGCACCATCAATTTTATGTTCCGCTGGACCGTTTAGCGATTTGCAGCGTCTAGGTGTGGTTTTCGGTGCAGTGCGCATAGTGCAGGCGTGTCGCCTGTGGTGCCGTACAGTCACCACTCGTGTTTCTAAAGGTATTTTGGAGATCCTCGGGAAGACGGTTTGTTTTCGCAACGTGGCGTTACTAAGTGCTGTTATTTTTATTATTTTTTTGAAAAGAGGGGGGGTGTCTGAAAGTGTCACTAAATCCGTAGCATGATTAATGTACAGGCCCGTACAGCATTGCTGGAAAGTAAGAAAAGAGAAAACCGCACCCGAAAACAGTGTTGAGCCTGAGGACCTCCTTTGATAAGGAATCAACAATTAACCTAACCTCTAAAAGGAAGCCGAGTTTGTTAATCCAAATATCGCTCAATTAGGTACTGTATCCGGTGAATGCTATTCCTCTTCTACCTATTGTTGAAAGGATACTTTCGTGGACTCTAGACCGGAAGTAAACCATTCGCCCTGTTAACGTATAACATACAGGATACAGACAATAGTCGTATATAGGCGTTCAGAAGTTTACATCGTCCATTACTTATTTGCAATACATTTTTTTATATCTCAAGGCCAACAATTTTTAACCACCCGGTTCCACTTTGACAACCCGAGAACGTCAGTTCCGGCCATCATGGAGTCTTTCATTCCACGAGCCATACCCAATTATTGCTGTTGTTCATAGATAAACGTGTTACGTTAAATCGATGCGTTGAAAGGAGGAGTCTTCCTTAAGGGGAGGTTCTGGTGAAAATCTTGCTATTTTCCAAATGGATCCCACTGTCACAATTTGTTCGGAATATAAAATCTTTCTTCGAGGAGACTAAAATTTGACTTTTGAAGGCACATGCCAGGCTCTGAACCCAGTCGAAGAGTCTTATTGATTGAGCCTATTTTGGCTGTATCTTAAAAAATCTTCTTGCCCATACTATTTTGTCGTAAAAGGTTGACCTTGACATTTTTCACTTCTTCGATTCATTTTGAAAAAATGCCGGCATGCATAGCTCAAAATTTCCATTACATTATAAATTGTAAGCTTTTTAAGCAGAAAAGTCCCTAAAATTTGTCTATTTTTTACATTTTTGGTCAATTATAGTGAAATGCTTGGTTAGAAAGCTTGCCAATAAAAATGTAATTTACGTTTTGAGTTCTGCATGCCGGCATCTTTTAAAAATAAATCGAAGAAGTAAAAAATGTCAAGGCCAACCTTTTACAACAAAATAGTATGCGTAAGAAGATTTTTAAAGTTATAGCCTAAATAGGAGAAAAAGGCTCTGCGACTGGGTTCAGCACACAGAATGTGCCTCCCCATTGAAAAATTTTAAAAATTACTTGGTAAGACATGAAATTTTTAACAAATTTTCACAGTGGGACCTATTTAGGAGAAAATAGCATTTTCACCAGAACCTCCCCTTAATGCCTGAAGGGTTACTTCAGCGATTCTTGAAAAGGCATTAAGCAGGAAACAGCTGAGTATTTAACTTCCATCCCCTCACTCGAGGGGCAGGAAGTTGTGCACGCAGTTGACATTTAATTTCTGTTGTCTAAGATTCACTGAAATGCCCCAACGAGAGTTTTGTTGAGAGGCTACTGGTCAAGCTTTTGGTTTTAGCCTCTTTCACTGACGCAAGAGCTGAACAGGAGCAACTTCGTCACTCATCCCCGTTGGTTCTGTGTTACAGGCCACTCCCTGAAGGACAAGAACGAGATCATCATGAACGGACGAGGCAAACGGGTGCAGGCTGAGGAGACCGACCAGCCCCACGCGAACAAGCAGCAGAAGATGTAAGTACTTCCACTTCCTGCTACTTTTCATGATCTAAAAGCCTCAAGTGCGGCCTCACACTAAATGTCGATGTGCTTTTATTGTCCGTAACTATTGCCATTTTTGTGCACATATACTCTAAATGTCTTACAATGAAATTTGACCTATGTTATTCGTATGTTACAGTGAATTCGGCGCAAGCATAATACGAAGCAATATTCCTTCGTAATACGAATCTTTTTAGCTTCTTCATTGTAAGATGCTAAGAAAAACCTTCGTAATACGAAGAAAAACCACCTTCGTATTATGCTTGCGCCATTTCCTTCGTAATATGGGAAATTTCTCCCTAAGACATTTAGAGTGTATAAGCTAAGTTCAATTAAAAACTCAAATGAACAACTGCACTGCGCTTTGGTATTCGTAACATTGTACTTGATTGATATGGAAATTTGTACATAGCTCACATAACGCGCAATACTTCGTACAATAAGTCCAAGGCAATTTGTGTGTTTGAGTGTCTTTCTTGTAAAAGTCAACTTTGAAAATACAAATCGGTGGGAAGGGCTTGACCAAGGGACTTGAAAATTTACCTTTGCCCTGAGGGATAAATTTTGTACTTTTCCAAAAAATTGATCTTTAATTTATCTTTGCTGAATGTCTAGTATATATAAATTTATTTGTATAGTTTTGAAAAATTTGAGAAAGTGCCATTCCTTGGTCCTAATAGCTGTGCAAAATTTCGGCCTAGGCACGGACTTGGAAGAATGCCTAAATTTCTTAATGAAGATTTGAGGAACTTAGCAGTGAACTCACTCAATTGCAACCAGGGTGTATCAGAATGGAATAACTAATAATCCCGAGCTAGAAATAGTGGTCTGGTGGATATCTTATACGTCCTTACTTGTGCTACCAGCGTTTCCAGCCTGTCAGGGTCTGTGTTGAGTTGCCCTGTTATGGGCTTCACAAATCGTATTGCAACGAAACCTTACATCCAGTTTGGACATGGTACACTTACCTTTGTGGGAACCAGATCACAAGCTATTCACTTGTGTTGGCTTGTATTGTTTGTCAAAAGGTAAGCCTGTTTGCGAGAAGCTATATACTGGTGACAAATGAATGAAAACACAACTAGAGAATACTGTCAAGCAGAATTTCAAATATTCAACATATTTGTGACCAGAAATTTATCGACTGTAGAAAATTCCATGAATCTAAGATGAATTAGTTCCTAAACTTGGAGGATGCAACTTCTATTATTTTCTGAGTAAATTAGGTTTACGTTAACTTTGAGTCGTTTGGGACAAACTTGTAATTTGCTTTATCGTAAGCTGGTCTTGAGCTGACCATCTTTTTGCTCACAAGTCTATACAAGTAAAAATCTCGTGATATGGTTCTTACAACAATAGCTCAGTGTACCATGTCCCATTTGGAAGTAAGGTTGGATTACGATACCAGTTGTGAAGGCCATAACTGGGCTCCTCGACAAAGCCCCTTCAGGCTGAAAACACGATTAACTAAGAAGTAGAAGATACTCACCACACTCTATTTCTGCGTCGAGATTATTATTTATTCCATTCTGATAAACCCTAGTTACAAGAGTTTACCGATAAATTTCCTAAACCTGCCTGAAGAAATTTACGCTTCCTTCAGAGCTCCGAAACCAAGTCTGTGCCCAAGCTGAAATTTTACACCGTGCTTGAGACCAAGGTAAGGTACTTTCTCAACTTTTTTGAATTGTTTAATAAAGTATATTTTTAAGATCTAGAACATAAAATTGATGTTCAATTTTTTTTAAAAGTAACTTTACTTTCAGATTTGTCCAAACTCTTGAAAAAGTACTTAAATGTTAAAACTGTTGTCCTTTTGACCCTTGCGACCTGGGTAAAATTTTAAGTCCCTGGGTGAAGCCCCTCCCATCGATTTGTGACTTAACCGTTCACTATCAGAAAAAAAATAGCAAAACACGCCTTTGCCCGCTGCTCCGGACTTGGTCGACCTACGACCTTCAAACTTTTTGGACATCTTTCTCTGCCCTTGGGGCACATATAGTTTTGGGTTTTTTTTTCCGGGAAAAAATTTAAAATCACCCGGGAAAAAAAAAACATATTTTCCATTTTTTTTTCCGGGGAAAAAATGGAAAAGTATAAAAAATTTAAAAAAAAGCGTTTTTTACTTTAAAAATTTTATGGATAAAGATTATCGTTTAAAAGCTCGGATTTGGTAAATATGACGATGTATGACACGCAATATCTATTTTGCGGGGCCTGAAGGCATTTTTACTTTTGGGGTTTTTGAAGTTCCCGCTTGATGACACGTCTCCCCCGATTGGTTTTTACTAGGGGTACGTGCCGTTTAGTCTAGGCGGGGTGTGTGGCTGGCGATGCGAATTGACATATTTTGTGCACTTTGGACTTTGCTTGAGTAGACGAAATATCCATCTTACGGGCTCATATTCAGTGAACTTTAGACCGGGGGTAGAAAAGGTAGTGATTTTCGCTATCAGAACCCCAAAAACTGCTGGGATCAATGTCAAACTCGATTTAAAAATTGCATCAATACTTGTTGCATCAAAACTTAAAAACCCTTATTCGTATTTTTCAGAATTTTAATTCCCACACCATACAGTCTTAAGGGGCTTTTGAGGTAATTGGGGTATTAGATAAATTAAGATGTTTCTCATTTACACAAAAAGAGAAAACCTAGTTAAAACACTCAAAAGTTAAAAAAAATTTCAAAATTGGAAAAAAACGAAAAGTATAGCCATGGCAAAAAAACGAAAAAAACATTGGAAAAAAACGTATTTTTCCATGTTTTTTTTCCAACTTCCCAACACTAGGCACATATGATACAATATTGGTCCGAATCACAGATACCAGAATCTTGTGCTCCCTAGACATGCACTTCTAGAAGCAGAAGAATCGACAATAGTACAGAAATTTCTGGCATATTTTAATTAGGAAAAAAATGTTTTTCATAGTACAACAATTGTTGAACAAAGTACAATGAAACTGGCATGACGAGTGCAGTCCAGGCCTCGTTGTACTTCCTACAATTCTCACTGTCCCTATCTTTCAAATTTTTCATTGTACTTTGGTTGTACTATCCACAATTTCTCTTGCAGTGTTGAGTCACTTGACAACGTTTTGTAACAGGAAGAAGCTGACATGTGTCCCTCTCTCTGCGCAGGACGGACTGGTGCTTGGACTGCAAGGCCGTGCTGCAGGTCGCCTGCCTCGGTGCCCACCGTGTGCTGGACATGGACGCTGCGGAGAAGGACGCCCAGGCCAAGCTGCAGGCTGCGCTTCAGGAGGCGGCTCTGCAGCAGGCGAACCTGGACGCCCTGACCGCAGCCCGCGTGCTCACGGGCCCCGTCCTGGAGGCTGAAGTCGCCAGGGTGGACGAAAGCAACATGGGCTGGTCCGTCGCGGGCGGCGACATCCGCATCGCGCTGGCCGCCACCAAGGAGCTCACCGGCGAGGACGAGAAGGCGCTCTGCGCGGCGCTCGAAGAAGTGGAAGTGGCGTACGAAGTAGACGAGGCAGAGTCCACCATAGCTTGGACGGACATCGAGCTAGACGCACTCAGTGGCCTCATGGACAAGCTGCCCGACTGCGTGGAGGGCCAGGCGGCGGGGAAGGGCGACGTGCTTCTGAGCGCAGCCGGGCGCCTGGAGGTCTTTTTCAGGGACATGCCGTCCAGGGGAGAGCCGGGCATGAAGATGTTCGGCCGCGTGGAGGACGGCCTGGGTGCCCTGGAAGGCAGTGGCTGCGACGGTCGCGACGACGAAGTGTCCAGGCAGGCTACAAGGATAATTGCGTAACCCAGAGCGTGGACTGCTTCTGCAGGGGCGTCGAGCCCGGCACCACCACCCTTAGCAACGTGCAGTTTGAGGTGGAAGGATGCCAATGAAGTGTCAATAGGAACAGGCGCTCGATTTTACTTTATCAACTTCTTCAGTATTCTCCGTGTTTTTAAGACGAATTGTGTTGAGATTTTAGGATGAGCGGAGTGGGCTTTTTAAATTTTTCATTGCTGCAGTCATTTTACGATGTTCGTTTCCACTAACGTTCCCTCAATTGATCGATTGTTTCCGTTTATCTTTTTACTCATGTAATTTCATTTCATTTAACCTTGAAGGAAGTGAAAACCCTTGCTTCTACTATGTACTGGTACTTAATTAAAAACCTTTTAAAAATAAACGCCTTTTTACGAGCTTCAATTCTTCACTCTGATGTGTCACTGGCGAAATCTAGATTGAAACAAATCAAATTTTTTATTTGCGCATGGTCTTCTTTTGATCGAAGGCTACGTTCGGTCGTAAGTACACTTGCGATATTTGCTTGAGATAATTATAAGATGTCGCGATCCTTGGGCCTGCACATGGAACTCGATGCGAGATATGCACACACTATTAGCCCCCGACTTTCTAAATAGGGCATTTCAGAGAAGGTCTGGACCGGAATCCCAGAGCCTCAATTTTTGACGGTTAATTACGAGGGGTAACGGCCTCAACGACGAAATAACTTGGACAATCGGGTTAATTTTGTGTCATTCTAGTGCTAAAATACGTTAACACGCTGATGCTCATCGAAAAGCTAGTTTCTCAAAAACCATTATGAATGTTGCGATGACACTGCAGAAAATTGTAGAGCAACAAATTTACCTGTCCATGGCCAACCTGGCATGTACTCTCTAGGCTGGAGCGTGCTTGCAAAGTACACGCCACGCTGCAGTTCTTTACCTTTGGAGTCATCCATAAAATACGTGCATAGTTTCAGGGGGGGGAGGCAATAGAAAACGGACAGCCTATCTTAACACATGGAGAAGGTTAGGTTAGATCGCGGACATACACTGGTAAAACTATGGGGTAGTTCTACGCAGCGTAGGGCTACGCTTCAAGACTACGCCACGCTTCAAGACAATTCCCCCTTGCGTTTAGATAAGAGGAAAGGAACGCATGCGTTCACTACGAATTAGCATTAACAATATTGGGGTAAAAGGGGGGGGGGGAAGGTCATTGTATTGTATTGTATTATCATTCTTTCTTACGTCAGTTTTTACAATAAAAACATTTTGAACATCGTCATTTTTATCCTTATTAAGTTAATATTTGGCGGTCCAAGATAATAATAATAAAATAGAATTGTACCATCTAAAATCAATAGATTAAAGAGAAGTAAAAAAACAGAGAGATCACAGTACCAACCCATCACAGAAAAAGTCTTCTAACCTATAAAATTCTTTATTAAACAGCCAAGCTTTCAATTTTGATTTAAATTTCTTTAAAATTGTTTCGTTCTTTATGTAATTCGGGAGATTGTTAAAGATTTTTTTGATTGTAAAGTCTGGTGCATTTCTGGGTCTATGTTCTAAATGTATATTGTTCAATCCTCTTGTCCTGTATTTATGTACTGTGTGATTTTCCATGTTCCTGAAGTATTTGTGGGCATATATAGATGCTTGAAGGATGAAAACTGAGTTAATTGTTAAGATGTTCCATTTTTTGAAAAGTCCTCTACAGCTTTGACGCCTCCTAGCCTTCCCAAATTCTAGTATCTTTATAGCCCTTTTTAGTTTTCTGAAAATTTTTTCGACTAAGTTCTTTTGAACGTTTTCATTAGCCCATAGTATACTTCCATAGCTAAGGTGGGAGTGGAAATGAGCATGGTACACCTTGAGGATATCTTTCTTATACATAATCTGTGATATTTGTGACATCATAAAATGTCCACTGTTTAGTTTTTTCTCTAGCTTGCTGATGTGGTCATCCCATTTTAAATTTTTCTGTAGCTCTACTCCTAGGAAAGTTCTTTTCTCCACTTGACTAATAATATTCCCTTCTAGTTCCAATTTAAATTCATTTTCATTATTCTCAAATAGCATATATACTGTTTTACCCCAATTTAGTTCCAGGTTTAAAGACGCGAAGAATGTTTTAAGAGCCATAAGGATTTCTGTTGCCCTATCATTGAGTTCTCTCCATGTTTTACCCGTGACTATAACTGTTGTATCATCAACATAGACTATGGATGATGCCCCCATGCTGTCTATTAGTTTCTCTATGCAATTTATATATACAATGAATAAATAAGGTCCTATTATGGATCCCTGTGGGACTCCATGTTTAGTTTGTAAGAATTCTGAAAAAGTTTTTTGAATGAGCCCTTTTTTTCCAACTTTTGTAATTTTGACGATTTGATTTCTATTGGCCAGGTATGATTTTAGAATCTCGTAGGGGGTTCCTCTTATCCCATATTGGGATATCCCATGTGGTCTACACAGTCAAACGCTTTACTTAGATCCAAAAAGATTGCTAGTGATTTTAGTTTAGCTGCTTTTGCGTCGTATATTTTTGTTATAAAATGTGTGATAGCATCCGCTGTAGATTTTTGTTTTTTGGTATCCAAATTGGTTTGGTGAGATTATATTATGCTTTATAAAGAAACCTTCCATCCTTGTCAGAAGCATTTTTTCAAATACCTTTGAGAAGGGCGAATTTTGAGCTACTGGCCTATAGTTTTTTGGTTCTAATTTATCATCTTTTTTGAATAGTGGAACTACAACAGTACTTTTCAGTGCTGTTGGGAATTTACCTTTACTGACCATATTATTAAAGATATGCATTATTGGGCCTGCTATCTCTTCCTTGCAAAATTTAGCTGTTAGATTCGAAATTTCATCTACCCCTGTTGAAGTTTTATTGCTAAGAGATTGAAAAGTTTTCAGGACTTCGTTTAACTGACAGTTTTGAAACACTACTGAATTACCTATCTGGTCCAAGACTGAAAATTCAAAAGGCACCAAACCGACCCTTCTTCTAATCTCCTGCGTTATGTTTACATAATACTGATTGAAAGCATTGGCAATTTGAGTTGGATCACTACAAGGTTTCCCTTGAACATTTAGTTCCATATTGCTGATTCAATTTGATTCATTTGTTTTATTTTGATTAATAATGTTCCATGTTTCCTTGGATACATTCTTTGCATTGCTTATTCTATCCGAGTAATATTTTTTCACAGACACACTGTGAGAAAATAGTACGGAACAAGTACGGAACATGTCTGGTCAATAATTTGCCTGGACCGTCCGTACTTGCCAACTACGGAACGTTCCGTACCTTTTTTCCGTACCCATTTACATGGGTTCATGTGGAGCAAGTACGGAACGTTCCGTACTTTTCTCCGTACCTCCGTACTATAATTTTCCGTACCATTTCCGTACAAAAGTACGGATTTTTTTACAGTGCAGATCGTGGGCTTTCTTTAGATCAGAATAGCATATCCTAATTTGTTCATCCAGGAACTCCTTCTCACTGCTATTTCTTCTATTAAATTTTAACATAGTCATTTTTGCATTCAGGTGATTAATGTCCTCGCTTATTTCAACACACATTTTCCTTTTTTCCATCTTTTTTTCTATTTTTGGACAGGCAATGTTATAGCAGTGAGAGAAAGTTTCTAGGAAGTTGATGTACGCCGTTTCCGGGTCATCTGATTCATAAACATTAAGCCAGCTTTCTTTAGCCAGTAATATTTTTAGCTCCATTAAGGTTTCCCTTTTGATTTTCCTAGCCTCTATTTTATATTGGATTCTTTGAATCTTTGATTGCAATGTAGGTACTATTCCTAGGGCAAAGTGGTCTGAGAAATTCACATTTAGTATACTTCTACTTAATACTGTTTTTATATCGTTAGTTATTATATTGTCAATACAAGAACCTCCATACTCTGATGGTCTAGTAACCTCTTCAAACAGATGTAGGAATTCATTAGCGTTTATAGTACTTAAGAAGTCTTCAAGTTTCCCATCCGACTTTCTAAAATTAATATTTATATCACCTAGCACATAGGATTGATCGCACCGGATGTTACCCACACCCTCAGATTCTTATGATGAAAGGGTCATCATAACTTGCGTTGAAATGAGAACATACGTACTACAATGAAATTCATGCGTAATACGATGAAATCATGCGTACCTTATGAAGAAACCATGCGTAATACGATTAAATCATGCATACCTTACGCTGAAATCTATGCATATTACGTATGTGCAAATTTATGCGTACCTTACGATGAAAAACCATCGTAATACGTATAAAAACGATCATAAGATGTTGAGAGTGCAGTACATCTTGCATCGTTTCATTAAACAAAACTAGATCATTACAGCTTGGGGACCTATATAGCCCTACTATATTGACAACTTTCCTGTCTACCTTAATTTTTATAGCTGCTAGCTCACAGGTTTTCTCGATGGCCATATTCTTTACTGATTGATTTTTCACTAGGTCCACATCAAGGTCTGATCTAACGTAAATTGCAACACCACCTCCTTTATGTACCTGTCTACAGTAGTAATCTGCCAAATGGTAATTCATTATTTTAAAGGCCTCTATTTCACTATTTTTAAAACAATGTTCGACTAGAACTATCACATCAGGCTGGTGTTCTTGAGTAAAGACTTGAATAAGATTTTTCTTTCTCCTAATACTTTGTACATTTAGACATTGGATCCTGATACTATCCTTACTATTTTTGACCTTGTCTTTTCCATTTAGAAATTTACCTTATACATAAGCTGTACTATTGCATTTGCCACCTTTTCTTTACCTTTAATATTCAAGTGCAGTCCATGTTGAGTATACATGTCCCTACAGGTCACTATTTGATTAATATCTAGCACAAAGATCCTGTGTTTGAGGCCACTTTTCACTGCATAGTCATTCACATATTTCACTAGTTCACTATTATATTGATCTATCAGAGTATTCACTTCACTGCAGTCATATCTTCTAGGTACCGTAGCTATTATCACATTCGTATGTGCTGCTTGTGATAGCACATATTTGTAGTAGACTGTATTCACCTTCACTGAGAATTTAGCATCACTGGGCTCGAAGTTGTTTGTACCCCCAATGAATACGAAGTAGTCCATTGGTGAGAGGTGCGCTGTCCTGGCGTTAAGGTTCTTTGTAAGGTCTTCTAGCTTGGCGTTTGGCATAGCAAAGGCTGAGGCATATTTGTAGATGTTTGAGGTTTCAGCTCCCAGATTTTTGGCATGGCTGTCCCCTAAGATTTCAATGTGGGGGGGTAATTTTGGTTTCTTCCATTTTGTATCTTCTGTTCCTAATCTTGAAGCCATCTTCTTTCTCGGGTGACAGGTAAATCACTTTAACTTTAGTTTTGGAGTTTTGAAAGGCATGTTTGAGAACTCTCATGACCTTTTCCCATGGGATGGCGTCCAGTCCAGCACCAAGATTAGGCACGGCTAGCTTTTCAATTTGTAGTTCTTCGCACTTGGCCGCCAGGTTGTAGATTGTCTTCTTGAAATCCTTGATATTCGGTGGGATGTGAGAGGCTTCTTTGGTTATGAGGTGGAGTACTGTTTTGCCTAGTTTTCTTTGCACTATTATACAAGGTAGGTTTACGCCAGACCGCGTCTTGTCGTAACAGGCTTCGCGATGTCTCGCGGCCTGTTCCTCCAATCCGCGCCTGGCGTACCTACCTTGGCCTGCGGCCTTCGGCAGGCATTGGCTTGTCCATCGTTGGTGAGTTCTAACTTGTTGCTTACTGGGGGGCTGCCCCCCTTTATTCCAGATAGAGTTGTTTCATCAACAGATATCACGATCTTGACCCTTGCAACTTTTTAACTTCTCGAGGCTGGGGGGCTCCGTCCCCCAGACCCTTCTTCCTTCAGCACAGAAGTGATCTGCCTGATGAAGACTAGATTTTTCGCCGTTTTTTAAGCGTTTTTCGGCTATAAAAACTGAACCACGTGAGCTAGGATAGTGAAATTTCGCGTGTGCCGACCCAAGAATATATCAAATAAGCCTGCAAAATCTCACCGAGATCGGCCGAGCCGTTCAGGAGGAGTAGTGTACACACACAGACACACAGAAAAAACTTTTCAACCCCACTGGAGTAACAGGCTTCGCTATCGCTCAGCCAATTACCGATAGCTTGATTTTCTTTACTTTCAGGTGGGAGCTCTCCAAATTCAGCCTTCACCGCTTTGGCCAGTCCATCTGACATCTTCAGGTCCTTCGCCACGCAATGAGCTATCACGTATTCTTTCTCCAGCTTTAGCAGGTCACCCTCCTCCATCGCTATCACGTTTTCTGCGAAGTTGTCCAGTGTGTTCCTTGTCATGGACATTTTGATGTTTTTGACTCTGCCTTTGCCATGCTCGCTGGGGTGCTGATCTACTTGTTTACAGGTTATGTTGTCCATCTGGAATTTGTCGAACTTATCTTCCAGCTCGGAAATTCTTCTTAGTAATTCCAGATAGTGCTCTTTTGGAATGGTTATGAGCTCGGTAGATTTGACACTGTCATCGTCAGACTCCAAAAGCCGTTCTTCCTCCCATTCCTCCAGGTTCTGGGAGGTTACGTTCAGCAGCTCCGAAGTCTTCTTGGTCAGATTTATCCGAATGATAGGATCCCTCTTCTCTTCACGTGTTGGAGTGTAGTTTCCTACATACTCCAGTTGCTTTTCCTTCCCTATTTTAATTTTTGTTTGGGCCAAAAAACAGTTTTTTGACGTAGCGTTCTCACGCACGTCTGACCCGTCCGCCATCTTGTTTATCGTGAAGAACCATACGTGAAGACTACACAGCTACTGCCAAGGAGGAAGTCTTTGACGAGAAAAGAAAGAGACTCATCCTAAAGCTCTTTCTGAGAGGTGTTTGCGTCAAAAACTTTGGAAAATAAGAACTCATGTCCAACTAAGTTGCTCTCGGATGGAGGGAGTGTCGCTCGAATCGTCCTTCCATTCAGGACCGTCAGGGCCTTCTCGCCGGCCTCACTGCACGGCCTCAGCCGCAGGTACGTGCTGACATTTTCTTCTGCCACTTCACTGGCGTGCTGGAAAGCTGACATGGCGGCCATATGCGTCATGACAAAGCGGACATATGGAAGATAGGTCTGCGCAACCGAGATGCATGCTGGGAATCCATATGCACTGTTACAAATAGTGATGCAATTTATCAGTTAATATGTTGCTAGTTCTGTATGATCAAAGTTGGTGACAAATGACTTAAGTTGTTCACTAACGACTAACGCTGTTCGTCAACAAGATGTTTGTAAACCAGTACACAGCCTTGTTTGCATCAATTTTGATTGCCGGTTGAGTCACAGACCTAGTGGAGTCCCCGTGACCCGCAGTAGTCACTTCTTGCATTGTCCGGGTTGTTTCTACGCAGCATGTTTAAAAACAGCGTAAGTCGGAAAAATAATAAGCAACAAATTCTTCGTTTTGAAACAAGCTAACTTGTTTAAAAACAACAGCGCTGTCGAGGTTCGTAATTGTCTGGTTTTAGAACAACCATTTTTTAACAGTGTGGGCTCAAACATAGCGGACGTGCTTTAGGGATGGCCCCTTTCAAATGAAAAGCAGAGCAACCGTGCACCTGGAAAGTCATACTGTATATTTCGGACTTAAGGTTAGACAGCCCCCAGATTACTTCCTGATTTTTGAAATAAGCACAGACACACCGTGGGGTGTATAACTGCAGGTTTCTGTCCCTGTACTGGAAGTCACAGATCTAAAGTAAGAAATAACACCGCTAATGCGCAGGCGCCCCCCTCTACTCGTCGAAGCATGTACGCAAGCGGGTTCTGAGCGGGTTCAGTTTTAACTTAAGCACTTAGACTTCCGGTTCAGGGTGTCGTTTAAGAACCCCTGTTGAAATAGAGGCTTCAGAGTTTCAGTTAAATCGAGCTTAGTTACGAGGAGGCGGGACGCTCAGAGGTAAATAACCTTTATCACTCCGTGTAAGGAGTTGCGCTTTGCTGTTTCGTTTGCTTTTGTCACTTCCGGGTTGGCCATAAGCCCTTTTCGTTTCCTCTATTCAGCGACGCTTCTTCCAAAATCTGGTCGTATTCGATAACCAATTTTGATGTTTCACCAAACCGGTATCTCCGGTTACTGAGTTGCGGCAAAGGCATCGACGGTACGATAATTGGATTGCGGCAGTCACGAAGTAACTTCTGTTCTTACTTTAGCCATCATGCCCTTAAGTGGGTACGGCGTATAGTTCCAACCGGCAGCTCCCGGCCCCGACATTTTTCCTCTACCTGAATTTTCACTGGAAAGTCTGCTGGCGTACTGAACCTTGTGGCAGGCTTTTCAATTCACGTAGACCATTGTTCCAAGGTATAGACTATATCAGGAAACACTGTTATTCAACGCATGTGCACTACAAACCTAACTGTCTACTAAGTACCCACTTAGAAATGCATGCTTGGCAAGTACCCACTTTTAAAAACGCCTCTGCTCAGCATGGAGTTATAAGGCGCCAAGCATGCGTATGTAAGTGTGTACTTGCCAAGCATGTATTTGTAAGTGTGTACTTAGAAGACAGTTAAGTTTGTAGTGTGACGTCATATTCGCTAGAATCTTGACGCAACATCGCTTGAGCGTGATACGGCCGTTGAATTTGAGGTCTAATTCGTTTGAACTTGGATCAACGTTTAAGTGAACGTGACAAAATTCGCATCGACTTTCTCATTCGTTGGATAACATAGTGAACAGGATAATGAGCTGAGTATCAAGTTGTTTTTTTTAATAAATGAACAAGACAACTTCCGCTGGGAGACCGAGCGTGTTAATGGGGTGCTTTCGAGAATCCTCGGCCGGCAACCGACAGTCTACATTTTTGGCGGAAGTAGATTAGCTGATATGAAAAGAAGGCTATAGTTCCATACAACCACCACAATTCAACATGATTATAGTTTAAAACTCATTTGCGATGGATTTGTATCGCAAAGTATCAGCTTAGCGTGCTTTGCTCTAAGATCCCGAGCGAGGTTAGTTCCGGCCATCATGGCGTCTACTCACGTCCGTATTACGAACCACGAAAGTGCCCTTTCGTACCATTGCTGCATTTAGGTACCAAATCCAGTCTTTGTTATTCCTCTTTCAACTGTTTTCGGGCATTGCCTTATTGGTCTTTCGTGATCGGTTGATGTTTTGTTCATTGACGCTTAGAAACAAGGTTGCCTCTAGTCTGGAGGTACGGGACGCTATTATCAATATCTTGCATTCTGGATTAGGTTACGAAATCTAGCTCTTGGTTTCATCTTTTTCCACCGGCGCAAGTGCAGAGCGGAAATAAATCTTTTCACTTATCTGTTCGTTCTGTTTTATAGGCCACTTCCCCCCAAAACCAAGAACGCCATGTACGGAATGAACGGACGAGGTAAAGGAGTGTATACCAGGGACACCGAGCAGCCCAACTTCGCCAAGCAGCCGAAGATGTAAGTACTTCCACTTCGTATTACTTTTGACGGTCGGAAATCGTACACTGTTAAAAATCCACTGTAATATTACAACACAATCACCTACAGTAATGCTGTTAAATAACAACAGTATTGTTTTGTGTCGGAACGGGAAACCCATCCAGAAACAACACTTTCGTTTTATAACAACTTCCTTGTCAAGTAACAATAATGTAATCTGGATTCAAAACAGTTAGGTTGTCGTTCAACAGGTTTCATGTTTAGAAACAACCTTTTGCAATCTTAAAACATATATTGTTGTCAGGTTACAAGGGTCTTGTTTAATAACAGCACGATGAAATCAACACCAATGTTGGGAAGACATCATGGAAGACTCCAAAGAAGTATTGTTTTATTACAATCGAACTGTCAGAAAACAGCACCGAGGGCTACAACATGCTTGTAATAAAACAAGTCGTGCTGCTATCAAACTTAACAGCATAAGTGCTGTTAATTTACAGCACTATTTTTAACAGTGTATACGTACTATAGTACCGCCAATTAGGGGTGATTGATACAGTAAAAAATATGACATACCAACATATCGCAACTGCCCTTATTTGAAGGCCATTGGATTCAAAACTTCCTAAACACCTGCTCAGTTAAAACTCTGAAGAATCATGCTTCGTAGACTTTCAGGAGTGTGAGAGAGTGAGTGCATGGCACACGTTAGATGTTCATGTACAATTTTGTACGTGATGTCACTCTCATTCCAGGAATGTTACATCACATTGAAACAAATGTGTCAAAATGTCACGTTCCTTTGACCGTTTTGTGACATTCGATTGATTCATTGTGAATGAGCTAATTTATGGCTGACTACAAACTAATGTGACACAATGCTCAAAGAAACGTGACATTTTTGTCACATTCATTCAAAGTAATGTCACGTCTTTGAGATAAGATTGGTTCCTTGATTTTAAAACTTAATGCGTTTTTACGTATTTGACACAAATTCCACGTACGCACAAAATCGTGTGTAATACGTTAAAAACTGTACCAAATCATTTAGTTTGCATGTTCCACCTCGGAGTAAACCAACCACGATGCGCGCTTCGTGCTGGAAAGCACTCTCCCGGATGGAACGTGCTTTCTCGTCTATAGGAGGCCTGTTAATATTCTCAGAGCTTGCTTCCAAGCATTCTTTGTCACGCATGCTCCAGGCAAGAGCGTGCTTTGTGATTTACTCTTAGGTGGAGCGGGCATGCACTCTCGTGACATCCTACACCCTTGAAACCCTACGAAGAACGCTCTTCGTAATGCAAAGTAAACGGAGGCTTCGTAGTCTACGAGGAAGGTAATGTAATACCAGGAAACCTTAGTCATGCCAAGAAAATATCCTTCGAAGGCTGTGAAGAAGTTCTGTGGGCTACAAAGGATTTTTCCTTTGTATTGCAAGCACATTTCCTTCGTAGGCTGCGAAGCCTCAGTTTTCTTTCAGCTCACCGAGAATATCTTACAAACTATTTCAGGCCTTACAAAGAAAAGCAGCTTGTTATTACAAAATATTTTGAGCATACAGAGGCCTACAAAGAAAATACTTCTTAATTGACAAAGTATTTCCTCGTACAACAAAGTAAATCAATTTGTACTGTATGCTCTAAATACTTCGTAAGGTTGTAAGCGAGTATAAAGGACGTTCTTTGTACAACTAATTGTTATTGTACAAATTTTGTACCAGACATCACAGTGTTTTGTACACACGAACTTTTCGTACAAATTTGTACGAAATCTTGCAGAAAATAGGGAAATTCGTGCAGTTTTCCGCTCAAAAATTGTATAAAAAGTTCGTGTGCAGGAAAAACTGTGATGTCTCGTTCATAATAGTACATAACAGTCAGTGTGTAGGAATTTATCTGCACTGCAAAGCCAATGGTAAGTTTACTTGCCAAATTTGGCAAGCCGTTTTGAATGCCAAATTTTGGCAAGCCTTGAACGGAAATCCTCACAAGCTTGCCAAATTTTGACAAGCTGGGAAGTGTTTCAAGGCCAAACTTGCCAATTTTTGGCATTCTAAACGGCTTGCCAAATTCGTGGCGAGTTAACTAACCACCGGCTTTGCAGTGTGTGTAGCCCAAGACTTCCAATCATCTTTTTAAACAGTGCACTACAAACCTAATTGTCTACAAAGTACACACTTACAAATGCATGCTTGCAAGTACACACTTACAAACGCATGCTTGACGCATGGGAGTTATACGGCGTCAAGCATGCGTTTGTAAGTGTGTACTTGCAAGCATGCATTTGTAAGTGTGTACTTGGCCAAGCATGCGTTTGTAAGTGTGTACTTGCAGGCATGCATTTGTAAGTGTGTACTTAGTAGACAGTTAGGTTTGCAGTGTGAGACTGACAAGCGTTCGCTCTGACCAGGTCGGACTGGTGCATGAAGTGCAAGGCCGCGGCGCAAGAGGCCTGCCGCCGCAGGCACCAGTACCGGGTGCTGGACATGGACGCGGCGGAGAGGAGCGCCCAGGCCAAGCTGCAGGACGCGCTGCGGAAGGCGGAGCGGCAGCAGGCGCACCTGGAGGCGCTGGCCAAGGCCCGCGTGCTCACGGGCCCCGTCCTGGTGGCCGAAGTCGCCGGCGTGGACCGAGAACACCAGGGCTGGGAGGTCAGCGGCGGCGACATCCGCATCGCGCTGGCCGCCACCAAGGAGCTCACCGGCGAGGACAAGCAGCTGCTCTGCGCGGCGCTCGAAGGCGTGGAAGTGGACTACGAAGTGGACGAGACCGAGTCCACCGTCGCGTTCACGTCCCTGGGACGAGTCGTTTCTGCCAGCCTCAAGGACAAGCTCCGCGACTGCGTGGAGGGCCAGGCGGCGCGGCAGGGCGACGTGCTGCTGAGCGCCGACGGGCGCCTGGAGGTGTTCTTCAGGGACATGCCGTCGAGGGGCGGGCACGGCACCAAGGTGTTGGGCCGCGTGGAGGAAGAGGACGAGGACGGCAACGGCCTGTGCTCCCTGGAAGGCAGTGGCTGCGACGGCCGGGACGACGCGAGTGTTCGGTCAGGCTGGGGGGACGAATGCTGGGCCCAGAGCTGGAGCTGTTTCTGCAGGGGCGGCGGCACGGCCTCCACCACCCTCAGCAAGGTGCGGTTTGAGGCCTGAGGACGCCAGTGGGAGCCTCTCAGTTCTTGCAGCCGGCTGATTCGCAACTTTTTCAGTCCTCGTTGATTTTGTGAAGAATTCTCGTCGACGTTTTGGTGCAAGTAGGCTGTAACTGTATTCTCATTGCTGTACTTCTGTCATCATGGTCGTGACCGGTAACGGTTGCTTAATTGCTCGGTCTGTTCCGTTTGACTATTTCATCGACACGGAAAGTTCTTCGCGTCATTGAATTTCAGTTTTATTGTACCCTGCCCAAAATGTACCTCTGACGTGTACTAATCACTGTATTAAACATCCTTTAAATCAACCTTCATTTATTATAATGCCTCATGTCTTATCGTCAGATCCAATTTCGGACTGTCACGTCATCTTGTTTCGAACAAACTTTCCCGGCTATAGCGCAAACTAGGATTATGAACATCGAACAATCGAAAGTACAAAATTTTACGAAAAAAAAAACTGTTTTGATCATTTTTGCAAAATCCTCAAAAAGTGTTTTTGGATGAAATTTTGTACTTTCGGTTCCTCGATGTTCATAATCCTAGTTTGCGCTATAGCCGCTTCAATTACCTACATTTTGGCGCAAACGGGGTCGAGATATCTTCATTTTTGCGGACTGAGGGATGCCCGCCAGTTCGACTTTTGACGAAAATTTGATTGGGCGCTGCTCCGCTCCCTGACGTCCGATCGATGCCATTCTGAGCTTAAAATGCTTCTTTTTGTAAGGTCTTGACACATGAAAAGTTTGAACAACGCTCAACAACGCGTATGGAAGCAATCGCACAAGTCAGTTTTTGGCCATTTTCAGTGTATTTGCCCCCTTAAATCAGATAACGCACATGTGGCTACATGGTTCTGAGCAATTGGCTTCGTAGTCATCTGACTCGGGAGTTAAGTTCAACTCAATTTTTACGGAAGAAATTTTAGAGCTTAGCATTAGACGTCTATACGCTCTTGTAGGGCTGTGTGAGTGGGGTTTTCTTGTTGATAATATTCGTCTACGGAGTCATTCACGCTCTTTCAACATTTTTGACACGCGTAGTTTCAGAAAACATGATGGGAAATGTTCCATCAAATACCAGGAACCTAAGTTACGACCACTGATATGGTATGGCGTAAAGTTGAATGATCCAATGGGAGTTCAAAAAAGTTTGCCATTACTTAAACTTAAAATTCTTAAGTCTGTTATTGAGATGAGGTGTGGGTCAAAGTATTATTTTCCAAACGAATGGACGCAGGGGGTTCTACTTTGCAGTTTCAAAGGGCCTGAATAGAACCTAAAAAAAGCCTCAGTACCACCCAGATCTTTCAAGCGGTTCCAGATCTACAGGTCATTTTCAGGAAATCTAGACGTTTGCCAAAGGGATTCAGCGCAAGAGATTAAAGTTGGAAAAGCTTGTCAATCTTTGTTAAACTTTTTAGAAACTTTTCTTGCAAAGTTGCGAAGTATTTTCTGTTAAGAAAGCATTAGTAGAACCATAAAATAACTTGCAAAGTTAAAAAGTAAAACTGAAAATTTGACATTTTTTGGACGTTTGACAACATTTTAATTTAGAGCTATGAACATAAACACATTAACCAATTTTACTTCAGAACCTTCAACCATATTAGGAACTTTTGAAGTAATAAAAATACGATTTCAAGAAATCCTAGGAGTCACGAAGTCAATTTGAGTAGGAGTGTGGGGAAAGCAAAAAAGTTATGTAAAAGGTAGGGGGTTGCTCAAGGGTGGCCACGAATGGCAGTGGTCTATGTGCCACCCGTCAAAATTTAAACTTGGCAATATAGAGAAATCAAAATGCCGGGAAATTTAAGAAATTCCAATGCTAATTGTGTTCCACAGTGATCTGACAAAGGAACATCTTTGAAGTCCATCATTATGAAAATGTTGGTAGCAGAAAGAAGGCAGTAAATTAATTTTCGCGGGTTGGCAACAATTTTGTCGGCGTCTGCGCCCTTGCGAAAATCGCGAAGCTGAAAACACGAGTATAGTCGCGCATTGAAACTGCCCCTCTATTGTTGCTGACGTTGAATTGTTTGGCTTATTTCAAAAGGCTACGGTTCTCTAGTAATGTTTTCTTCAATTCTGTTTAATAGTTGTCACTCACAACGTAGCAACACCACGACGGTTGGCTTGACAAACTTTATAAACTCGAGAGGGACGGTCTCGAAACGCGGGTGAGTCTTGTTCGAGGAACATGAGCACTGAAAGTCGCGAGGTGGAGCGAAGTGATCATGGTGCTAACTGAATCAGAAGTACCATCAAACCTCGCTAAAAGGAGCTGCTACATGACCAGCTTATTCAAAAAGAAACTAAAAGTCTTAAAGCAACTCTTAAACTACATTAAGGAAAGATAATTCACATATGCATGTGCACAGGTTCGCAGTTAAATGGCTCAATTCACTCCGATTTAAGGAGTAACAAAAATTTTCAACAAAACAACAACAAAAACAACAACGCAGCGGTGCGCGATTGGTGCGGGACACTCTCATAAAAAGTCACTGGCCGGCCGGCCGATCCAAATGGCCACGTTCGAAACGACATCAATTCTATTGTTGCATCTTGTCTACCTGCAGTCAAAGAAATTTTTCATTTCGAACGTGCTATTTCAGCTTTTGGAGTAAGCTGTACAGACCCAAAAAGAAGCTCCGCTATTGGTCCGACTCGGCTCGGCTCCCCCCACTCCCTTTTTTTTCCTTTGACGAGTCGAGTTTTGCCATGGAGACGGCGATTTTGACAGCAAATTTCTCAAAATTGGCCGTTAAATTTTTAACCAGATTTCAGCATCAGAATCAGCGTTCAAAGTTCTACAAGTCTGCAAAATCTCATTAAAATCGTATAGAAAATTTCCGAAATGCGTAAAGGGCCACACAAATCGAATCTCGGGCCGGCTGAATCCTGGGTATACTATAAGGCTACTTCGTGCCTAAAAATGCCATCAATCAGACTAAATCTGTTGCGTAAAATATGCTTTGAGTGTTAGAACTTTTCGAGAGTTAAGGGCAATTGTGAGTAAACGACTCGTTAAAACTTTGTTTATGGTAGAAAGATGGTTTACAATCCATTGACCCTCTATAAATAGTCATAGTGTTAAATTGCTCTTGATGTAGCATTTTAAAGCTTTTTAGCAGATGATACCTTCACACTTGAAACACACTTAAAACTACTATACACATGAAGGTGTCAGCGTGCTTTTACTCTCGAGTGCAGAAACCAAGCGCGTATCCTAACAATATAATAGGGGCTGGCTGCCGGGGCGGGCTGGTGTGTCTGGCCGGCTGGCGGTGAGGCGCAGCCTGCGCGGAATTCGACAATCCCTCCGCGGTACAGCGCCAGCGGCACCGGGCGTCAACAATGGTACATTGACAATCCCTCCCCGCCTGACACGGCGCGGAATATCGCGCAACAATGCCACATGCCATAGCTCGGCACGGCTACCAACACCGGCTAGCTTGCTCGGGCCTGTGTATTCAATTGGTCTTGTTTCATACACAATTTTAAATACTATCTTTGGATTGAGCTTGCATACTACCCCCTATAAGAAAACCAGACGAGTATCATCTGCTTTCATTAACGTTCGTTGAATGAGATTTTTATTTTATTTTTTCTTAAGCCACACCTCATCTTAATATCCCCTCTCGGTTTGAGGCGGTCTTGTGGTGGCAGCTCACCCCGTGCAGTGACGCACTGTATGGCCATGCCGCGGTAGAGCACCGAGGCGACGCCGAACAGAGCAGACGCCATCGCAAGCATGCGGTAGTACGCCAGGGGCCCCAACACGCTGAGCCACAGCTGGAGTACACAGAAAATACACATCAAGGAATCATTTTTATTTTTACTTAATTTTGTGAGTCAGCACTCGATCTCAAACCTGAAAGACCACGAAGACCCCGTTGACAGCTTTGTACCATATGCCACCGATGGGCACAAGCACCGCGTTCAGGGGCGAGATATGCTGAGAGCTGTGGACCGTCTGGAAAGAGGCCAGGATGTGGGCCACCCAGGCGGCCAGTGAGAACGCACTGACCCAACGCTGGCGGCGTATCATTTTGCGAAACACCACCTAAAAACAAAAATCTGTGAGAATAGCCAACTCCATTGATTTTGTTTTCTGTTCAGTTGTGTATAGTGTTGGGAAGTTGGAAAAAAAACATGGAAAAATACGTTTTTTTCCAATGTTTTTTTCGTTTTTTTGCCATGGCTATACTTTTCGTTTTTTTCCAATTTTGAAATTTTTTTTAACTTTTGAGTGTTTTAACTAGGTTTTCTCTTTTTGTGATTGGGAAGTATTTAAATGAGAAACATCTTAATTTATCTAATACCCCAATTACCTCAAAAGCCCCTTAAGACTGTATGGTGTGGGAATTAAAATTCTGAAAAATACGAATAAGGTTTTCAAGTTTTGATGCAACAAGTATTGATGCAATTTTTAAATCGAGTTTGACATTGATCCCAGCAGTTTTTGGTGTTCTGATAGCGAAAATCACTACCTTTTCTACCCCTGGTCTAAAGTTCACTGAATATGAGCCCGTAAGATGGATATTTCGTCTACTCAAGCAAAGTCCAAAGTGCACAAACTATGTCAATTCGCATCGCTCAGCCACACTACGCGCCTAGACTAAACGGCACGTACCCCTAGTAAAGACCAATCGGGAGAGACGTGTCATCAAGCGGGAACTTCAAACAACCCCAAACGTAAAAATGCCTTCAGGGCCCACGCAAAGTAGATATTGCGTGTCATACATCGTCATATTTACCAAATCCGAGCTTTTAGACACGATAATCTATTATCCAGTAATATTTTTAAAGTAAATAACGCTTTTTTAAATTTTTCATACTTTTCCATTTTTTCCGGAAAAAAACATGGAAAAGTATGTTTTTTTCCGGCTGATTTAATTTTTCCGGAAAAAAACCAACACTAGTTGTGTATCTTTTGTTAAACTTTTGTTACTTCAATGTATCCCACTTAGTCCTAAGCACCATGCCACCGTCATAACTTGTGAAGTCCACAACAGGGTTCGCCCTTAAGACATGTACTTTAGTAAAAAAAAAAAGGACTTTTCAAAAGTCTGGGTGAGCAACACCACATCTCAAAGAATCCTTAACTTAACATTTAACTGACACTGCTCTTATTGCAACGACAATGTTTGCTGAAGGTTATGGGTGGAGACTGTTGGAAGTACTACTTCCAAATACAAATTCGAGACGCTAGAAAAATAACTTATCCTTTTTGACGGAAGTCGTTACCGGTTTCAACTTAAACACCTACGATAACGTTCGGCAGCGCAAGGAAAAGTACAAAAAAAGTGCAACAAAAATTATACACCAAAAGTACAACAAAAATTGTACAAACCACTACGAGGCCTGGACTGTGCAGCACTCTTCATGCCGGTTCCATTGTACTTTGTACAACAATTGTTGTATTTTGTAGGCACAATAAATTCCTGATATAAAATTTGCCAGAAATTTGTGTACTTTGGTTGTGGTTTCTTCTTGCAGTATGACGCCCTTTCGAGGTAAGTTGAGGATCCCAGCATCCCTGCCTGGACACTGAGAATGAAAGAGTCATGATCATGACTAAAATTTTGGGCGAGGAATTCCTTGCCAGGAAGGTTTTCTCGCCCAAATTCGGGCCCAAACTCGCATCCTTCGTCCAAAATAAGGTATTGATCATGACTTTTTCATTCTCAGTGTCGAAGCACTGTCAGATTTCTACCTGAGTGGCGGGATCGGCCTTCCGCTCCAGGCAGCGCGTCACTAAGATGAGACAGCCGAGCGCGTTGGCGCACTCGGAGCCGCGGAAGGCGAACACGTAGACGCCGAAGATGGCCAGATGCAAGGCCGCGAACTGGACGAGGCCGATGTTGAGAACATCTGAGTTTGTCGCCATGGCCGTCTCCACCAAGCAGCGGCCCACCCACACCCATCCTATCACCAGCAAAAACTGCAGAGGGAGGTCAGTGCCACGCCGTCGCGTGCATCCGAACACTTTGGGCAGGAAGTATGGGCACTCAGGTGGTCTTGACATCAGATTCCAATCTAACTCTGATGTCACTAACGGAGTGTCCGTCAAACTGGGGATGTTTTTTTACCACTCTGCGTTGCTGCAGAGAAGAATTAGCGGGTACCGTAAACTGGAATCATATGAGACAACTTTAGGATAGCTTGAAAAACACTTGAAACTCCAGTAAGACTCACACTGAAACACATGCACTTTTTTGATGATACCATTTCTCGACTTGAAAATAACCAGTGGTAACAGTCATCAAATGGAACTAGAATGGCAGTCTTGAAGATCAAGTCTCAAACTACCCCAATATTGTCTAACGTTAGCATTACGTTACGTCAACACTGCAAAGCCAGCGGTAAGTTTGCTTGCCACAAAATTGGCAAGCCGTTTTGAATGCCAAAAATCGGCAAGCTTGGCCCGGAAATAGTCCCTACCAGCCTACCAGCCACAATTTGGCAAGCTTGTGAAGATTTCAGGTTAAGGTTACTGTAAAGTAAAAAAAATGTGCAATATCATTTTTCTAAATAATTGTGGCATCATATTTGTATTTAGGTTTCAGGTTGCTTACTATAAGATGAACTTAAACCCAAAGTTGAGGCACTCAACTCCCATTATTTTCTGAGTTATTGAAGTTTACGTAACAAATTTAGTCGTTAACTAAAAATTCTCCTTGCGATGAACCAAAAGTTGTCGAGACTTGATTTTTGTTTTACAAGTTCTTTATTGATTTGCCTACCACGTAGCAAAGCCGGATTTCCGAAATTCCAACATGAAACAGGAATTTTTCACAAAAAACACAAAAAAACACCAATAAATAGCAAAATTTTACCAAATTTAAGTAAAAAATTCAAAACGCATTTTCCAAACAGAAGTTACAGCTTATCAATGCATATATTGTGAAATCCGGCTTTGCTAGTCTGTTTGTATGTCCATTGGGCCTTTAAATAAAAAATCACACCTCCGTAAACTTTTTGGTTCATCGCAAGGAGAATTTTTAGTAAACGACTAAAATAACACTAAAACCCTCATAACTTTGGAACTAATGGGAGTTGGGAGTCCAGTCTGTGGCTGTAAAAGTTTTTCATGGTAAGCAACTAAATCACCAAAAACGAAAGCACTGCCACCTATACTTTGGAAGATAGTTTTTTCACCTTACAGTAACCTTAAGCTTGCCAAATCCTGGCATTCAAAACGGCTTGCCAAATTTGTGGCAAGCAAACTTACCGCTGGTTTTGTAGTAAGTGATGGTTGAAACGGCGTCAGTAAAGAATTTGATCTTGGGCAGCTGACAATTGACCCGCCGTTGATGCTTAGGTAACACTGATTCAAGGGTCAGCCAGGAAAGCTGAGGCGGTTTCACTCTCCCATCGGACCTTGGCCTGACGGTACAAATCATTACGTGACCCAGTCGATTATCAGCTCCACATTGGCAAACCGTTTATTTCCATGGCAGAATTTTATTTTATCTGATCAACTCAAGCCACTACGCCGAAGTGGCAAGATGCGTAGTGACTTTTAACTATACGCCTAAGTGGTTGAGCCTGACCTTGGACCTGCGAATGCGCCACAGGGCCCTCAAGGCAGCGCGGGGCTGCGTCTCGAAGGCAACTTCCCGACGCCAGCCCAGCAGGAACTCCTCCAGGGGCGCCATGCGGCCGACGGGGATCTTTACTTCATAACTCCGATAGAACAGCTACTGCGGGTATGGCTTCTCCATGCCAAAGAATAGATGTTGCAAAGACGAATGAATTAAATTCGTTTTCTAAGAAGTTTTTCAAAAGTTTTGAAGTTTGCTGCTTTTCTACCAACACGCCTTGTATTTCCAATTACAACAATGCGCTGAGGCAACCTAACAAACTACTTTGGGCCTTAAAACGAAAAGCAATTTGTTGTGAAAAACAATTTTGAGCGTACATAAGCTTACAAAGAAAATACTCCGTAACTTATACGACCTATTTCTTCGAGTAACAAAGTAAATTAGTTTGTATTATGTCTGCGCTCAAAATACTTCGTTAGGTTTTAAGCGTGTGCACGTTTACAAGAAAGTGCGTGATAAAGGTACTGGCAGCGATGCTTGTACGTGCTTGTACGTCACACTCTCATTCCAGGAACGTGACATCATGTTGAAACGAATGTGACAAAATGTCACGTTCGTTTGAGCTCCGTGTCACATTTGTTTGGATGTGAATCAGCCATAAATTACCGTACTTGCATCCAAACGAGTCCGACACAATGCCCAAAGGAACGTGGACATTTTGTCACATTAGTTTCAACGTGATGTTACGTTGCTGGAATAAAAATGAAAATATAGTTAAAATTTTGAAACAAGTAAATTTTTAAATGTATACGTTGAATGTATGTTCCAGTTACGTTGCTGGAATAAAAGTAAAATTATAGTAAAAAGTTTGAAACAAGTAAGTTAATTTTTTAAATGTACTTGTACTTGATGAGCACGCACTTGGAGGCGCATCAGTATATTTCGGTCCAGATTTGGACATTTATTTAGACCAATTTGAGACGTCCTGCTCTACAAATCGAAGAGCGTGCATTGTATGCTCTAACTGGAGCATTCCTGCAAGCACCCTCTAGCTAGCGCATGCCCGCCAAGCATGCACTTACTAGTGCATACATGCCACGTACACGCTTACTGAAGCTTGCATCTAGTGCATAAAGGATAGGGAGTTGCCTGTATCAGAAAGCGTGTACATGGCATGCACTAGTAAGTGCATGCTCGGCAGGCATGCGCTAGCTAGAGCGTGCTTGCAGGCATGCTCCAGTTAGAGCGTACAATGTACGCTCTTCGATTTGTAGAGTGCCGGTGAAAATACCATCCCCTTCCGAAGTTTCATGTTGCGGACTTTATGCCTTACAATAATGAACACCCAAAACTATTTTAACCATATTCAACGTGTGTTGTACTTGGACATTGACAACAACGTTTATTTAAAGGTTTATTGTTCATAAATTTGCAACAGGTTTTTAACTTTATCATACTGTTGAGTGTGAATTTTGGTCCAAACCCCTGCGCTAATAGGTTCATTTTATATCTGCGGTTTCACTACAAAATCAAATGTGTGCTGAGTACACAGCTGTGGGAGTATGCTTGCAAGTACACATCTACAGGTGTGTACTTAACAAGCATGTGTACTTGGGCAAGCATGCATCAATAGGAGTGTGCTGTCAAATGGGTGACATGTATATGTGCGCTTGTCCAAGTACACAGCTGTAGATGCATGCTTGCCCAAGTACACAGCTATAGATGTATGCTTGTCAAGTACACACCTATAGATGTGTACTTGCAAGTACACTCCCACAGCTGTACGCTAAGCACACATTTGATTTTGTAGTGTAAGGGTGCAGGACACATGTGTGTTCGGGTAGGTTACCCTCGAAAAGAACAGCTTACCCTGATGCAAAATCCATGTCAAAGATATGACCTGCGTCCACCCAGGTTTTCTCCACGTCCTCCAAACTTAGTTCAAAATCGACGCTCTTAAAGGACAATGGCCCTAGAGGAAAACTCCCAACGTTTGTTGGACTTCGAGGGCGCTTCTGTCTTGGAGGCACTACTAGTAGAAAAGAAAAGGGACGGAAAATGTCTGGTTAGTGGTCTATCACCAACTACACGGAAGTCCCGTGCCTGCTCTGCAAACTCAAGTGTATGCCTAGCACACTCTCATTCCAAGTACGTGATAAAATGTCACGTTCGTTTGAGCATTGTGTCACATTCGTTTGAACGCGAACAAGCTAATTTTTGGCCGATATTCACATCCAAACGAATGTGACACAATGCTCAAACGAACGTGACACTTTCACTGGTAAAACTAAAGCGTAACTTTATGCTTGAGTCAAGCATAAAGTTACGCTTGAAGACGTTACGCTTGAAATCAAGCATAGGCTTGGAATTCCCCCGTGCATTTAGATAGGGGAAATCTTGGCGGATGAGCCTGTAACGCTTGATTTCAAGCGTAAACTGATTACGCTTGAAAACAGTGGGTAATACTACGCTTTAGTTTTACCAGTGTTGTCACGTTCGTTTCAACGTGACGTCACGTACCTGCAATGAGAGTGCACTTTATATGGAGTTAACCGGGAGGCGCGCACTTCTTTGCTGCATGCTTCCAGGCACACACTGCAAAGCCAGTGGTAAGTTTACTTGCCACAAATTTGGCAAGACGTTTTGAATGCCAAAATTTGGCAAGCTTTGGTCGGCACTCTTCATAAGCTTGCCAGATTTTGGCATTCAAAACGGCTTGCCAAATTCGTGGTAAGTAAACGTACCACTGGCATTGCAGTGCACACTTGTCTGTTGCAAACATGCACCTACGAAGGCCACCAACCAATGTAGATGGGTACTCATGATCACACTGTTAATTTTGCAAAGTATACCAATTATTCTGTGCAATTTATGCAACCATACCGTGCCAAAGATCGGAAGGTTCTAAAGGGGATGGCAACGAACCCGCGTTGTGGAGCATTCCAGACGTTGCCAACAACGTGCTCGTCGGCCTCCGCCACTCCAGCGAGTCCTCCAGCCAGTCCGGCCAGCCAGGACCCACGTCGACAAGCAATCCATTCCAATCAACCGAAAAAATATTACAAGATTCAAAGCCTCATTGTTAAAATTGGATGACCGTTCCCCAGAGAATCGTTGAGGTTTCCGACGCATTATGTGTAATCGTCGCAATCATCTTCTCTGCGACGACAAATGGATTGAGTGGTGACCCCCGCGCCTCGTGCGTCTGATCTTCACCTCACCCCGGCCGAAGATTCCACCTCAGTGCGAGGGGTGAATCACTAGTGCACTTGTACAAATTTTCCCGTAGTCAGTGTACTCTCAAGTTTTAAAAGGGCGAAATTCACTAGTTTTTCGACTGATTTGGCGTTGAGTGATGTTTAAAACGCTTTGAAACGCCTTAAAATGTCTACAAATGTGAAATTTATGAGTAAAGTAAGGTGTACTCACCCGCACTCATGTGTACAGCAGAACGCAGAGTGATTCACCCCTCGCCACAGCGTGCCTTTGCGCGAACATTCGTCCAGCTTCCCGTTTGTCTGAGTGACCACCAGTATGAACGGATAGCAAGGGCGCCGGAAGTGGGGTGCGGGGGGGCGACTTGACCCCCCCCCCCCAAAAAAAAAAAAAAAAAAATCTGGTGGGGGGGCATCGCCCCCCTCCCCATTTTCAGACACAAAAGTGCCACTTTGAGCTCGGAATAGAGAAAAATATAGGGAAGTCGCAAATTCTTTGATTTTTGGCTTCTAGCTCGCTTCGCTCGCAAGTTTCTTTCATTTTCCTCTATAATTTTACCGTTTGGCTCGCTTCGCTCGCCAATAAAGCGTGTAATTATGCTCTGAAAAAGGCAAAAGTTGTGCTAAAGTCTAGAATTGTGTGAATTTTCGCTTTAAGCTCGCTTCGCTCGCTGGATTTGTAACATTATTAAAGAATTCTAAACCATATTGGGTGTTGCCCCTTAACAGTAGGCAACCTATCAATTTTTCATAAAAATTTCGCCCCCCCACCAGAAAGTACTTCTGGCGGCCCTGACGGATAGTCCAGAATCGCGTGCAAATGAGCGTTAGATGAAACGTCTTTTCATTTCCTCCTCCTTCAGGCGCCGATCCAGGGGACGGCAAAGTCGCGCGTTTTGCCGATTTACAGGGGCAACGTAGTGCGTCGTGCCCACCTTCCAGGCGGCCTATTTAACCCAAGGAAGGGGTAATTACCCACATTTCCCCCCACCCCCCGCGCGCCTGTTCTCCTTCATTTGCTACCTTGACGCAGACAATCATCGTTGACAAGTAAATTGAATTCGTCGGCTTCACATGTGTGTCTGTGAGTGAGGTTACCGTGTTGTTCAAGGCCATGTGACATGATGCCTGGAGCACGCCACACCGACAAGGCATGTGCATTTACTATGCAGGTAACCGACTCGATGCTCGGCGCACCCAGCCAACGTCGACTAGGGCGTGTGCATTCATTATGCAAAAAGAAGTTGCCCTCAAAGGTCAGAGTCAGAACGCCATCGCGGTATGGAGGCGATGGGACTATTACCTACATTACCACACACCAGACCAGGAAAGGTTGTTGCGATGAAAATCTTCAACTTTGACCATTCTCCCCCATTGGGAGGGTGTGGCGAAAATCTTACTTACTTTCTTCAAAACGGCCCGACTTCGTTACAATTGTCGCATCTCATGATGGAGGGTCCAGCTGGAGGAAGGTTGGCTGGCTGGCTCCGACTCTGCACTGCGGCAGTGTGGGTTCGAAGCGAGCTAGTACACTGCCCCTCCGCTTCCTCGCCAATTGAGGCCTGAAGAGACCTCCTTTACTGCAGGGCCCTTCACGTAAAGGCTCTTTATTGAAGGACCCTTTACTGCAGGGCCCTCTACTACAGTGAAACTCTATGAAACGCTCGTCGACTTAGGCTGGCATCATTGTGTCTCCACACTGTGGCAAAAACCTACGGAAAATTCTGTAAACAGCTTGTGGGAATTCTCCGTAGCCCCCTTATCAATATTCTCCGTAGGCTCTCACAGTATTCTCCGTAGGACCTGGAAGACTGTATAGTCCTACGGAGATCACTGTAAGGTCCTACGGAGAATACTGTGCGGACTTACAGAGAATACTGTACGGCCCTACGGAGAATACTGTAAGAGCCTACGGAGAATATTGATA